CACAGTCACCATCAGCTGCCCCTCAGCCACACCACCCTGCCTTGGAGCCAGCTGAGTATGGGCTGAAACCTCCACAAACTGTGAGCTAAATAAACCTTTCTTTCCTTCATTTTGGGCATCTGGCATTCTGTCTCAGTGGCTGTCCTTGAACTCCATGTGCAGCCAGGTTGGTCTCGAACTTGCAGCAAGCCTCCTGCCTCAGCCTCCTGAAGACTGTAATTACCGGTGTGCACCACACACCCTGTGTGTCTGGGTCTTAATTGTAATAACTTTTACCAATTTGTGGAACGTGGTGTAGCCTGATATGTTTGACTGATGCCCCCTAGTGGCAGTGGGTGTCAAGTGCACTAATATTTGGCTGTGTGTTGGGGTGTGGCACATGTGCTAATAAGTGTGTGACTGTGTGTTTGCACTAATGAGGAGGGGCTGAATTTAATGCCTGCATTCTAGAAACACAGCTACTTTGTGGAAACAAGTAAATACAATTCCCAGCAGGTCCCCCTCTGGATCCACAGGAAGACAGGAAGTATTTAAAATAAAATTTTAGATATTTTTGTAGGAAGTGGTGGTGTACACCTGTCATCCTGGCCACTTTGGAGGCTGAGGCAGAAAGATCTCAAGTTCCAGCCCAGCCTGGGCAACTTTGCAACTTAGCAAGTTGGCTTAGCTAGAACCTCCCTTAGCAAGACCAAGAGTCTCAGGTGGTAAATGGATAGATACGATCTGTGTCACCTGTGTTTGCCTGTCCTGTTGTTTTCTTTCCCCACTGTGTGTCCTTCTGTGTCTGATATCTCTCAATGACATGGCATCCTCCAGGTCTCTCCATGCTGTGGTGACCATCAGAGCTTTGCTCCTTTTCCTGGCTGAGTAATATTCCAGCATGGGGTGGACATAATTGTCCATTTTTCCATCTGTGGACGCCAGGCTGTTCCTTCACTTTGAGTTGCTGTGGACATGGGTCTGTACCTGAGACTTTACTTTCAATTCTTTGGGGTATATAACCAAGAGTGGGATTCATTCTTCTTCATAGCGCAGTAATATGTTATTGCATTCACAGTAAGTTCATCCATCTATTGATGGAGAATTTTTTTCATTTTAAGACAGGGTTTAATCACTAAGTTATCCAGTGTGCTGGGATAGCAGACTTGCATCACCATGCCTGGCTAGAGCAATATTTTTGTACTAATAACTTTGAAAAGCCCCTTTCCGTCCTCTTCATGGCTCTGTGAATACACTACATTTTAAAAATGAGTTTTAAAAACTGATGCTTTCCTATAGAATCTAATCTGTATCCAGATCTCTCAAGCACAGGACAGGCCTCTGCTATCATGGCAGGAGCCCACACTGTGGGGCTCAGTATTTGCTGATGTTCTCTTTGTAGTTTATAAGTAGCTTCCTGAAGACAGAGTTAGAAGCAAGATGATTGGGCTGCACAGTGGTCCATTACAGGTGAACTGAGGCTTCTGTGCAGGTGAAACTTGGTAGCCATCCGAGAGATTACAGAAGATTCCAGAAGATTCTGGAAGATTCCAGAAGATGGCTGGGACAGTAATAATCTCCCTAGGGAGTTGAGGGCAGGGCTGTGTTCTGCCTCCCAGGCTTGCCCCAAGAGCTCAGCCAGCTCTCTGCCAACTCCACAAGAGTATAATAGGGAAGGAGCATCCCTATCTCTGTCACACAGAAAGTGTTACCATCCAGACATAGGGAAAACCAGGTTTCTTGCCAGCTGTCACCAGCTTGACCCTCAGACTCACCCCACTTCACAGACACGAAGACAAATCTGTGCCAAAGTGAACTTTTCATTTTCAGCACCCTGGAGAGGCCTGGTACCGAACTCACGGGAAGGGTCTCACCTTGCTGCTGCAGGCAGGCAAGAGGCCCTGAGAAAAGAACGGTCACCCCAGAATATGTGGGGGTTACCCCGGGACACAGCACAGCAGGGTGGGCACTGCCAGCTGAGGCGTGGGACTGGGAGGGGCCAGGGGAGGGGCAAGGAACCTGGCTTTCCCTATGTCTGGATGGTAACACTTTCATTTTGTAGTGGAGCTCCCAGCTGTGAGCTTGTAGCCAAAGACTCCAGGGCCCAGCTACCACAAGACTGAGGCTCGCAGAGGAGCCCAGGCTCAGGCCTCGAGGACCTGCTCCCAATCCCCTCCCCCAGCCCAGGTTTACATCTTGTAGTAACTGTTTCAATGACACAGGAAATGCCATCTGCCAGGGATGCTCAGTGGAGACTCGGCACCCGGGTTGTCCCGGAGCTGGTCACACAGGCACTGTCTCCTCGACACGCACCCAATTCCCAGACTCCCAGAGGGAAGCACATCCGATGGGTTAGCTAGATGAGCTGTCCTGTACATGCCAGCCCAGTGCCTCCCTGGCACACCTTCCCCATGCTCCAGGGTGGAGCATGAGGAGGGGAATGAAGGCCACAGAGCTGGAGGGACGGACAGACAGACAGATACTGCATCAAAGCAAGTCATGACTTGGTGGAACCATGGACAGGCAATGAACTGGGGACTCCAGAGGCTGCCTGTGCTCCAGGAAGGCCCCTGGCAGCTTTGTGGAGGTGGCAGCAGACATAGGGGGGCAGCCAGGGAGAACCCCTAGGGTCTTGGGGGTGAGGACAGCATAACAAGGGCCCCAGAGGAGAGGGAAGAAGAGGGGGTATCATGCTGAGGTCCCCCAAGGAGAACCGTTGGCGCCTAGGGAGGCCAAAGGGAGCCAGGACTCAGGCAGCAAACACCGTGAGGGCAGGCAGGCGGACCGGCGTGGGGTCAGGACCTGGTGCTGGATGGCCTGGGAGGGGGTGCAGTCTGGGAAGAAGCCAGAAGCTGCCTGAATTATGACAGCAGCCTGGCAGCAAGGCTGCTGAGACGCCAGCGGAGGAGGGTGACAGGGAACAGAAGTGGGGCTTGGAATGGTACGGGACAGAAGAGGAGGAGGAAGCGGCAGAGTCCGGAGCTCTGTGGCCTAAAGGAAAGCAAGGTGACGATCGTGGGATCATCAGAGCTCAGGGAGTAGCAGGAACACAGAGTGACAGCCCGACACATGCACGACACACACAGACGCACTGTGAACGCACTTGTGCATTTCCCAGCCGGACCCCCCAACCTGTCAGCATGGAGAAGTCTGCCTTCCCCAGCCCGAAGCTCCTGGCCACGGAGCCCCGCAGCTGAGCCACCAGCTGGCCCCTGTAGGCCTGCGCTCGCCTAACAGATCACACTGGCCCTGGAGGTGCCGCTCAAGGAGCCCAACTGGCCAGTGGGCTGAACTGTGAAGAAGGCCCACTTTAGCCTCTGCCGTCCAGCACAGCCCAGTTGCCACCTCTGGGGGACTTTGGTCAGCAGGAAGCGTGTGTGATCCTTGAGGAAACAGGACCTTAGAGAAGGGAAGCTGGGAACATGAAGCTGAGTGCACTGCAGTCCAGACCAAGAGACCCTTGGCCTGGCCAGCAGGACACAGCTGGGTGCTCGGGGAGGTGCCCTCCCCACACGGACAGTATTTGGGCCACACACGCCCATCGATGGGGCCTCTGTGCGCCCTTCTCCCTAGGCCTGTCTCTGCAGCCACCTGAAGGAGAGGGACCCTATTAGCTCAAGTGAGGGGGCCTGCTGTCTCGGAGCAGGAGATGGGAGGGATGGAAGTTTGCATTGTGTGGGGACCTGGGGTTGCCCTGAGGCCTCCCTGCCAGAGGTAACCAGAGTGGCTCTCAGGCTGTCTCCTTGAAGGGAGGGTGGTCCATCGGGCAATTGAATTGCCCATGAGCTGAGTGCTTTCCTTGCTGTCCCCTGTTTTGTTTTGGTTTTTTTCAGGGGGAAGGGATTAGGGACCAAACCCAGGCCTTCACTCGTATGAGGCAATTACCCTACCACTCAACTATATCCCTGGCTTTCTGTTTCTATTTTATTTTTATGTTTTAGATTTATCGACACAGTCTTACCAGATAGCTTTTGTTTTTATTTTTTGGCTTTTTAAAAATTTTATTTTGAGACAGGTTTCACTAAATTGCCTAGGGCAGCTGCCATCTTGCCAGCTTCCTGCCTCAGCCTCCCGAGTAGCCAGGATTACAGGCCTTCACCGACGGGCCCACCTTGCTGCTGTCCCCTCTTCCCCAGCTATTTCTCCTGCCCCCAAGTCACTTTCTATGGCAGCTGCCCAACTCTCCGAGTCTGGTGATTACAGCCACGGGCAGGCTGACTCTCCACCAGGCAGAGTGCTGTGCCAGGATGGATGGAATGTTGTAATTATTTTTTTTATCAGAAGAAAAAATATTAATATAGTCAAGCTGGATTATCTTCACCCTTATACCAACACAGTCACAACTTACAATTTTTAATATTTTTATAGATGGAGGAATTTTGGGGGGTTTTTTGGTACCAGGGATCGAACTTACGACCTCACATTTACCAGGCAGGCACTTATGCCACTGAGCTAAATCCCCAGCTCAGAAATTTTTTTAAAAAGTATTTTTTATGCCACAAAAGTCATACAGAAGCCCTGATCACAGGGGATCCTTAGAGCCCAGTGATCTTCCTGGGGTGTGTGTGTCATGGTGTTGTAGTGACCTGCACCAGCCAGCAGCCCTTGGACAGTGGCATCATATGTCCTGCTGTCAGAACACGCCTGCAAGGAGCAGGAGGGGAATGAATCACTGCTTGTTGAGAGAAAGAAATAAAGAAGGAAAGAAAGAAAGAAAGAAAGAAAGAAAGAAAGAAAGAAAGAAAGAAAGAAAGAAAGAAAAAGAGAAACAACCAGCACTGAGAGCAAATGTCCCCAGCCCATACCATGTACCAAGCCCCTGATCATCCCAATTTCACAGACAAGGACGGAGGCCAGGGAAGGCCAAATAACGTGCCCGAGGTATGGCTCACTGGGGAGGTCCGAGCCTAAATACTGACTCTGAACCCCGGCCCCGCAGTGTCCCCACAGAGGTGAAGCAATGGTTGATGTCCCCAGAAGCCAAGTCCATTTCTAGGATGGACAGACCACCTCCCTGGGCATCAGGCAAGCCCTGTGACACCAGCCCTGAGCTCTGGCCCTAGAGCCCTGCCCTCAGAGGCCCCAGATCCAGCACCTTCCTCTTGAGTATTCGGCCATCTAGGCCATTCGTCCCTGTGGGCAGCACTGTGCCACGTGGCAGCGGTTGTGAGTGACAATGGTCACAGCCTTGGGCAGTAGCCCACAGAATCCTCCCAAGATTCCTTGGTGCCAGAGAGGACTCTTCACCACCACCAGCAGCATGCAAAGGTGGGCAAGCCCCAGCTGGGCAGAAGAGCCGTGGGAGCTCATCCCTGATGGCCGGCAGGACGCCCTCAGGCAGAGGACAGGAAAGGTCACACCAGGCCACCACATGGGCTGAGCCAGGGTTCACCAGAGAGCAAGGCTTTGTGGGTGCAGGACAGGCCTTGGAGCCCACACCAGGGAAAGCCTTTGTGGCTGGCGACTGGGGAGCTGCACGTTTATTGAGCATTTATTAGGAGCTGGGCTCTGTAATGGGCATGGCGGACAGAGATGACTAAGGCACAGTCACCCACCAGAGTCTGAGCCAACCTTCATGTGGCTGGGGGTGTCCAGCTCCATCAGGGACCTGTGTTCTTTCCCCGGCACTAGCTGACCAGCTGTAACCTGAATCCACAGGAACCTTTTCTTCCTGGAGTGGACTCTTCCATAAAACGAGCTTAACTGCGCTGCCGCCTGGTAACTGGCCTTTGAGCTCCCTGGATGAAAGCCTGCAGATACAGAGCTCTATCCCAGAGCAGGCCTGGGCAGGCGCGGCAGCCCACATCAGAGCCCTGGGAGGCAGAGAAACAGCGCCTGGGAGTCAGGGGCACCATGCTCCTCTGAGGTTACCACCTTGAAAGTCAACACCCCACCAAGGGCTGCCTGTGATAGTTAATGACAGACGCCACTGTCACCCTGGCTGCTGACTGATGCTGACGATGGGGCTAGGGGCCAGGAGAGGAGGCCATGGGCAGGGACAGAGCAGGACACAGCTCATTCTATAGTTATGTGGGTGGAAAAGGAATCCTGGTCTCTTGAAGCAGAGGCGCCGTCCGACATTTCCTATCAGTACAGGACAGACCTGGTGTCCACTTCTCTGTCCTCCCCCAAAGCCCACAGGTGTGGGTGGGTAGTGCTGGGAGGCTATCCACATTTTCATCTTCCCTTGACCTCACATGCAGGGAAAGACAGCCAGAGTGCCTCACTGACTTTCCCAAGGCAGACAGGACAGTTGGGGCCATTAGTTCCATTTATGGATAAGGAAAACAGCTCAGAGAAGTTAAGTGACTTGCCTGGGGTCAACAGTGCCAGGCAAGGGAGACAGTCACTGTTGGGAGCCACTGAGGCCTGTAGGAAAGAGCGAAGCCTGAGCTAAATTACCCCTCCCATCGAGTGAGCCAAGTTGGCGCCTGCTTCTTGCCCCGATTGCCCTGGCGACTTAAACAACCCGCTCTGTAAGATAGTCTGCCTAGCAACAACTGATGTTAGCCAGTCAGCCCGCATCGCGTGCTTTGAACTGATTGGCCACTGTTACCCTATAAAAGTGAGTGCCTCTCCCGCCACGAGAGAGAAGCACGAGAGAGATAGAGAAAGTCCACCGGTGAGAAAGGACTGGTGGCAGAGCAGAGGCCTCGCGGGGCCCACGCGGAGACAAATAAAGACAAGGTTGCACACCGTCAGAATCTGTCGTGTGTTTTTCCTGCCGGCCGGGAGCGACACCGACAAGTCACAACATGCCCCAGTCTGATGGCCACAGGTGTCAGCCACTGAGATCCAGCCTGGCTGGGGAAATCCACCCCCTGCCCTTACCATTCACAGAAAAAGCTGAGCCAGGAAGGGGCAGCAGAGAGCCAAGAGGCAGCGGGGCAAAGAGTGGCCCACTGCAGGGCTGCAGGGCAGAAAGGAGCCCAGAAGGGGAGAGACACTGAATGGGCAGGCAAGGCGGGGCAAATGGCAGAAGAGATGGGCAGAAGGATCTGTGCATCACCTGGCAAGTCCTATGTGGGTGTCAGTGAGGACAATCAGAAGAGAGAAAGTCCTGACACAATCACAAGAGCCTTGGATGCCGAGGCTAAAGTTTTCCCAGGGCCATTTGTGAGCTCCTTGTGGCATTTGTAACAACTTATCATGAACTTGGTAACTTCAAGCAACAAAACTGTATTTTCTCACAATTCTGAGACCAGAAATCTGAAATCAGAGGCACAGGGCCATCATCAAGGTGCAAGGAGCAGGGCCGTGCTTCTCTGGCGGATCCAATGGGAAAGTCTAAGCCGAGGCTCTGCCAGCTCCTGGTGGCTGTCAGCCGGACTTGGCTTGTGGTCATGTCACTCAGTGTCTCCTTCTGGAGTCACAGTGCCCCCTCCTCTGTGCCTCTTTGCAGAGGATGTCTAGGATAACAGCGTGAACCCCCTGATTCTCTACTTTGGGATCTTTAATCTCCCCTGCTTGGTCTTTCTATCTTGGTAATGCTCTGTTGCAGAACCTGAATCTGGTATCTTTGGGAACCACTGCTCAGCCTCCTACAGGGCCACAAATCAGGACAGTTTAAGGGGGCCTCCAACCAGCCTGTGGGCATGAGTCATGCTGGGCCCCTCTGAGTGGGTGAAGCCGTCTCTGGACTGCTTCTGCTAAGGCAGGGTGTAGACACTCCACTGGAATTGGCCAAGACAGAATGGGGAGCAACCTGGGGTTGAAAACCCTATCCTCAGGAAGCCTGGGCAAGGTTGTCCTAAGATACTCTAAGGGCAAGGGACACCCCCATCTCAGGTAGGACAGTGGAGGTCTGGAATGGGGGACTCAGCAGGTGAGCTTGGTGGTTCCTCAGTCCCCCACCCCACAGCTTCCTGTTGCCTGCCTCTGTCATTTTGTCACTTCTCGTCTCATTTCCTCTCGGCACTGTACTTCAAAAGTGAAATAAAGCCCTTGGTTTCCTCATTGCTTAGAAGGCCTTGCACCGGAAGTACCTTCTCCCCAACCCTGCACCTGTAGGTCACTGGCTGGGAGTGAAGGGACAGGACCCCCGTATCGAAGCACTGGGTTCAGCTCAGGAGTAGGCAGAATAGGCAGCCATCCCTCACCTCTCTGGTATCAATGGTGGCAAAACACCTCTTCAAACGGAAAAGCTGTTGTGAAACTTGGGGGTTCTTGGAACTTGGGGTATCTCTTGCTATTACCTGAAATCCTAAAATCAACCCCAAAATGGAAAAACAACACCAATGAAAATCACAGGTTTGGATTCCATAGGGAACTTTCTTCCTTTCTTTCTTTCTTTCTTTCTTTCTTTCTTTCTTTCTTTCTTTCTTGGGGCTGGGGACAGAATCTTACAATGCAGTTCAGGCTGGCTTTGTGCTCACTTTGTAGCCCAAGCTGGCATCCTCCTTCCTCAACCTCTCCAGTGCTGGGATTACAGGTGTAAACCACCACGCCCGGTTCCATAGGGAATCTTCTAATCAATGCTGTTTCTTCCTGTGTGGTGCAATGAAAAGAATTAAAAACCTCTCCAAACTTAGTGTTTTCTGGTCAATAAAATGGTGCAAGAATGTCAAAAACGGGGCTTGTGCAAGTGCCCAGCGTTTTGCAAGTCTACTCTGGGTTTAACAGAACACTATTCCCTGCCAAGTCGTGGGTCTGGATCACCTGCCTCCCCTTCGGGCCGCCCTTGGCTACTCGGTGTTCCCTTGGGGCCCTGGCACAGCGCGCAGGGCAGCGCGCGAGGGGAAGCTGCACCAGAGCTTACTTGCAGCATCTCAAAAGTGTTTTGGTACAAAAGACTCCGAGTCCTGTGTGTGGAGGACCAGCTGAGCCCCAGACATAAATCCGATCGTGCTGTGTCCTCCCGAGACTCAGGCGTCGCAGCGCGCCACGAGCCTCCCACGCGAGAACTGGAGGTTGCTCTCTCTGAGCGGCTGGGCCCACGCGGCAGGCGGGGCCAGTCGGGGGCCTTTGTGTTCAAACCGACCAATGGGCGACGACTGTGGGCGGGGACTGGAGGAGGGGCCTGACCAATGGGCCGCGGCCTGTCAGCCTTGACTGACAGGCACATACATACACACTCGGCCACGCGCGCGCAGCCCGGCCCCACTCGCGCCGCGCGGGTCTCCTCCGGCCGCATTGTCCGCCGACCGCCGGCCCGCGTCGTCCCGCGCCGCCGCCCTCTACGTGCGGGAGCCCCGGGCCCCGCCGCCGCCTCGGCCCCGCAGGGGGCGCCGCCCGCAGAAACCGGACGCGCGAAGGGGGCGAGTCCCGGCGGCGCGATCACCCGGACGCCCCCGGCTCCGCGAGGAGCAGCCGCAGCCGCAGGTAACTAGGGGAGCGGGCGGGCGGGCGGCCTGGTCCTGGTCCCGTCAGGCCGCCCCGGCCCGGCCTGGGCAGCGGGGCCTGCACCTCCCTGCCTGCCTGCCTGCCTGCCTGCCTGCCGGGCCGGCCGGGCTGGGCTCCAGCCCCCGCCTGGCTCACGCCCCTGGCCGGCGCCTGACTCATCCCGCCCGGCCTGGCCGCGCACTGGTCAGGCTGGAGGGCGGGGCCGGGCGACCGTCCCGGGCAGCCCAGCTCCGGCCAGGGGCCGCCGTGCCAGGCGGGCGGGTTCCGGGACTGGCAGCTCCCTGCCGGCGGCGCCTGTCAGGACTCGGGCTGCTTTCGCTCAGTTCTAAAACAAAACAAAACAAGACAACGAGTGGGGGGCGGGGTGTGACTTAGTTGCATCTTCTTGGGCCATTTCTGGGGTTGCAGTCTGTGGGGACGGAGAAAGGCGGGAGTGAGCGGTCTCACAGGGAAGAAACAGAGTGCCAGTGTGCTGGATGGGGGGAGGGCGTCATGTGCAAGATGCCCAGAATCTAGGTTGCATTTGACGCCGGGGGATCTGAGGAAAGGATGCAGTTCAGCTCTGAAGTGGAGAAAGGACTTTCTGAGGGTTTCTTAATTGATGGTGTGTGTGCGTTTCTGTGTGTGTGTTTGTGTGCTGATATGCAAATGATTTGAAATCCTAGAGGTTCGCCTGGGCCTTGACCTTTTCTGTCTCGTGAGTGAAACCTGGACTTAACTGTAAACTGTTCTGTGATACCAAGATGCTCCAGGCAGCTCCAGGGCTCTGGGAGCTCTAGAGGCGGAGGCAGGCTGGTGGCAGCTCCCAGCACACCCCCCCTCACCCCCCACTCCTCCATTAGAATGTTTAGCTTTTTGCCAGCTGCAGCGTGGTACTGGGTAAACATGTTGCTTTATTTCTGGCCCTGGGCAAAGGCTCCCTCTGCTTCAGTAGGGCAGGGGTTAAGAGGAGGAGCTGTGTGTGGGCATGGGGAGTTGTCAGGTTGGGGAGGCCAGTATGGGGTGGAACTACCTTATAAGGAGTGGAAGACAGCCCAGGACCTAAGCCAACTTCCTGCTTTGGCTACTACCAATTGGTCCTTTACCAACACCAGCTACAGTCAGGGAAAGATGCCAGATGGGCATCCCACCTGGAAAGATGCCAACTAGCCCTGACAGGAGGCTACTTGTTTTGTAAAAGAGGATGTTCTAGCTGGAGGAACCTGACCTTCTGGTTTGCATGGTTGGAGATAGATGTGTTAGTGTACACTCCCTGCAGGGTCAGGAGAATCAGCAATATTTCAGTGTGGGCCAGAAGCATCAAAAGTGATGAACAGTGACAAGCGTTGGGAACTCTTTAATCCAAGCTGGACTTGAACTCACTGTGTCCCAGGCTGGCCTCCAACTCAGAGATCCTCCTGTCTCAGCCTCCTGAGGGCTAGGATGGCAGTCATGTCCCACCATACCCAGCTACAAGCACCATGTAGGAACTCTTGAGGGGGTTTAAGATGGAACAATGACTCTGTAGTCCAGACTGGTCACAGTACTAACTTGAGATTTCTCACATCGGTAATCTGAGATTTGGAATTTGGGTTTGTAAAACCGGAAGGTTTATAAATCCTCCTCATGTGGTGGAACAGTGCCTTTGGCCAGGTTTTTTTCACTTTGATCTCCTCTGCTGCATTATCAGTTTCTGCCGAGAAAACTAGCCAGCCTGTAAGGCCACACCTCCACACCATCTCCCCGCCTCCTCAGTTTGTTAACAGATATTTATTATGTAACCACACAGTGCACAGCCTTGCTCTGAGCACATGTGGTGTCTGTAAGAATATAGCTGGGACCTACAACTCATTTCTGAAGTGACTTGCAAACTTTTTGGGTGGAGTCAAAAGACCCAAGCCCTGCGACCCGTTAGGTCTGAACTCAGATCTGCCTGTCACTCAGGCTGGGTGGTGGCAGACAAGTTACACACCTCCCAGGTTCCGGTGCTGTAGATGGGAGGGGTGACACTCACCAAGCCTGCTCGAAACACATACTGGGGTGTAAGGAGCCATGCGCCTATTAAGTGTTTACCACGGCATCTTACTGTTATCATACCAAGATGTGGCAGCGCACTGATAAGGGGGTACAGAATACAAGATGATCACAGTATGAATGGGTTCCTGAGGAAAAGGTTCTGGAGTCAGGTGTGACTGGGACCCTGGACCAGTGAATCGGTCAGGAGGAGGAAGAAACAAGGTCATCCGGGGAACTGGTGAGTGTAGGCTAGGCAGCTTGGAGAGGGCAGAATGGTGGACTTAAAACGTTTGCCTGGTACCTTGCAAGTGCCTGCTGTGTACCAGGCTCTCTGCTCATGTCAGGAAGGTCCAGTTCAGTTCAGGAATGGAGTTTCCAGGGTGGCCAGGTGAGCCCCGGGCAGGGTACGGACAGAAGCCAGGTGTCAGCTCGCACAGGGGTCTGCACTTCCTCCTGCAAGGAGGACCTGGAACAGCCCCAAGCCTCACGTGTCATCCTTTCTTCAGGGAAAGGGTCCACATCCCACCTCAGCATGTCTCGACGAAGCCAGCGCCTCACACGTTACTCCCAGGTTGATGACGATGGCGGGAGCAGCAGCAGCGGAGGGAGCTCGGTGGCCGGGAGCCAGAGCACCCTGTTTAAGGACAGTCCCCTGAGGTAGGGACTTGAGGGGGCACCACCAGCCCTGTCTATCCCGCTGCAGCCTGTGTGGTCGCAGATGCCTAAGGGGGTTTGTCTTAGGAGGTGCTGTGCCTTCTTTACCCACTGAGGTGCTGCCACCCTCACAGTTAAAGAACAGGAAGTGGGGAGAGGCAGCTGCAAGCGCACACCAGGCCGGAAAGCCCCAACTACAGGCTGGGCTCGAAGGAACCCTTTCTGCTCTGGATGGGTGCGGCTGTCCTTTCTGGCCACAGCCGTGCCTGGTCTTAGCACCTGAACACCTGGGTGTCCTGCCCCATCTTGAAGATGTGAGTCCGAGGCATTGGCTAGCTCTAGGAGGCCAGGCCAGCTTGATCTGGGTTTTCCATGGATTGTTAATTCATTAAAAAGCATGGGAAAACCTTTGGCTTTCAAGTCAGAGACCTAGGTTTGAAGGCTGGCTAACTGATGAGCTTGCCTGTGAAATTTAGAGATAACAAGAGCAGAAAAAACACCCAGGGCAAGGGTGTCACTCGGTGGTGGTAGTGTGCTTGGCAACACCATGGGGAGAAAAAAATCCTCATTGGTAGACCTGGTTATTGGTTGCCTAGCAACAAGGCCAGCCCACACTATCAATCATAGGGTGTCAGGGCCCTGCTTCCCAGCTGGGCTCACCTCCTTGCTCCCTGCTCCCCCTTCGTGACTTTCCCGCAGGACCCTGAAGAGAAAATCCAGCAACATGAAGCACTTGTCCCCAGTGCCGCAGCTGGGCCCCTCCTCTGACCCGCACACCTCCTACTACAGCGAGTCCATGGTGCGGGAGTCCTACATAGGCAGCCCTCAGGCCGTATCCCTGGCCAGGAGTGCCCTCCTGGACGACCGCCTGCACAGTGAGCCCTACTGGAGTAAGTGTCCTGAACCCCCCACTGGAGCCTGGAATCCTCCGGTGCCCTCCTCAGTGTCCTCCGATAGGACACTCCCTCTGCCCAGGCCAGCAATGCCCGAGCTCTGCGAGGCCTAGCTGTGACCCTTGTTCTTGCCTAGCAGGCGAGGACCTGCACGTGCGGAGGAGAAGGGGCACGGGTGGCACCGAGAGCAGCAAGGCCAATGGACTGGCAGAGAGCAAAGCCACTGAGGACTTTCTGGGCTCCTCCTCTGGCTACTCTTCCGAGGACGACTTTGCAGGTAGGGGGCCCCTCCCCTTGCCAGCTCATTCCAGACAGTGTGGGGGTCTGGGGGTCTGGGCAGGGAGCATCCCAGCAGCAGAAGGGAGCACAGTTTGTGGCAAACATCTCGCAGCCTGGCAGGGGCGCCCCTCTTGCACCCAGCCCTCCCTGAAGCTGGACTGTGGCTGCCGAGTACTTGTCTGACTGCCCCACCTCTACCCGGCCAACGCCTCTGGGTGCTGCTCCTTGAAGCAGTTTAACACGGGGCCCTAAACATAGGAGGTGCTTAGTAATTGTTCATAAGACACCTGAGCTTTCCCCTTTGTCTGCTGCCAATCAATGCATTTGTCAGTGAGGGGAATTTCTGGTAGGAAATAAAACGCTGGGCTGGGGATTTAGCTCAGTGGCCGAAGAGCCTGCCTGGCAAGCGTAAGGTTGTGAGTTCAATCCCTGGTACAAAAAAAATTTTTTCAGGAAATAAAATGTCAGATACCTCCCATTTCATTCTTTCCTGACCTACTGTGTGTTGGGCCCACGTGATGCTCTGAGGACACAAAGCAGAGGTGTGTGGTCTCAGCTCACTAACAGTCAGGCTTTGTGTCCCCAATGCTCTTAAAAACGGCCCCAAGATGACGGGTTTCTTCTCACCCTTTCCTGTAGGTTATGCTGACATCGAACAGCATAGTTCGGGGTCACGGTTAGGCAGCGTGGTCTCTCGGGCAGGCTCCTTTGTCTGGACAGTGGTCACTTTTCCAGGTAGGTGCAGGCGGGGTGTGCTCAGTTACTTCCTCTCTGCATAGTAACTTCTTACCCATCTCTGCTATTGGGCTTCTAGAATAGGCACCTGGCTGGGGCGGGCAGCTGTGGACAGCCCCGAGGGTGTGGGCAGTGTGGCCAGGTGGGATTGGAACCGGGCCACTGTAGGATGGGACAGAGGTGCTGGCACATGGGTGCTGTGGGTGGGACAAGGAGGACCACGGTGGGGAGTGCGTGGCTTGCCCAACGTGACCTCCAGTCTTAGACTCTAGGACCACTTTTGCAGGCCGGCTCTTCGGGCTTCTCTATTGGTGGCTTGGCACCAGCTGGTACCGCCTGACCACGGCAGCCTCGCTCCTGGATGTCTTTGTTTTAACCAGGTGAGTGAGACTGCAGCCCCGACAATGACTCAGAAGCCCGGGGACCAATAAAGCATCTAACCTCTGTGGGGTTATTTTTTCAAAGGTTCTCCCAGTTCCCATGTAGCTTTTATCAGTGAACAGGGAGGGGATCCCCAGGCCAGTCCTGCCTGACAGAGGGGGTCCCAGCGGCAGGTTTTGTTCCCAAATCCATAGCCCTGCAGGGCAGGACTCAGGAATGCAGCCTCTTATTTCTGCCTGGACACTTCCTACCAAGCATGGCCCAGCCCGACCACTTCTGAGTTTCAGAGAAAGGTGGCCTTATCTCTGCGCTCAGCCCTGAGGCTCAGCCCTGCAGTGGGTGGGATCCCAGAAAGTCCAGCTTCCTTCCTGGGCCTGGGACAGGCCAGACCCCAGAGTGTTCCTTCTTTTTCCTCTCCCAAGTTCCCAAACCACAGGACCAGGATTTGGGAACTCGCCCCTTGGGCAGAGGGAAGATTGTTCCCAGTTCGCTGCAACCAGCTCTGCTGAGAAGCAAAGGGCTCCTGGCTCTGAAAGCCGACATTGTTTAGGAGTTGCAAAGTTTTTCTGGTTTTTTCTGTATTTGTTTTATATTTATGGAGGCAGTCTGTACTAAAAGGTTGGGGTATTTTTGTTTGGTGAGGAGGATTGAACTCCTGATCTTGTGCTTGCCAGGCAGGGATGTGCTGCTGAGCTAAACTCCCAGCACCCTACTAAAAGGTTTAGGTCTGATAAAGACCGCACCATTTACTGTGAATTGTATCAGCAAAATCCATAGTCGAGGAAGCTGAGGAGTTAGTCCGGTGCCTTAGTACTGGCCTGGCAAGTGTGAGGTCCTGAGCTCAGTTCCCCAAAACAAATAAACAACAACAAAAAATTCACAGTCAAAATTGTCCCTGTCACCCCATGCCCTGCAGAGGAAACCATGGCGTTCATTCTGGCCCTGGTCCCATGAGAGGTTCAGTGTCCCCCCAACTCTAGTTCAGGGCACAGGAGAAAGTCTGAGGGACTTGTGGAGGGGGACACAGAGCCCCGAGCTTCCCCCTCATGTCTGCACCCCTGTGTGTCCTCCAATCCAGGCGCTTCTCGTCCCTCAAGACCTTCTTCTGGTTCCTCCTGCTGCTGCTGCTCCTGACAGGCCTGACCTACGGTGAGTTGAGGCAGGAAGAGTGTGGCTGCGGATCTAGGCGCCAGGCACAAGGCAGAGGCCTGCACCCCAGGCCTTCCCGTCTGCCACCCCACGGGGTCCTCCCATCTGATGTTGCCGAGCTCTCAGGGCATCCCAGGGACAAATGTAACATGCCCCAACCCACTGACCTGGCCACCGGCTGGGCCGTCCGTGATATCCTCCAGGCCATGTAGGGCAGAAACACACACCTGAAACCGTGTGGGTAATAAGCAGGAACCTGGATGCTATTATTAGTAGCAGTGAGGACATAGCCTGTGTGGGCGAATTGTTTTCACAAGATTAAGTGAAATCTTCAGCTGTCTTTAAGTGAAAAACAATGACGTAGTAAAGGGAAACATATATCCCTTTTCCACACCGACCCACAGTCACTTGCCAGCTACTTGTCATTGTCCTGGTCTAGGGGAGCGTCTTGTTCCTATTCGTGTTTTCTGGGATTCTTCCACCCATGGGTATGGGGGATTGAAGCCAGGGCCTTGCATGTGCAAGGCAAATGCCCTGCGCCCACGCTACATCAGCAGCCCCATGCCCCTCTTACTTCTAGAGGCGGGGTCTTGCTTGGCCTAAGCTAGCCTTGAAATGCAACCCTCCTGCCTCAGCCTCTCAAGCAGCTGGGTTTACAGACAAGCGCCACCACACCCTGCCAATATTTATTTATGTTTTATGTTCTTTTTGACAACTTCCAGTTTCACACAAGCTGCCTACGTAGCCCTCAGGCTCACTTTTAATAATTGTACCAATTTATAATTAAAGGCCGCGCTTTATCATTTTTTAGAGCTGTTTTTATAGGTTCCACAGCTGTTCGACTTGTATTTCTTCTACTAATGACAGGGTAGGACATTTTCCCAGATGTTGGTTTCCTCTTTGTTTCCTGGTCCTACCCAGTGGAAACTGGGCATCGCCTTTAAATAATAATGGTCCTTTGTAACTGCACGGCAGTTTATCCAAAAAGCACTTTCCCAGGCTTATCTCGAGCCATTCACCTTGTGTGTCTGGTCGTCCCCTGGGGGTGTGGTGCATGGGACTTCAAGCACAGTGGTCATATCCTTCCCTGCCACCTGCTCCCAGGCCACCACTGAGCCACCAGCGCAGCTTACCAGATGGAGATCGCTCAGCCAACTTGGTTTCCCCCCCACAGCCCTTAGGAGTAAACATCGCAAATAGGTGTCCCCCAAAGCAAGAAATGTGTCCCTGTCTGGCTGCAACTTTGTGCCCAGGTGCTGTGCCAGGCAGGGGAGTGGGGGACGACACTCAGCCCTGGCAGCCCATACGACTCCCTGGAGAGCTTCTGAAAATCACCACACAGGACCCAAGCCCAGGGCAGTCAACTCTGGGGCACACTCAGATGCTTACTGATGTTTTAAAAGCTCCCCCCGGTGACTGCGTTATAAGGCCAGGCCTGAGAGCTCGATCCAGGCTGGGGGTTCAGCCCCTGGATCACCCCTAACTTATTACCGCTGTCTTCCCTGAGCTTTGTCATCTATAGACTTGCTGAAGGGGAATGAGAGACTGGGTGACTTCTGTGGCCATCAACCAGAAGTGCCACCTCTAGCAGAGCAGGGCTCCTGGGTAACACGGGCCATGGTAATCGATAACCGGGGAGAGTCTGCTTGGTGTGACAGCTTGTCTCTGTGCACAGGTGCCTGGTACTTCTACCCCTTTGGGCTGCAGACATTGCACCCTGCTGTGGTCTCCTGGTGGGCGGCGAAGGACAGCAGGAAGCAGCCCGAGGTGTGGAGCTCCGGAGACTCGGCCCTGCATTTGCAGGTGAGCACCCAAGGTGGGGACAGACCCTGGCTCTGCTGCCCAGCAACTGGCATCCCTGCCCTATACCTCCCACAACTGGAGGAGATGCTGTCCCATCATGACATCCCTTTTCCTGCTTTTTAGGGTGCAGATTCTGGGGAGAAGGGGTGCTATTCTTTTCTTTTAGTTTATTTTATTTGGTACCAGGGATTAAACTCATGACCTTGTGCTTGCCAGGCAGGCGCTTAGGCCACTGAGTTAACCCCCTGGCCCCCAGGGCCCTGCTCTTAAATGACTTAAAATGGTGCCTGAAAGTTAGCTGCATCTTAAGGTCAGAAAACAGAGGCCGGGGCTGGGGGTTTAGCTCAGCGGCATAAGCGCCTGCCTTGCAAGCAGGCAGTCGTGAGTTCGATCCCTGGTACCAATAAAAACCACAAAAAGACAAAAAAAAAAAAAAAAGAAAGAAAGAAAGAAAAGAAAACAGAGGCCAAGGACTAGTTATTGATTACTTCGCTCCTTTTTTTCCTTTAATACAGTCTCACAAAGAAACCACCCTGAGCTTCTCTGCCAGAAACTAAGCATTTAATTGACTCAAGGGTCTGGGTCGGGCTGGCCCTTCTTGGGCAAGGACAAGTCATCCTGGTGGCTATGTATGTGTTGCACACAAGTAGTTGACTGGCTGGCCTGGGCCCGTGCAGGGACAGCTGCCCTCCAGGGACCCCTAGGTCACCCCCAGGCTTGCCCAGCCTTGCTGTCACGAAAGCTGGGTAGGATTCTAAGGCAGAGGAGGTGGCCACACAGCTGCAGAAGGTGTAGGCATGGGGAGGAGTTTAAAGTCTGCCAGTGTCTAAAGAAGGCTCAAGCTCTGGCGGGGCCCTCAAGAAGCCTGCAGTCCCATGGGGATGACAGTGACAAGTAGACACAGCCAGAGTATGGTATGAGCTCAGGTCACTTCATCCCCTAGTTGAGTTAGGGTTACTTGAATGATGCTTGCATTCAGCTGGGTTGGAGACAGGGTCTCGCTATGCAGTTCAGGCTGGCCTTGAGCTCACTTTGTAGCCCAGGCTGACCTCGAACTCACAGTGATCCTCCTGCTTCAGCCTCCCAAGTGCTGGGATTGTAGTCGTGAGCCACCACGCCCTATCTTGATACCACATTTTTAGCCACTTATTTTTGTGGCTATTTTCTGAGAATGATCTTATTAACTCATAAAATAATGATGAATTCTGTCATCTCCATCTTCCCTTTTTCATCATTTTATTCAATACTGGGCCATCTTTTTCTTAAGAAGAGGAAGTGAAGCATGGGCTGCCCTGTGTCTCGCTGACATTTACATAAAGAGACCAACCTGGAGCTGGAGGAGGATGGTGGCAAGGGCACTGTGTGAGGCTGCTTAAAATGGGGAACTTCTGCCAGGTGTGGTGGCACATGCCTGTAATTTCATGGGAGGCTGAGGCAGGAGGACCGCTGGGAGTTCAAGGCCAGCCTGGGCTACATAGTGAGACCCCACTTCAGACAAACCAAAGAGACTTCTAAAAATCAGGACCTCTGCCACTCAGCCCTTTAACTTGACTCAATAGTTAACAGATTGTGTTTTATAATTTCCCTTGGGGAAGATTTTGGTTTTTATGCCAACAATGTCCTGGAATGACACACTATCAGATGCCACCCTGGGTCCAAACGACTGTTCCTTCACCTGGGGCATCCAGATGAAGAGAAAAAGAAAGCACTTTCAAATCATTGTCCCCTGCTGTGGAGGGAGTGGCTGCACTCGGGAGACCCCCTGGCCGTCCTGCGGGGTCTCCTTTCTGCAGGCAGTCCCTGGCTCGCACCTCTGCCCTGGCTACCTTCCCTCCTCCTTTGGGATACAGCCCTCACAGCTAGTCCCCCACAGCTTGTCCTGGGGCTCCTTCTCCGGGCACTCTGTGCTCTGCTGACCAGCACAGCCGATGGGAGCTCTGTGTCTCCCCGCTCGGTGCTGGGCATTCCTGGCCTCTTCTTCTCTCTGCCTCAGTGATGGGGTGCCCTGTCCCCAAATGTGTCTCCTCCTCTCCACCCCGTAGGCCGAGCAGCGTGTCCTGTCTCAAGTGCACATCCTGGAGCGGCGCCTGGAGGCTCTGGCTACTGAGTTTTCTTCCAAATGGCAGAGGGAATCCATTCGGCTAGATCGTCTGGAGCTGCAGCAGGGGACTGCTGGCCAGGGGGGTGGTAGTGGCCTCAGCTATGAGGATACCCTGGCGCTCCTGGAGGGGCTGGTGAGCCGCCGGGAGGCCGCCCTGAAGGAGGACTTCCGCAGGGACACAGCCGCTCGCATCCAGGTGAGGGGGCCGAGCCCCCTGGGGAGAGAGAAAGCCATGTGTCACTTACCGGTGAGCTCGTGTGAGATTGTGACTGTGGATGTGTGGCCTCAAGGGGCCCCCACACAGTGCAGAGGAGACCAGAGGGTCATTTAAAGTCAGGCAGCTCTGCTGCTTGGCACTTAGGTCAGCTGGGCCTCAGTCGCCTCCTCTGAAATGGAGTCGGTCCTGTCTCCCTCCTGGTGTGGGACTGGAGCCCACGGCCTGGGGCTGACACCATTGTGCCCAGAGATCGAGCTGGGCTCTCACACATGTCACAGCTCTGTGGCCTGAAGCCAAGAGCAGAAGCCTGGGAACCAGCAGACCCCAGTTCAAATCCCAGTTAGGCCCTGCCTCGTCGCAAGCATCCCTCCAGGCACAGCTGTCCCGTCTTCAGTCCTGTCCTCCATGTCCGACAGGAAGAACTGGCCACCGTGAGGGCGGAACATCACCAGGACTCGGAGGACCTCTTCAAGAAGATCGTCCAGGCCTCCCAGGTCAGTGGGCTGGGCACTCTTCTGTAATAGGTGCTGGCCCATTTCCTCATCTGTCCATGGACTGTGAGAGCCCTGGGCCTTTGGTCCTTGTAGAAGCGGAGAGCTGCAAGCGGCAGGGCTGTGCCTCTGCGAGAGCTCAGCTCCCTGTCGGTGCTCTGCAGGGCGGGGACGGTTGTCATGCCCCATGTGTGTGTCACATGTGGGGGGAGACTTTCAAGGACTTCGGCCCAGCAGTCAGTTTGAGGCCTGCCACAGGGGCCAGCTGACCTGTGCCAGGCGTGTGGTTAAGCAGAGAGCCCAGTGGAGGGCAGGTCCTCCTCTGGAGACCATGTTCTCTGAGCTCAGCTTGTCCTATACTCATCCCTTTCTGTCCCAGGAGTCCGAGGCTCACATCCAGCAATTCAAGTCAGAGTGGCAGAGGTAAGCACCCCACCATCTGACCTGGGCCACCCCACACCCTACCCCAGGCAGATCAGGGAGCAGAACCCTGAGTGGGTTCTGACTATCCAGCCCAGCGGGGAAGGTGGCCGAGGTGGTCAGTCTGAGGCCAGCGGAGGGCAGCATGGAAGGTTAGAGGCTAGAGGCAGGCACTGCGGTGAGATGCAGGACTCGGTGACAGACACCAGTGGCCTTCTTCGGCCCCGAGCTAGCAACATGGCCTCCTCACATGTCCATACTTGGGGAGTAAACGGAATTACAGACCCTGGACACGGAGGGAATCAAATCAGAATTAGCTCTGGGCCAGGGAAGCCAGGGACCAGGCTCCCGGAAGAGCTAGACCCGCCGAGGGCGGGGCCTGCCCCTCACAATCACGGTGGGCACTTGCTATGTGACAGGGGCCAGCCAAGGTGTCCTCCTCCTTCCTCAGCTGAGCCTCACTCTGTCTCCTTACTCCTCTCCCTCTGGGACCAGGACGATGCAGGAGGCCATCCGAGAGAACTCTGCGCAGGAGCTGGGGCGGTTGGAGACCCAGCTGGCTGGCCTGCAGCAGGACCTGGCAGCTCTGACCCTGAAGCAGAGCACAGTGGAGGACGAAGTGGGGCTGCTGCCCCAGAAGATCCAGGCCGTGCGGGAGGAAGTGAGTGGGAAGCACCTGAGGCCCCGACAAACACCCACTGTCCAAGACCCTGGGCGTCTGCACAGCAGGGGCCTCTTATCCCTGCCTGTTATTCCCAGGAGGCTGCTGCAGAGCTGGACATGAAACAGGCACCGGCTCTGTGACAGGAGTGCTTCCTGTTTCTCATGAGTTCCCAGGGAGAGCTCTTGGGCCTCACCCTCAGACCCTGCTCCCCAAATGAGCACCACACACTCAGCTGGCCTGGCCAGAGCAGCCCTGGGATTCCCATAAGCCTCCCAGTGACACTGTGTCTTACCCCTAGGTGGAATCTCAGTTCCCTGCCTGGGTCGGTCACTTCCTTCTCCAAGGTGGGGGCACCCGAGCTGGGCTCCTCCAGCGAGAAGAGGTGCAAGCCCAGCTGCAGGAACTGGAGAGCAAGATCCTTGCCCACGTGACCAAGATGCAGGGCAGGTCAGCTCAGGAAGCTGCAGCCTTGCTGGGACAGACGCTGCAGAAGGAAGGCGTGGTCGGGGTGACGGAGGAGGTGAGGAGCAAGTGTGCCCCATAGACGCACTGCTGCCCTACCCTGGGGCTCTAGACCTGGACAGAATGTTCTAAGGCACGAGTGACACACAGGAGGCTCTTTTGTGCACTTTGAGCCACTGTGGGCGGTGGTGTGCTATTACCTGCCCTATGGGGTCCCACTGAGACTGTCTCCTGGGCCGGTTTTAGCAGGTGCACCGGATTGTAAAGCAGGCCCTCCAGCGCTACAGCGAGGACCGCATCGGGATGGTAGACTATGCCCTGGAATCAGGAGGTTTGTGCGGAACCTTCCTTGCTCGCCTTGTCCTGGTCACCCAGTGGCTGGGCCTCTGGCATTTGCCAGGTAGCCATGCAGCTAAGCACGAAAAGCTTAGAGTCAATACAGATTGCCCAACCTAGACTAAGCCACATCCCGGGCAGGAAGAGGCTGGCGTCCTCGGGTCGGGGTCTGGGGCAGCTGCCCCTGCTCACCGAGCACCCAGGCAGTGGTGGGCCCTCGTCTACTGCTGCAGCCCTTTGTGCTGGGTTCCGTGGCTGGCACCCTGACTGGCCAGCTATGAGTGCTCACGCTGCGTTCCTTACTCATCTCAGGGGCCAGTGTGATCAGTACCCGATGTTCAGAGACCTACGAGACCAAAACTGCCCTCCTCAGCCTCTTTGGCATCCCGCTGTGGTACCACTCCCAGTCACCCCGGGTCATTCTCCAGGTAGGCACCACTGGGGACCCCACTCGGCTCTGGGGACCTTGGGGATGACCCTGCAGGGTCAGCCGGAGCTGGACTCAGGCCCTGACCTGCCTTGCTTTTGTCTCCTCCAGCCAGATGTGCACCCGGGCAACTGCTGGGCCTTCCAGGGGCCCCAGGGGTTCGCTGTGGTCCGACTGTCAGCCCGCATCCGGCCCACAGCTGTCACCTTAGAACACGTCCCCAAAGCCCTGTCACCCAACAGCACCATCTCCAGTGCCCCCAAGGACTTTTCCATCTTTGTGAGTATCCATCCTGTGTGGGGCGGAAAGGGCCGCAGGAAGGTCCTGTTGGTCTGCTGGGATCAAGTTGGGGTCACTCAGGTGCGAAGGAGGGGTGCAGATTAGAGAGAGGGAGGGCCAGAGTGTGAGAGGGTCAAGTTCATTCCAGTTGTCTCAGGCTACCAGGAAGAGACTGAGGCACGAGAGTAAGCGATCCTCAGAGGCACAGGGCAGCGCCTCGGAGGCCAGGCAGTTCTGCTGAGCCGGGCCCGGCCTGAGTCGGTGCCACGTGCTCAGCCTCCTCTCCCTCCTCCCCTTCCGCTGTTCTGCAGGGCTTTGATGAAGACCTGCAGCAGGAGGGCTCACTCCTTGGCACATTCACCTATGACCAGGACGGGGAGCCCATTCAGACCTTCTACTTCCAGGTATGTGACAGCTGCGCCAGCGAGGTGGCACCTTGCTTTCCCTCCTGGGCACCAGATGTTTCCCGGGGACCCATTCTGCCGGGCACAGGTTTCAGAGAGAGAGGGAGAGATGCGGGCCCTCCTGCCTTCGGGGTACTACCCCATAGATGGTCCCCCAGGAGGCCCTTCCCAGAAGCACGGTGTTGGGAGCTTCCTGAGGCAGGGCGCCCCAAGGAGACCTTTAGGAAAGAAGGGTTGGGGGTCCCAGGAAACAGTTGCAAAGGGTGTTCTGGGAAGAGAGCCCAGGGCTTGGCCAGTTGGGGGCTCAGGCAGTGGCTGTGGCTTAAGTTTGAGTGGGCCTCGGGTCTCCAGGTCCTGAGAATGAGTCCTCAGGGCTGACGGCACCCAGGAACCTGCATTCAACTGAACCATCCAGATGAAAGGAGGCGAGGGAGGAAGGGGGAAAGGTGAGAGATGGGGAGGAGATGGTGGCAGGGAGAAACTCGAGGCAGGAGTCTTAGGTCTCGGGGCTAGGGAAATGACACTGCATGTCTTAGGTGACAGGACCATATGGGTGTTACTAAGGTTAAACGTGAACAGCGAAGGGGACGAATCTGGAGCTTGTATGCAGGGTCCAGAAGCGGGGTGCAGAAGTGGTGGCAGGAAGGTGGCCCAGAATAGCCGAGGTCAGAGAGGATGTGGGGAGCGAGGAGGGGACAGCTGGGAGGCTGTGAATGTCAGGCTGGGGGAACAGGAGGAGCAGGGGACGGCTCGCAGGCTACCAGCGTCAGAAGGCAGGCTTCCCAGGCCGTCTGCAGACTGAGCATGAAGGGAGGGTGCAGGAAGGGCCCAGGGAAAGGGCCCGGAGGGCTCCACGCTTGTGACGTCAGCAGGGTGCGATGTGATGTAACTGCTGGCTCTAAGCACAGAGGACAAAACCGGGGGGCCCTTGAGGAGGAGAAGAACCATATCAACATAGCCAGGTTCCCTCTGAAGGAACTTCTGTCCGCTCCAAGCGAAATTATCTCTGCCTTAGATGCCTTGTGCTGGGCCTTGGCACCAAAGCCATTTGCAAGTGGTCTGAGGGCCAGGCCTCCCAGTGCAGGCCCGTGGGGTTAGTGGTCCTCAGGCTGGCCACCGCTCTGAGAGCCTGAAGAGAGGAGCCTCTGATACCCAGTTCCCTTCAGAACCATCTCCCCAGCCCCCTTCTCCACCAGTGAGGTCTCAAACTTGGACACTCTGACACTCCGAACCCTTCTCTCTATCCAGACCCCTAAAATGGCCACGTACCAGGTGGTGGAGCTGCGGATCCTGACCAACTGGGGCCACCCTGAGTACACCTGCATCTACCGCTTCAGGGTACATGGGGAGCCGGCCCCCCATCCCTGAGTCTCTGCACCTGCTGTCAGCCAGGGCCACACCCCACCACGCAGACACCCTGCTCCGGTGTGGGTGTGCAGCACCCCGCCACTGTCCCCACACGCTTCATCAGCGCTCTGACTTCTGGGAGCAAGAAAGAAGAACCCTGCTTCCAGGGAGAAGAGGAAGAAAGCACTGGGGTCCCCTTCATCCCTCATCCTCTGAGCTGGGCCACCGAGTGTATATATGTAGCATACTGTGGGGAGCCGGGCAGGAGGAGGTGAGGGCCCTGGCCTGGTCCAGGTGGAATTGTGTGGATAGAGCAGGTGCCAAGCTCAGGTGAGCAGAGCTAGGGCCTAGGAGGTGCCCGGTGCCCAGCTCAGTCAGGGAAGCACTGTCTTGGAGGAGCCCACTCAGCACCTGCAGGATGAGACTGTCCCGGGCATGAGGCTGCCTGCAAGGCTGATGCCAGTGACCTGGGGAAGCTGGGCCCTCAGGCCCCCCAAGGGTCTCTAGAAACTGTATTTGTCCAGGGTATCAGAGGGCTGCTGCTTGTGCCAGCCTGCTAGACTCCCTGTGCTGGGATGGCCTTTTGCTTTTTCTCTTTCGATGCCAGGGCAAGGGCTTCCCTGTAACCTGTTCCTGCAGTGGGGCCGCCTGTGCCCCGGTGCAAGCTTCACACATTCCTGGGGCTGCAGAGTGCCTAGGCCTGTCTAGGGGCCATTAGCTAGAATGGGGGGAGCAGGGGTCTTCCTGGGCTCTCCTGGATGATGACGGTGCCATTCAGGGTGTCTGGTGGAGGGAGGGTGTCTGTTGGCCCACTGCCTCCTAAGTGGGCCTAGGGAGGCCTCTTTCTCAGGCCCCCTTGGGCTCTTGGCCCCCTCAGACTGTTTCCTTTCTGGCTTCTCTGCAGGGGCAGTGGGGTGGGGGCTGGGAGGGAGGTGGATGAAAAGGGGCTTTTAGACCCACAGGCCTTGCTGTATTATGTATATATTTTTCCAGGTGTGTTTTTTAACTGAAAAGCTAAGGGCTTGATTCTTAGCCCCGTTCTGTGGGGCACTGGGTGGTTCTCAGTTCCTTGGTCCCAGCCTGTGGGGAGCGGGCACTAGGGACTGGGCAGGCGGGTGCCCTGCACCTTACTGGGCCCCCACTTAGCCCTGCCCCTGCCCTTGCCCTGAGACAACCAGGTCTTATTCTGCGCTGTCCTGTCACAAATGCTGCACTGTTGGTTCTTAATTTTTTTTTTAATCTCCAGATTCTAATTTATGCCTATGCAAAAAATAAAGGATGCCCAGGATCAGTGGACTGGTTTTTATGTGGGCATTGCACAGGGCAGCTGCTCTTGGGGAGATGAGAGAATGGATTTGCGGCCAAACCCACATTCCAAGGGCTACAGTAGAAGATCCTAGTTGTCCTGGGGTTGGAACCACTGTTGCAGGGCCCAAGGCTGGGAGGAAGTGCGATGGCTTTATGAGCTGTCACTAAGGCCCCACAGAGAGGAGGCCCTTCCCGTCCTGTGCAGTGTGTAGAGGCAGAGAGTCATGCCAGCCACGGGCCCTGTCTACCTTACACATCACTCCTCCACGGGCCTCGACCGTAGCAGGAAGGGGACAAGTGAATCCTGAGGCACCAGGACCTGCCTGCTCAGAAGGAACAGGTCCTCAGCCTCCCTGAAGACAGCCGTCCAGACTAGTTTAGGGACAGCTCCCTAGTCCTCACTAATCAAGGCACCTTACCCAGGGCTGGGCCTCGCCACAGGTCAGAAAATAGAGACAGAGGCCAGCAGCAGGGATGGGTGAGCAGCCAGCCAGTGGCAGGTGGGGACTAGGGGAGGCCAAGTCCAGTGGAACCTTTGGGTCTGGAGTGCTGGGACAGAGCCAGACCGGCACTCACTCCAGGCTCTGCCTCTTCCTGCAACCATTTACCAGCAAAGGAGACATCGTCCTGGAGCAGAAAAGGCCGATGATAAAGGTCCCCAGAACTTGTTCACCAAGATGCAGATCCTGCTGTCTCTCAGGGGACTTCCCCAGCCTCAGCCAGCATCCGGATCCCTGCACGGGGCCCACTCCTGTCACTCCCATCTCCCTCCATTCTAGGCACAAGGGAGCCAGGCAGCCTGCAAAGCGGATCTGGTCCCCCCACCCCACCCCATCCCATCCGGGGCCTCCTCCCGGCTGGATGCCAAAGCGCTGCTCTGCTACACGTTCAGGCCAGGCCAGGCCGGGCAGGCCCAGCCATCGGGAGCAACACTATTCTGTCAGCCACAATGGGCTGGGGTTTTGTTCCAGTGCATGGTGAAGGCTGGGACCTCGGCAGTCTGTGTGACCCACACTGCACTGAATTCACTCAGCCTTGAGTATCTGAGGCCAGAGGCCAGGGCAGTAGCCGGGATCCTGGAAACAAACCACTGCTCAGAGGGGCAGTGCTCAAGCCAGAGCCACGGCTCAGCCAGACCCCTGGTGCTCCAGGCTCTGCCAAAGCCTCAGCCAGCCGGAGCCACAGGGCAGTGCAGATGGGAAGCTGACAGGTGCGGGGGCTGGAGTCACAGGGCCGCCTGAAGAGCCTGCTGGTCGAAGCCACCCAACAGCCCCATCAGTGCCACGCCACTCCTCTCCAGCCCTCCAGTGCCGGGCCTCCCTTTTGCTGTTACCGGGAAGCAGGGCAAGCTGTCTTGCTATGGTTTGTGTCTGGCTGTCTTTTCAGAGGTGGCTGAATTAGTGTGTGATGAATTCACAGTGCAAAGCTGGCACTCAGGGTGGGTGACTGCCCCATCAGTCCACTGACTGGACCAGCACCGCCCTAATCCCATAGACTGGATACAGCATGAAGGACGGAGAAGCCTGTCTTGCCATCTCTTGCTTTTGTGATCTCCGGCTGCCAGGAATGGCTGCCCCTCTGCCATGTGCACCCTGCCCTGGAGTCCGCTGAGGGACTGAAACCTCTACAGACGGGTATTCTGTCCCAGCTCCAGCTGAGGACTTGCACAGGCACCCAAGGGTGGGCCTGCCGCGTCCCTGTGGTAGCACCTCCACCTGGAGGGCTGGGCAGGGAACACCACACTGTCAACTTGGAACAAACTTTTATTGTGAATGCTGGTCTGGTCAGTCCATGGCCGCGGGGCAGTGGTAACTAGAACAGCTGAAAGGAGGGGACAGGGGACCAGCAGTCAGGAGCAGAGAACGGGAGGATGGTGGGGACGGGAAGGAGGCCAGGCTGAGGGGGGACCCAGCCAGCTGGGTGTCTGCCCTGGTAGGAGAAGGAAGCTGTGCTGCCAGCTGCCCTACAGAGACTGCGGGGCAGAGCCGTGTCGCCACCACAGCCCTGCCCCAGGCAGCAGTGCTTCTCAGCACTAAGTGCTCTGCATTGGGCCTGCACCCACCCAGGCATCCCACCACACCGCCAGTGGGGCCTTCAGACCTGGCCCGGGGTGTGAACAGTTGTGCTCCTGCAGCAGCTGGGCTGGCCTGTGGTGGGCAAGGCGGGGACCGAAGAAGGGCCCCTCTACCAACCAGAGGTGCTAGAAGACCCAGCTATCAGCAGCCCAGACCCAGTCTAATCAACTGGTGCCCCGGGGCCCAAGAAAAGGCCCAGGCCCCGGCAGAAGGGGCGGTAAGGAACCAGGCTCGAAGCTGGGAAGATGGGCAGGTGCAGGAACAGCCAGGGCCAGCCCAGGCAAACACAGGATTGTCTCCAGGGGAGGCCTGGCAGGTGCCCAGCCCGGGGCGTAGCTCTGACACCATCCCGCACACTCACAGGTACGACTGAGGGGCTTTTGGCATCACCCGTTTGAGGGCTTGAGGGGAAAAGGAGAAAGAGACAAGAGGAAGCCACCACGTCCCCCTGTGCACATCCCCAAATCCTGGCCTGCAGCAGGCATGGAATCCCAGGTGCCCAGAGAAGCCCAGGCCAGCACTGCAGAGGGCCTGCAGTGGCGCGAGAGCAGGGAGAAAGGAAAGTGGCCTCTTAGCTCCTGATGCCCCCAACAGCCACCGAGGGCCTCACCCGGACAGACACACAGACAGATGGACGGATGGGTGGACGGATGGGAAGGCCAACCACGGAGGACCAAAGGACAGGGCCCTGGCCACTGCCATTCCTGGGCCTCACACACACACAGCACGCTGAACAGAGAGACAGAGATATATAATAAAAAGAATAAAAACTAAGGGCCCAGATATACAAAAGGTGTGTGAGGAAGAAGGCAGGGAAGAGGGCAGGAGGCGGTCAGTCCTCTTTTATAAATTACAAAGCCCCCTGGAAAACAGGGGTGGAGCAATGGGAGGCTCTGGCTGTGGCCTGGGAGTGGGCGGCTGCAGTCGGCACCGCTCCGCCCAGCTGGTGAGAGGTGGCCAGAGTGAGGATCCCTGGGCGCAGTGCTGGGCTGGGGAAGATTTAGCAGCCGCTGGCAGGAGTCACGCAGGCCCCCTGGGACTTCACTTTGTGGCGCTGGCCCCCTCGTCGTCGGCCTCCACTGCTGGGCTTGGGCTGGAAGAGAGGAGAAGCTTGAGGAGTGCTGCTCCCGGGGAGCAGGGTGAGGCAGGCTGAGGGCAGGCGGCAGGGCCTGCAGCCTGTGAGGTGACCCTGCGCACCGCCTGTCTGTGAAACACAGCCTTCCTTGCGGGAAGAGGAAAGACACACGTGTGCATACGCACGCACACACAATACTGGTGCAGGGCCCTACAGAGGAGCACAAAGTCAAGAATGAGTCAAAATTTGCCACTGCTGACTGGGAAGAGCAGAAGTCATGGAACCAGAGGAGGCGATGCTAGGGTGGGGGTGACACACACATCCAGAAGCCTCACTCTCCACAGAGGGGACTGAGGAGAAGGGGGGGGGGTGTGCGCACAAGACGCATCCCCCCTTTGCCAGGCCAGGCCAGGCCAGGCCAAAGCCCTGGGGAGACAGCCACACTGCGACTGCCAAGGCCACTTCCCTGGATGCCAAGAGGGGACACAGGAGGAGCTGTAAGGCAGCACCTTCAGCCCTGGACTATGGCGCACACACAAGCTGCTCTCAATGCCGTTATCTCCTCTTGCTGTCAAAGGGAAACCTGATGTCCTCTATTTGCTTTCATTAAAACTAAGTGGCAGGCAGGGGCAAGGACACTGATGTGACGTGGGCCACATCTCAGCAGACTGGCTTAGTGAGAGACACTGCAAGAGCAGCTGCCGGGAGCACTTCATGCCCACCCGGCTCCCCCGGGCCACGCCCTCTCACCCTTGCCCACTACCCACCCTAGGCCCTCACTCACCTGGGGCTGCAGACCACTGGACTGCCCAGGGCCTAGAGACGAAACTTCATCCCCGGGCGGGGCTGCCGCTGCCGCTGCCCCACTGGATGGCCCCCCCTCTTCTCGTTTGGACAGCGGACCCTTTTTCGTTGACTGCATCTTTATCTGCTGGGGCTTGGAGTTCATCGGGGAGTTGTTAGTGGTCTGGAGCAGCTGCAGGGGCCAAGGAAGTGAGAGTGAGGTATCAGCAGCCTTGTCGGGTCCCTGTCTCCCTCCTTTGGGGGACTTCTTTCCCTGGCCTGGCTGCATGGGGACCAGGGCACACAGGGAGCATGGCAGGATGGCTATGCCAGAGAGCAGCCAGGCACGTCTGCTCCCCGCAGCCTGGGACGAGGATGCAGAGCCCCGAGGCGGCCTCCTCCCTTCTCGCCTCCCTCAGCCAGACCCACCGCCTTCCCATTCCCTGGCCTTGAGGCCACCAATGGAGACTTCCCTGGACCTCTCTGCTGCCTCCCAGCCCAGCTCCCAGGCTGGCATCCAACCTGCCACACACTGCTGCTCTGGGCCCACTTTAACTTCAGGTCTCCTGAAGAGACCAAAAGAGCTAAAAACACATGGAGTTTGTGAGAGATCTTAAAAAGCTACCACCCAGGCAAGGTGTGGTAGCATATGCCCGTAATCCCAGCACTCAGGAGGCTGAGGCAGGCAGGTTACCATCAATATGAGGTCAGCCTGGGCTACATAGTGAATTATTCAAGACCAGTGTGAACTACACAGCATGACTCTGTCTCAAAAACAGCAATAAAAATAGTTACCTCTTGAACAACTCCCTTGGAATCTGTTGAAATTTAAATTCAAGAGGAGCCCCAGCCAAGTCCCTGAAAATGCTACAGTGTGTGCTGAGCCTCTCCGACCTCCTGGCCAGTCCCCGAGTCTGGTTCCAAGATCTCAGACACCTGCAGACCACATCTTCCTCCATCACAGCAGGGGCCAAAGCCTCTGCTGAATGCCCCACCCACACCAGGGGCAAGGTCTACAGAGGGCACAGTGGGCAGAGAGGACAGACAGCTCGGGCCCTAAGGAATCCACACCCATGGCCCTGCGCCACCCAGCACTCACTCGGCCAAACCTGCTGCACTGCAGGGACAGGAGCCAGAGTAGGCACCTTGGAGGAGGACCCTGCCTCCTGTAGCAGGAAAGAAGTGGTACAGAGAAGCCCCATCTTGGGGCTGATCCAGCCCTGCCTGGGGAGGGGGTAGGGGAAGAGGGACTCTCCAGGGTTCTCAGGAGGAACTCAAGGTGCTCGCAGGGACCCTGCTGGATGGGTCCTGCCCTGGGGTGGGTGACGCAGGTTGGGGCCATACCTTGGTGATGGTGCCGACAGCCTTGGTGCGGCCTTCTCGGAACACCAGCCGCTGGTCTATGTGCAGGTACTCTGGGGTCTTGATGAAGCGGAAGTGGACAGTGGCCTTGTCCCCAGTACGAAGACAGTCCTTGTCCATGCTCAGAATGGTGGCCGTTTGCCTGATGCTCCCACAATGCACTGCCAAGGGAGCAGGAGATCAGGACAGGTTTGGGGCACTCTGTGGCGTCAGGACAAGGGGACAGTGAGTGAAAGCACAAAATACCCTTGAGCTGCAGCATGAGGAGCTCATCCCTGGAACTGAAGCCTCGAGGGGCCGCAGGGCGTAAGCTGGGGGCCTGTGCTCAGCCTGCTCCTGCCTCAGCTCTGCCCCTCCTCCTGCTGGGCCTGTGTGCCAACCACACCCTAGTTTGGGGATTACAGGGCGCTGTATCTGCACACGCACCTCCTAACTAGATGATACGCCACCATGTCATCTTTGTCCTGGCACCTCAGCGACACTGCTAGGCACACAGCAGTGCTTAGCTGTCATGCACTGAAGCTCGGTCTGCGGGTTGGAACCCTCAGTGACCACTGATAAGACCAACTCAACACTGCAGCACGTGGGCAGAACCCAGGGAATGGCTTCAAGGACCCCGACAGAGATGCGGACCTGATCTTGTCTGAAGCTAGATCACTTTTTGGCAGAAGCAAGAGTGGGGGCCCCTGGGATGTAAGGCCGCAAACACATACCCATGGCCTGATAGCGTGGGCTAATCGTGGTGGGGTGGTGGAGGACAAGAATCTCAGCTTCAAATTCCCAGGATGCTTGGGGATTCAAACGAGGAGAAACCATCACCATGCCCTTCCGGATGGATGAGCGCTTGATCTGAGAGAGGGAATACACCACTCAGACACAATGATGTCTTCTGCTTTTGCCCCTGGACCTGGAGTACCAGGACTCTTTCTAGGAATAGGGACAGTCCACCTCAGCCCTGCCCTCATCACCTCTGGGGCAGCCTGGAAAGGCAGGCTTTGCACTACACGGGAAGCTATCTATTGCCACAGGGGCACAAAAAAGTCTTCAAGCAGAACTGGCATTTCAGCTGCTGGGCTTGAGGGACAGGTGAGGAGCCAAGGCAGATAAGCATTCAGCTGGAAGGAACAGGGTGAGCATGATGTGACCACTACAGGGAACACATCAAGTTCCACTTTTCCTGGGTGATCTGGTTGTCAGGAAGGCAGGTGACTCCAGCACTAGCAGGGACTACAAAGCCCAGGAAAGAGAAGATTGGACGGGTCCTGTGCCCAGCAGGGGGGGCTCAGGAGGCTGTGTGGTGGGCGGGTTCCAGGTCTCCTTGCCCATAAAAATGAGCTCTGTAATTCCACCCAGCAGAGAAGCCTCAAGAACTGGAGAGGGCAAAAAGTTGCCAGCCAGAGCCTCACATGATGAAGCCCAGGGGACTCTGGTGCTGCCCCATACGCACCTTCTTCAGAGCAAAGGAGGCCGTCTGGCCCCCACGCACCTCCTTGACAGGCATGCGCTTGCGATGAATGGACTTGACAGCGATGGACAGGAAGTTCCCCAAAGGGTCGGGGCCCAGCAGCAGTGTGTCATTCAGCTTGATCAGGCCCCGCAGTGTTGTCCCCGACACCACTGTCCCCACACCCTGCCAAGAAGATGCTAGCCTAGTAAGTCCACCCCCACCACAGAAGGGATTCCTGATGCCCACCAGCCACCCATCCTGCTCAGCCACACCCAAAACCACTCACTGGGACAGAGTAGGTGTCATCAATCTGGAACTCTGCTGGCTCTTCCTCCCTGTAGCTGGTGCGGGGGGACAGAAGGTTGAGGAACATCTTCAGCAGATCTAGGTTCTCGCCTGTAACGTTAGAGATCTGGAATATTGGGCACATCCTAAGTGGAGGGGAAGAGAAGGAAGAAAGGAGAGAGGAGCTCAGGTGGCCAGCTCCTGCCCTCATCTGCCAGCAACCCCACCTCTGACACCCTGACCTCTGCCCTGGCCAGCTTCTCCCAGTCAGCCCTGCCTCATGGCCTCTAACTCAGTTTCGTCCCTGAAACCCATTACCTCCTCCCCTTCCCCTGCTGCGGCCCTCAGGCCCACTGCTTCCTCAGGCTTGCGCATGCCAGCCAGCCAGGTCCCCCTCCTCTACTCACGGCCCTTTGAATCAGGGCTGTGGCCTGCTCCTCGGCCTGGTACCCCAGCCTACCACACGCTGCCCCTTCCCGAGAGCTGCGGGCTGCCCCAGCCCCACACACAGGTACGCTCACACTGACCTTCCTTCCCAAACCCCTTTCCTCTTAGCCAGCTCCAACCCTTCTCACCCTCCACAGTCCGTCTCAACCACCACCTCTTCCACGAAACCGTCCTGCGTCCTCCCAATTTCTCAGGCACAGGGGACAGCTTTTGTGTCTGTTGCTGTGCTACATCTGACTTCTACCACAGCTATGTAAGTGGCCTCTGTCCTCTCACCGCAGTGAAAGAAACCCCCGAGGTCAGAACTACACACTCCCTGTAACTGCTACAGCAACGCCTGCACTAGGGACTCAGCAAAAGCCCTGCGCCAGCGCAGGCCTGGCTGATACATGCCCCCTCTGCTGGCCTACTGTGGTACTGAGGGCGGCCAGGCTAGAGGCACATGGGAAGAGCCAGGCTGCACTGGCACCTTCTGGGCAGTGGACCAAGGCAGCAGGCAGATGGCTGCCAAGGAGGCCACGCTCTGGACAAAGGCTTTGACCAAGGTCAGCGCAAACAGCAGCATTCCCAACCAAGCTGAATCCCTGGAGGACTATGTTCAATTCAGCTCTGGATGAAGAACAACATCTAATAAATATTTATGGAAATGAAAAGATACATTCACAGGTCGAAAATGACCTGTCATTAGACAGCTTTCGAGAAACAGAAAATTAATAATCATGCAAATGGCTGTATATCTGTCAGCCAGGCACAATGCTAAGCACTGTACACACAGAATTTCAAATGCTCACAACATGGTCTCATTCCCACTTGGGACAGTGACATCTCAGCTGGAATCTCTAGCTCCGAGGCTGCACCTCAGATTAGGGGACTTGATATGGCTTCTGGCAATACTGCTGGCCTGGGGACCCTTGGCCTTCTGTTCCCTCCAAGCCCTGACTAGGAAGATGTGGCCATGAGCCCTGAATGACAGCCATTCTAGGTCTATCACTGGCCAGAAACCCAAGGGCCAGGGCGCCTGGCTGGAACACATGCTGTCCACCCATTACCTCTCAGAGCTGAAGTTGGAGGCCGTAACAATCACATCATCTTTGTTCTGCACCAGCACAGGGATTTTTCGGCAGCCCGGAGACTTCAGCAGGCGCTGTAATAGCTTCAGAGTTTCTTAAAGGGCAAAATGGACAGAATTAGGGGCACAGCTTTCTCTTTGGCCAGGCTTCCAGCATAGGACAGGCCCACTCATTATGATGCAAGAAGGGGAGATACATGAACCAGTATTAAATGCCACAAAGCCCAAAAAAGTGAAAGTGGGGCGCAATGCTCTGGGTGGGTATGTGCCACTGGAGTAGAAAAAGCACAGGTGAGGCCTCTTTGCCAAGGCTGCACTTGAAAGCTGGCAGATTTCTCCAGCGTCTCTAGGAGACCCATATCCCGCAGACAACTAATTTGGGGGTCCCTGAGAGGAGCCAATGGTCTTCCCCAAATACTCTGCTTCTGGAGGGAGTGTCTCCTCTGACAAAAAGATCTCCTGAATGCTGAGAAGTCTGCAGAACCCCTTGCTGTGAGGCCTCCTAGCAGGACAATCTGCAACACTTAAGCGAGAGGGCCACACAGGCCTACTGCTGCGACCCTGGGTGGGTGGCAAAAGGTCATCAGATAGCTGTCCAGAGGCCTGTGTGTATATCTGGTTTGGATGCCCAATGCCTGCTGCTAGGGTCATCTGAAAAGTTACCAGCTCAGGGAATCTCAAGGCACTACACCGGGGACCAGAAAGACAAAAGAACAGAGGAAACTTCTACATTATGCTTAGATCAAGAACTTAACAGGAGAGGAAGAGGCAGAAGATTCTGGGTTGAGAGAAATTCAGGGCAAGGTCTGAGCACAAGACATGGAAACAGAAGCTCTTGGGCTGAAGTCCTGGCAGCAGATTGCCCTGGAGATGCACTAGGAGATGAGGGAGGCTGCTACCCACTGCAGGCAGCACTTACCTTGCAGGATGTTGGCGGGACACATGTCAATCTTGGTGACCACCACAAAGACGGGTACATTGAGTGCCAACGCCAAGCCCAGGTGCTCCTTGGTCATCCCCACAATTCCAGCATTGCTGCCCACCTGTCCCAATACAGAAAGCAACTGTCAAGTTGGGCGAGGACAGAGACTGCTGTTAGATGGACCCGGGGGTTCAAAGTCAGCCACCCACAGAAGCGGGGCTGGGCACAGACCACTTTGACCCACACTCAGCAATGCGGGCCACCAAAACATGAGGAGACTTGTAAACGAGAGAGAAGATAAAATCAGACAGTCTGGCCAGGCATGGCAGCGCATGCCTGCAGCCCCAACACTTGGAAGACTAAGGCAGGAAGATTACTTGAGTTCAAGGCCAGCCTGAACTACAAAGCCAGAGGCAGTCTCATAAACCCAAAAACCAAAACCAGACAGTCTGGGGGAACAACTGTTTACAGTCCTCTAGGTGGATTAAGCTTAATATCCCTGGCCCTCCGTTTCCCATCTGTGAGAGAGGAAACAATCTATTTTACATAATCTGCATCAAAAATACCAACGGCATTCCTCACAGATCTAGAGAAAACAATCCTAAAATTCATCTGGAACCAGGAGAGACCCACAATAGCAAAGGCAATCTGGGTAACAAAAGCAAAGAAGGAGGCAACTCAATCCCAAATCCGAAGTTGTATTACAAAGCTACAGCAATAAAAAGCACGGTACTGGCACAAAAACAGATACGTGGCCAGCTATGGCAGCCTACGCCTGCATCCCAGCACTTGGGACGCCGAGTCAGATCACTGTGAGTTTGAGACTAGCTTAAACTACAAATGACTTATGGCCAGCCTGAACTATACAGCAAGATCCTGTCTCAAAAATAAAACAACAGGCCCGGCGTAGTGGTGCATGCCTGTAATCCCTGCACTCAGGAGGCTGAGGCAGGAGGACTGCCTTGAGTTTGAGACCAGCCTGGGCTACACAGCGTTCAAGAGGTGAAGGCCAGCTTGGCTTTCATAGGGAGACCCTGTCTCAAAAAGACGTGACAACTGGGGATTTAGCTCACTGGCCTAAGCCCCTGGCTGGCAAGCTCAAGGTTGTGAGTTCAACCCTGGGTACCAAAAAAAATGATAAAAAATAAAAAATCAGACATGAAAACACTCTAGAGTGTCTTCTCTGTAATAAACAGTGTTGGGAAAAAGAGTTCTCAAGGCCAGCCTGACCTACAAACTGAGTTCAAGGCTAGTCTGAATGGTATTGTGAGACTCTGTCTTGAAAACAACAACAAAATTAATACTGAGAATAAACAAATAGGGTCATATCAAATTACAAAGTTCCGTGTAGCAAACCAAACAACCAACAGAGTGAAGAGACAACCTACAGAATGGGTTGTCTGCCAGCTATACCTTAGACCGAGGACTAAAATCTAAAATATACAAAGAACTCAAAATAAATTAGACCTCCCCTCAAAATGAAAAGCCCAATCAAAAAAATGGGCAACCAAAATGAACAGACACTTCTCAGAAGTACAAATGGCCACAAATACATGAAGAAATGTGCAACATCACTGGCCACTAGAGAAATGAAAATCAAAACAATACTGAGATTCCATCTCAGTCCAGAAAGAACAACTATCATTAAGAAGTAAATAACAACAAATGCTGGAGAGGCTGCAGAGAAAAAGGAACCCTTCTACCTTGTTGGTGGGAATGTAAACTAGTGTAACCACTTTGGAAATCAGGTGGAGACTTCCTTTTTTTGTCTTTTTCCTTTTTATCGGTACCGGGGATTGAACTTACAACTGCCTGCTTACAAGGCAGGCACTTATGCCGCTGAGCTAAATCCCCAGCCCCAAGGTGGAGACTTCCAAAAAACTAAAAATGGGAATTCCATCTGACCCTGCTATTGCCCTTTTCTTTTCCCAAAAGAGTTAAAAGCCATCATACTGCAAGGATATATCCATGTTTATAACAGCACAATTTATAAAAGCTAAATCTTAGAAATGATCTTTATAGCCATCAATGGACAAACACATAAGGATAACGTGGTATTTACAGAGAATGGAGTACTACTCTGCCATAAAAAGACACTTAAGGCATTTGTAGATAAGTGAATGAAATTTGCGCCATAAAACTGCACAAAAATCAGACACACAAGCTTAAATATCACATGGCTTCTATGTGAAACCTAAACTATAAAGAGCAAAATAAAAGATAAATCATAGGAAGTAGACAGACCTTTCTCAAATGCTAATTCCAGCACTTCACAGGCTGAGGTAGGAGGCTCACTGTGAGTTCAAGACCAGCCTGGGCTACCTAAGTGAGTACAAGGCCAGCTTGAACCAGAGTAAGAGCCTGTCTCAAAAAAACCAAACCAAACAAATGATAAGGGAAACAAAAGATGGAGGGAGAAGAGGTGGAAAGGCAAGGGGAAAAGAGAATTGAAGAGCAAAACATGGAAACAGAACTCTTGAAAATGAGAGGGACCAATAATTGGAGGGAGCATGCTCCAACTCCCTACAAGAGATGTAATCGTTACGCACTGCAGACATATGATAAAAATAAATACATCTCTGTACTTCAGAAGATCACTAGAGGTTTAGCTGTCTTACTATACATGAAAAGTCCCACACACAATTAGCGTGAACTAGGTGTTCTCACGCTCGCAGCTGTTACTGGTCCTATTCCTTCTAGTGACATTAAATGTCTTCAGTATCACTGTGAAGCCTGGTTACAAAAATTAAGGCATGTGAACAAAATACACTGTACAGAAAAGAAACTTCTGATTCTCTTTTGGTACTGGAGATTAAACCCAGGCCTTCACAATGTTTGATTTTTCCATTTTTAGACAGCCTCACTAGCCACTAGGTTGCCCATGCTGGGCTTGAGTTTGAGTTTGCAATCTGCCTGCCTCAGCTTGCCGGAGTGCTGGGATGACTATGTCTGCCTGAAATGTTCTTCTGATACGGGCTATGTATGCATGCATGTATATGTATGTGTATCTGTGTATGTATGTTTCAGACAGTGTCTCTCTTTGTAGTCTAGGCCCGCCTAGAACTCTCGGCAGTCCTCCTGTCTCAGTCTCCTGAGTGCTAGGATGAATGGTATGTGTCACCCTGCCCAGGAAGGGTTAGTCTTTAAAATGTTTCTAAGGGAAAAAAAAAAAAAAAAAAACGGCAAAGTGTACACAGTGTACTACTATAAAAAGAGGCGGGCAGATAATAGCTCGGTGGTGGAGCCTAGATGTGCAGGTCCAGGTTCCACCTCAGCACCAATGCTGCTGAATTACTAGCAGAAAAAGCAGTTATACTGTAAGACACTTGGGGAATATCTGAGATGATCTATAGCTTAAACCCTGGAGGAAGGACGCACAGGAATTATCACTCTTCATTTTCTTGGCTGTAGTAACAGAAGACAATCTTTACTTTCAGTTGTGTGCTGAATTTTTTGATAGGAAGAGTCACAATGTTCACAATGCATTTGCAAATGATTCAATCAAAAAAGCAACACACACATACACACATCCTGTTAATTATTCTTGAATCTAAATATCAGGGGGTTGGTGACATTCATTATGCCATTCTTTCCATTTTTCTGCATGTTTTGAAATCAGAGGGAGACAACATGCACACCTTTGCTGGTTGAGCACAGGCTTCGGGGCACACACACAAGAACTACAAACACTGGCCACTTCAGCCAGAAAAAGACAGAGACTTTTCGCTAAAAGCCTTCTGGTGCCTTTTATCTTTGTATCATGTGAACACGTTACTTACTACAATAAAATTAAGTCATAAAAGAACTTGCTTTTCTTTAAAAAGTCTATTTTATTTCAAAGAGAGAAAAAAGGTTTATTAGGAATCAAGCAGAATACTGCGTACGTGAACAGGAAGTAGCATTCTGGCTTGACATGCGTGGGCATATTGAAGGGATTGGCTGGCATACAGTTGTCCGGGTCTCCCAGAAGGTCGGGTGAAAAGAGGATAAAGTTAGGAGAGTTAACATTATGAATATTAAACCTAAAATAGCTTTAATTGTATAATATGGGATGAAATGGAATTTTGTCCAGATCTGCATTAAGTTTTGATGGATTGTTTTTGCCCTGGTTTTGTGGAGAAATAAAAGGTGAACTATACTAGGGCTGCAATAATAAATGGAAGGATAAAGTAGAAAGCAGAAAATTATGTGGGGGTTTGCTTTGCCCACTGAGAATCTGCCTCAGATTCACTCAACTGAAGCTGCACCCATGTAGAGGAACGCAGATAAGAGAACTTGCTCCACCATCCCAGGTCACGGTCACACTGCAAGAAGCTCAGCCCCATGACAGCAAAGTTCACACCGTGTCCAGTCAGCTGCATCTGTCTCTCCCCTCACCAGGACACCCATCTGCCCGATGCAGTTTCCCTTCTAACTCTTCCCCCCTGGCCACCCGGCTCACACTAGCTTCTGTTCTTCCCAAATGCACAGGAGAGGGCCCTACTGCTCTGCTGGGCACATTATGGTGGGGGGCGGGGGGCTTTTCCTGGAAATTGACCACCAAGGAACAATAATAAATATTTCACTATTTTCTATACAACTTTTGATGTTTGGATAGTGGTCTATAAATGAAACATGAACACTGTGTCTGGGGTGAAAGTAATTCTTTTCATAGGTCTTACCTTAGCTCGATTAGAAAACTACTTGTTTTATGAAGAACTAGAGGACAGGAATTTTATATCGTAATTTTCCACACTGTATTAAAAATTGATCGCACACGTCTGCAGTGCAGTTACACTTACCGTGGGGAGCTGGAGCGCCCACATCGCACCTTCGACTTCTGTTCCATCCCTACCCCTCCCGCTCCCTCCAACTCTCAGTCTCCTCACCAGCTGCAAAAGCTCCATTTCCATCACCATTCTCCTTGCCTGTCAGCATTTTTCCCCATCCCTTTTCCCCTCTCCTCCCTCCCATCACCATTTCTTGTTCCCCTATTTGGAAAAGATCTATTTATCTATCTTATATTTTACACTCCATCTCTCTCTCTCTCTGATATAAAATCTATTTTATTTCAAGGAGAAAAAAACTAAAACTTTCAAAGCATATCATATATACGTATTTAAGTTGCTCATATAAAAGAAACCATGCGAAGTTTAAGCCTGTGTCTGATTTAGTTCATGCAGCTGTATCCATTTACCCACGAACACTTCAAGTTAATCTTTCTTTTTCTTTTTTTTATCAGTACCGGGGATCGAACTCATGACCACCTGCTTTTGCAAGGCAGGTGCTTATGCCGCTGAGCTAAATCCCCAGCCCCAAGTTAACCTTTCTTTATGGCAGACTAGTGCTCCAGTGTTTACAATTTTCTTCATCCATTCAGCTGTTAATGGGCATAGAGCTGTTTCCAAGCCTAATGGTTGACACACTGTGTCAAGCTGAGAAGTCCAGCAGCTAACTCATAATTCAGCAGTGCTCTGTCCTGGTGTGCAGAGGAGATACCTTAGGCTCTAGGATATTGTTCACTGTGTCAACCTGAGAACCCTAGATGACTCAGCAGGGGCCAGGGTCCTCACTGGAAAACGTAAGAGCACGCACAGAGAAGGTATGAGTGCTACACCCGCCCTAGGAGGGGCCAGTGCACTTCTGCTCACTTGCTCTTGCTGTCTTCTCCTGCCTTGACTGCTGCCCTCACCACCCTGCCCCGGAGCCACCTGATTACAGACTGCACCCTCCACAAACTGTCAGCTAAATAACCCTTTCCTTCTTCCATTTTGAATGTGGGGTATTTTGTCTCACAAACAAGAAAAAAGTAACCAACACACCACACTAAGGTCTGGCCATTGTGAAAGGTGCTGCTGTAAACATGGGTATACATGTACCATTATAACGTGGTAACTTTTAACTCTTTTGGGAAGATACTAGAAGTAGAATAGCTGGGTCAAATGGAAATTTCTACCTTAGGTTGTTTTCTGCTATTTTGGGGGTACCAGGACCTTGCACTTGCCAGGCTGGCACTTATGCCACTGAGCTGTATGCCTGGCACTACCTTTAGGTCTTTGAGGGCTCTCCATATGGATCTCCATCATGACTGCACTAGTTTACATTCCCACCAACAGTGCAGAAGAGTTCCTTTCTCCCCATATCCTCATCAGCATTTGTACGATTATTACGTGTTAATTCAAACAAAAATAAAGAAGAAAACCATTATTTTATTTATTTTTGCCTTTGTGGTTGAATCCAGGGCCCCACGCATACCAGGTAAGTGCTCTACCCTGAGCTACAACTTGAGCCCTAACACCTTTCATTCTGTGGTTCAGAATGAACCCATCGGGTGTTGAGCTACATCCCCAGTTTTTTTTTTCTGATACTACGGATTAAACTCATGACCTCACGTTAACTAGGCAAGTGTTTTGAGCCACTGAGCTAAATCCCCTGCCCTCTTTTTTTTTTAATTTAAAAAGCAAAACAAACAAACAAAAAAGGATAGAAATTACACAGAACTTTAAGAAAAAAAAAAAAGAAATTAACACCAGCTAATATATTACCCATTGTTATCTTAGAAGCAGTGCTCAGGCTATATGATCTAGGCTCCCAGTCCTTCTTTTCATTGTATTTTGAGACAGGGTTTCATTAAGTTGTCCAGGCTGGCCTCAAACTTGTGATCTTCCTGCCTTACCTTCTTGAGAAGCTAGGGTTACAGGACCCTAATGCTTACTTTGAAATGGTTTCTATAACCTTCTTAAAACAACCGCCCCAGGACTCCTGGTCTCACTCTACTGGTCTCACTGCTGCACAGCACTCTCCGGCCTCAGTCTAGAAAGCTAGCAAAAGGGGAGAAGGAACCGTGCTCAGAGCCCGAGAACCCAACCCCAGCAGAGTGATGAGCCTGCACCCCACATTCTGTCTCCCTCTCCTCTCCGTGCGGGGAGCTGGCCTAAGCACTCGTGTTTGTGGGGCAACTCGAGCCAGTCTGCTAGGAACAGATGCTTGTGTTTACCACACTTATTAACACGAGCAGCTGAAGAACTGGGAACGGGAAAGGCCCTGGGAAGGACTTGCCAAACCCAAGTGTGCTTGCTCGCTGCTGCCTGTACGCATCCCTCTTTCCACCTCTCCCTTCCTGAGAAGGCGAGGAAGCTGGGTACATGGTCAGAGGCTCACTATCCCTACTGTCCAGGGAGGAAGTTCAGCAGGACACACACGAACACAGCAACAGGAAATAAGCAGAGCCCTCTGCTCCCTCGCCTTTGCGGCGAATTGAATGATAAATCGAACTGTAACACACTGTAAGCTCTCTGGGAGCCCAGAATGCCTGGTTCTGCTGTGCCATCAGAGGAGCAGGGCACCAGGCACACAGGAGCCAGCCAGCAGGGGCCTGTGCCCCAGCTGACACTGCCCCCTTCCGGACTCTGAAGATGCCACCTCTCGGGCCTTCTGACTAATGCCTGAGCCTGCTGACGTGAGGTGCTCCCCTCGTCTTTCCAAAGCCTCCTCCCTGCTTCCCCACTGCTCTGGAGAAACACTGCTGAAACCAGGAAGTCAATTCCAGGAGAGACTTTTCTCTATGCCTCTCTGAGAAACAAGAGAAATCTGCAAATGATACTTTGGTCTTAACAAGACAACCCCTCCCTGGCCCAGGATTGGGGAGAGATCAAGCCCATCCCTCAGAAGGACACAGTGCTCAGACAACCAGGCACCAAGATCGCTAACTTGTCATCCTTCCCTGTGTACAGCTTCAAAGCAAGAGGCTACAATTTAGACCAGTCCCAGACCCCTACATGTGACACCCCTCCCCAGAATCAAGATCGCCTCACACTTACCATGAGCATGCAGAAGTCAGGCAGGTGGCCGGTCATGCCAAAGACAGTGGTCTTCAGGTACTTCTCGTGGCCGGCCAGGTCGATGAAGGTAATCACCTTAGTGGATTTCTCACAGATCTTCGTCCACTCCAGGCTGCCACCGTGGCTGTCAGGCTTGTTTACCACATTGCCTTCGCTGTCGAAGCCCAGAATGTCATTGCCCACACTGCTGGTACGACCAGATTCAATCTCATGTTTGTGGCGGAAGAGCTTCTGGCGGGCAAAGCCGCGGCCATTGTCCAGCTCCCCATGCGTCAGGACCCCCAGAAGTGTGCTTTTGCCAGCATCCACGTTGCCCACAACTGCTACCCTGTGTGCACATGGACCCAAACACCAGCGTGAGATTAGTGCTGAAGAGACAACTCGGAGCCCAGAGACTGGAACTCAGCTCGCTACTCCTGCTACTCTTGGCGTAAGCTCTGAGAGTGTTCCTAGCGTTGCAGGGGCAGGAGGCTGTTCTATGGTTCCAAGCTCCCTCAACACCTGTCTTACTCCCCCAGGTCCTGGGCTTCAGGCCTCGAAGGCTGATGGAGCAAATGCAACCCACACGGTGGCCACAGAACACATGGCTGGGCCTCTCCCACTCTTCCCACATGGAACTATTCAGAAGTACAAAGTGCAGACAACCGAGCGGTCACGACCCTGGGCACACTTTCCCCATCTCAGGAAGGAGTGCGGCTGACACACCAAGTGTCACAGGCTTTATCACAGGTGTCTATGAAGACACAGCCCCCAAGGTCATGCATCAGGGACCCCTCAACAGTCCTGAGCCTCCTCACCTGACCTCCAGGAAGTCATTGTCTCCTACTCGTTTCCGGACCAGGTAATCACGCACTCGGCCACCGGCTTCTTGGCGCTCCCTCAGGAGGATGACGTCAGCCTCTATCTGTTCGGCCATGCTCTTCACTGTGGCGTAGGAGGCCTCCATGTCAGCTTCACTCAGCCCATACTCAGTCCCATCTGGTGACAAGAGCCCACACATCAGCAGGAGAGAGGGTCCTGAACAACTGGCCTGCCAACATGCCAGCCAGTACCACTCGCCTAACAAGGTGAGTGGTGCTGGAGAAGAACACACACTCTCGCCTGACAGCAGAGAAAGACAATGTCACCACCTCCACCTGAGCAGGACATTGGGCAATTCATTCAGCAACTTTCTTGGGTCTCATGCCAAGTGTCATGCCAGGTGCTGGCAATACAGGGGCCCTGACCAAGCCCACAGCCCGGAGGGAGGGTCAGGCAGAAAATTAATTAACTGCAGTAATGGAGAGAAGACAAAGCACAGCCTGGGGAATCCAAGGGAGCTTTGCAGGTCCTGACCCCAGGCTGGCTGAAAAATGAGCCCACAAGAAAGGAGGAAGGACATCTGCCTGAGGAGCAGAGCTCAAAGCATGGAGATGATGGCATATTAAGGAGCCAGGAAGTGGCACTGAGGAGCAGGACAGGAAACATGGAGTGACAGGAAGGCACACAAGAGATGGAAGCCGGTATAGCAGACGACGTGAGACAGAAGCAAGAGTACTTCTGTGCTAGGTGGGGAAGCTTGGGGTCAGGTCAGGTGCAGGAGTAGCATGGGACAGAGGTGGACCAGAAAGGTCTCCCAGGAAGTAAGCAGGAGGCTGGAAGGGGGAAGCCAGGGAGAGAGTCATTCTAATAGTTCAAACAAGTGATGAGCACGAGGGACGCAGGGGTGGAAAGGACCTTCGGGTTATTTTACAGAGACTCTGGCCTGAGCCAGCAGAGGTGAAATGTCTGGCAAGTTGCTAGAAAAAGGAGTCTGAGCCTAGCCTGAGGGGGGCAGACAAAGGACAGGCTGTGCCACCCTTGGTCACTGAGGACTGAGACAGTACTGGTGCGGAGGTGTTTCGATTCCCGCTGTCACTCCCTGCGCCCTTCCCAGACCTCTTTGGCTGTGGCAGCAAGGCGCCTTCATTCACCCCCACGGTGCATGCTCTGTTTCCGCTCCTCCCCCAAAACCCAGAAAATGAAACACACTCTCTTCCCCTGCCCATTTACCTCCTTGCTTCTTCCTTTGACCACTGAACATCTCCACAGAGCAGAGGACCCTTATGTTGACTATGCACCCACCTGCTCTGAACTGACCACTCCTGAAGACACTGCAGTTTTCAGATGTCAGCAGTGACCTTCCGGCCACTGTCTCATGCCCTTCCCTCCACCCCTGCAGCACTCCACTGAAAGCCACCCTGCCCTGCCTTCGCCCACCCTGCTGCCTGTCCCCCAAGCTCTCCAGATGTGCCTCGGCCCTCTGCCCTGTCCATCTTTTCCAGTTATCCGAGGACCAGCCTTCTCTTTCTCCTAAGCCGTGCCTGAGCTGGACACCACCGCACATTCCATAATCCAGATACAGGGGAAATAGGAGGATCGCAAGTTTGGGCCCAACCTTAGCAACTTGACTCTTATCTCAAAAAAGAAAAATAAAATAAATAAATGCCCTACTTAGCCATTCTGTTCTGTAGCTTCATTTTGCTGACTGGCTTGTTCATCTGTTTTGAGACAGTATATCACTGTGTATTTTGGGCTGGCCTCAAACTTGCTGTGATTCCCCTGCCCCAGCCTCCGGTGTGCTCGGATTAGAAGTGTGCACCACCACACTCTGCTTCACCTGTCACTTTGGAAACTACAGAAGCATTCACTTCCAGCACCATCCTCTTCCCTGAGCTCCATACTAAACGTCTGAGGGCTTAGAAGATAACTCCCGAAGTCTGACATCCAAACTCCCTTGCCAGCATAAAAAGACTGACATCAGTAAAGCACTGGAGTCCTCACTATCCCCAGTGGGACAGGCATTACTGCTCCTTTTCAATGGCGGGGTAAACAGAAACCAGAGGGGAGCAGAGGGGCCATGCAAACCATGACTTGCAGTGCCAGACCTAGAGTCTTTTCTTCTTACCAGGGTTCCTCTCCCGGCCTGACCAGCTCCTTCGCCCGCCCACCCCTGTTCTGACAGGCACACTGCTAGCCTTCCAGTTGCCCACACTTAACACTCACCAGTCCAGTCCTGCTGACTCGACTCTTTAGCTTCCCCCTTTCTCTGCTGTCTACTCACTGCCACCAGCCGGACACCTTATTCAACCCAAATAGGGCAGACTATTCGCTGGACTCTTGCTATGCAGTTAGACTGGCCTTGACCTCACTTTGTACCCCCAGAACTTGCAACAATCCTTCTGCCTCAGCCTCCCAAGTACTGGGATAACAGGAATGTACCACCACACTGGCTCACAATAGACTCTTAACTGGTCTTCACAAATTCAGCCTCTGTTGCTGAAGCCCCTAAATAAACACAGCTCTGATATGGACACTTCTACACTAAAACTTCTGAATGGCTTTCCAGACCCAGGGCAATTCTAGCGTCTCAAAGGGCCTCCCCAAACTGAGGCTAAAGGGACCTCCTCTTTAATCTCCTTCTGTGAGCTCTGCCCCAGTGCCAGAGGCCTTATCTCCCCACCCCTAGGCTCCCGGCACGGTTCCAGTTCTACATCTCTGCTCTGGGTTTCCTATCCGTGTCCCTCCTCCTGGCACAGTCCTACCACTGCTCAGAGGCCACCGAAATCTTTGCCTCCCTTAGAGCACTTGCCACATCCTGCCTCAGGCAATAATAGTGTTCTGGCCGGTGGCCTCCTCCCAGGCAGCAGCTTGAGGGTGGGGGCCATATTGTAACCATTTCTCGATGCCCCACACAGGATGGTTTTCCTATGTTGTGCACTCAAATGTCGGTAAAGTGTAAAACAAATCAGTCAAGGAGTGGCTGGGCTGAGTGATTTCTAAATGCACAACCAAATGCACTCTGAGCACCTCCTCAATTAGAAAAGGGCTTCAGAAAGTGTTTCCAAGGGGAAGCTGGGGAGGCTGCCATTCTCACCACACTCTTGATTCTATCCATCCTCCTCTGCCACCTTCTGTGTAACAAAAAGCAGTGTTTTCAGATCCTGCTTCACACCAGAAGCCATCACCAATGTCACCTTGTCCACCTGGACTCTCACTGGGTCACATTACTCTTCTTTAGCATGCATCAAATTCCTCATTCTAAGAATGGAGGCAAAAGCCAAGAAGAAAAGCCACAGCGCTCCAATTACTGAAGTACTGAAGGCCTACTATCAGCCACGTCTAGCCTCAATCAAGTTCCCATCCTGCCAGCTCATTTACCTTTCCTATAAGTATTCTTCTGCTCAATGTGCTGCAAGAGCAGCCCACATTAGGGATAAAAATCTAACCTCTTTAGCACAACATTGAAGGACCGCCATCCTTCCTGTCACCCCTCCTGTCACCGCCACCTTTCCAGATCTCTCTGGATCACTAGGTCCTCCAGGCTCCACCACCTCCATGCCTCTATGCATGTGGCTTCCGCTGCCTGCTGGCCACTGACTCCACTAATCAGTAAAACTTTTGCTCATTCCTTAGGATCAAAACCAGGGCAGCTCCTCTGGGTGGCCTCTCCTACTCCCCTACTGGCTTAAGCCACCTCCTAGGGGCCAGCACTTTCAGTACATCACCTGGCTCTTCTTAGAAAGTCATGACCGAGCATTTGAGAAAACAAAAAAGTTCTTTCTGAAAAAAAAAAGAAAAAACACAATAAAGACACTACAACCTGGGATCCTAAAGAAATTATTATAGTAACTACCAACACTCACAAACATTTATCTACCATTCATATGTGATTTCCTTGAATTCTTACTACTTAATCTTCACTACTAGGCTACGGACTAAGTTCTATTATCAGCCACATTTTCAGACGAAGAGAAAAGTCAGCAGGCAAACAGATCTGCCAGGCTCCAGACTCCCGGGCTCTAATGCTGTGCTGCCTTCTTAATGCCCACCCTAAATTAAAAACACACACAGGCACACATTCCTCTGTAATGCTCACAATTTGTTAATGTTTAATTTATCCACTCAAAATTGCTCTGAGGTAGGCAGGAGAGGTATCATTATCCCTGTTTTACAGAAGGTCATGATAAACAGAGGTGACATACCAAAGACATACAGGCCATCAATGAAGAAGCCACCCCCTGGAGTCCTCTGTCTCATGCTTAACTTGTTTAACTGGTTCTGATCTTTCTGTCTCTAAAGAATTCCAGCAAGAAGGAGTCACGGTGAGTCTAATAGCATCCAACAGATAGATGTGAGGATAATGCTCGGGTGGGTGCGCAGGAGACGGCTAATGAGTGTCTGACATCTTCTTACACTTTGCTACAGAAGGGTTAATTAGCTGCGAGTTGCCCAGGCATGGTAAAATGCAGAGTTCACAATAAAGGACAAGGAGAATGACAGGTCTAAAGAATCTAGGTCTTGCTGGGTGTGGTGGCACATTCCTGTAATCCCAGTACTTGGCAGGCAACAGAATTGTTTGCAAGTTCGAGGCCAGCCTGTACTACAAAGTGAGCCCAAGGCCAGTCTGAACTGCATAGTGAGATCTCTCATCTCAAACAGCAAAAAACAAACAAACAAAAAAGAATTCAGGTCTTTAAAGACCAGCCCCAACAGCAGTCAAAACTGACCTTCATATGGTTTCTGCAATTCTACAACTACAAAGTGATCTTTGAGCGGTTCATCTCATTAGAGTGGGCAAATGTGTACCTGACAAGCTTTTGAAAGGCTGTCAATGATTTCTCAGACCCCAAGCTGAACACCCTTTTCCGAATTTGACATTGTTATGTGCAGCCCATCTGCCCCCTGCATCCTTGGCACTCCCTGCCTTTCCTGCTATGCAGCCTCTCAGTCTGCCTATCTCTCTGCCCATGCCTTCTTTCAGCTGATAAGACTCATAACTGGAGAAGTGGCAGCCAGGATGGGAAAGAAAAGAGATAGGAAGAACAGTTCAAAGGACAGGACAACTGTATTTGGAGCGCAAACGCTTTCTTTCTGTCACGCTTGTAAGCATTTCTAAAGATTATTTTCTCCTGAGGTTATCAGTGTTGTTACACGCTATCTTTCCTTTTTGGGGTATGAACCAGACCTTTTTTTCAGGGGGGAGGGGTGCTAGGGATTGAGCCCATGGCCTTGTACATGCCAGGCAAGTGCTCTACCACACAGCTACACCCCAGATTTTAAGTATCCAAAAGAACTTTATACCAGTATCAAGCTGTGTAAGCTTGATCTAAGTCAAATTGTTAAAGAATAATTTTGAGATCTCAACCTTAAACTAAACTACAAAGAATTATAACCTGCCTTTGAGGGCCTACACTAAGCAAAGGAAACTGTTCCCCTAATGATGCATCCAGGCCCATCCTGGCCTCCCACAAAGATGACAAAGACAAGTGCTGCTACAGGCTGAACTCATAATTGTTAACAATCTCAGCTGTCATGTCAGCAAAGACAAAGTATAGTGAAGAGGAAGGTAAGCAGACCTTGTACTGGAGGGTGTGAACTGGGCGGGGGTCATGATATAATCTGGGATTCTGTCACAGGGACTGCAATCCTCTGAAACAGGAGGCCCCATTACAATGAATAAGCAGGTTGGAGGACAATAACCAGAACAGTCGAGCTTCCATGACTAAAGGCCCCAGTGGGAAGAGGAGGGGACTGCTGTTATCACAGCAGATGGAATGGTCAGTGTGGTCTGGGCTAAGGTGGCCTGACGGAAGACAGATTCTGGGCATCTTTTCCTTGCTGTCATCAAGAAGAATCACAGAGAGTCTCTGCTGGGCAGGAGATGATAGCAATGGGACCCATAAACAGGACTTGGAGGGGAGGTGCCGGCTTAATTGTAGACCCAGGCCTTGTTCTGTCACCTTAGACAAGAAGTTTCCTTGCTTTGTGCTTCATTTCCTTTTAGGTACATAGGGTGCACTGAGATAGCAAGGAAGCATCTGTAAAACTGCTCAGAAAGGGATTCTTTAAGTCCAAACACATCGTGTCGTGATTACTAGGGAAGGAACTGACATTTTCTCTGCTCATTATGTCCTCCAAATAGTTCCATAGATGCTAAAGCATAGCTACAACTCAGACACATGAGCAGAAAGTTGACACAGAGATAAAATGTGCTCTACATAATTTTTAAAAATAAATGAAAGGAAAACTATGCTCACCTGATCCCTGCCCAATGACATATATGGTCTCTCCGCATCCCTCGTCCATCCTCTCCCACATCTGCCGAAGTAGGCTGTCATACTGCTCTGATGTAGGGCTCACTAGAACCAGCTAGAAGAGAAACCAACAGCCTTAGGACCACACTTACTACAGAGACCACAGCCTGACCAAAATGCACACAGAACCCCACAGCACCTGACTGAAGAGAACTACTCTGCATCTCTCTCAGTAGACATAAGGGATGAAGGAGTGTCTTAGCTACCACCTACAGCAGAGAAGGTCAGACCCAACTGACTGAGCATCCAGCACAGTGGGAAGAAACTGACGAGCAGTGCTTCACACCTACATGCCAGTCTCCTACCTGCAGTTTGTATCTGGAAATTCAAGGACAAAGATCTCATCTACAGCCATGCCCTCCACCCAGAGGCCAACAGCTCCCACAATAACAAAAGAATTGTGTTCCACCTCATCTCTCCTCTTCTGACTAAACAGTGGTGGAAACTGCCTGCAAGACTCATCTTCAGCTAAACATCAATACCACTAAAGTGAGTATTGACACCATCACTGCACAGATTTCTGTTAATAACATTACAGTATCAACCATTTATTTGCACAGGCCACTCACCAATAAATAGGCCTGTCAGACTTCATTCTCCTGTGTGACCTTGGACAAAGAATTTAACCTGTCAGAAAATAAGGATAATACTACACTGAATCCTACAACAACTGTAAATACCAAATATCATGCAAAGCACCTAGTCCATGCTTCAAAAAATGGTCATTACACAGTTCTCTTCATCCAATCATATCTAAAACACCTCCTTGCATAAAACTTGCCAACTCCATTCATTAATTGTTTCTCCCTTTGGAAGCACTTAGAGCCTTAGGTCCCCATATTTAATTATAGTAAGGTTAGAAATGTGTATCATCGAGCTGGGGATTTAGCTCAGGGGCATAAGCACCTGTCTGGCAAGCATGAGGTCGTGAGTTCGATTCCCAGTACAAAAAATTAAAAATGTAAAAAAAAAAGAGAGAAATGTCTATCATCTAATCTTTTCAGGATTTAATCTCTTCAACCCATCCTCACCTCCACACAATTAAGTTTTCTTTTCAATATCATCTATCCAGCTATCTCTATACGCAAATTCATACATTTCACACTATTTCAAAACAGTGAAGATTTCCTCAGCTACCTGATAAAGCAACACTTCCCTCACCATGAACATTAAATAAGCTGACTCTGCCACTCCCCACTGTGTTTTCAGGTTTCTTCAGCACCTTGACCTCATACAGACAATCAGCGGGTCCATTCCAGCCAGACCTCTACCTCCAACTTCCCAAGTTGACTCATCAAAGCTTTTAATTGTAACCTGATGCTGCCTGGGCCATACAGCCTCATCCTTCTTTCCTGACTGTGTCTCTAACCCCTACTCCCACTATTATACCATTAGAGGCACCAAATAGGATCACTGTGACAAACAGGACCGAGTTGATTTCCAAGGGCTCAGCTGAGACTAGAAGGAGAAAGAACAGTTGAAAAGTGCTTACTTAGTTTGCAAGGGAACGTTCTCTCCACTTTAGGACCAACTTTCATACAGTTTTGCCATCATGAGCTACGAAGTCACAATCTTTATCAAAGTTTTGATAAAAACTCTATTGTATCTATCCCACAACAGATACGAAGTGGCACTGGTGGTCTGTCTTCCATCAGTTGCTATTTAATCCGCACAGGGAATTACTGTATCAGCTAGCCAGTTCACTTCAAATATTTACTGAGTCTCCAGAATGGACCAGCCACTTAGTAACTGTCTCAACATACATTCTGAATTTTTGCAATGAATCTGTACTTAAAAGGAGTAGCTGGAGAGCTGAGGGTTTAACAAATTGTCTCTAGGTCAGGAAGTCTTTAAATGGCAGAGCAGGAAAAGGAAGCCATCCCTGTCTGACTCCCAAACTGGTATTCATCCCCTTAGCGATGTTGCAAACACCAGGCACAGCTTATACTTTTTTGCTTCTTCACAATTGCAAGCAGATGGGTGAGCCCTTAATTCCTGTCTACTTTCTCAAAAGCTCCGAAGAAACTATTTAAAATGTCCTTTCTTACTCCATTCATACGAGACGAGGTTCCACTCCCAGATGGTTGGGTTGTGGGTCGTGCCCATCTTTCCATTTTGTTTTGGGTGGACTCGCAAAGTGGACGTCTGGCATACACATCATTCTCCCGGCTGAATGACCACTTTCTGTTTCCTTTCCCAAGACCAGGAAGGAACGCGTCGGCCACCCCAGCCTCCACTCCGACGTCTTCCAGAGCATCCGGCCCCCACGACCCCACGCCTCCCGCCCAAGCCACCTCGACGCCCCCAGCCGTCCGGGACGCCCCGGAGAGAAAGCCACTCTCCCGGAGGGGACCCGAGGGCGGAGGCAGCGACAAGGCGCGCGTCGGGGGACACCACGCAGCTGCTGCCGCCGTCTGCGTCCTGTTCCACGTGGCGGAGCCGAAGGGCTGAGATCTCCGCGCGAGCGGGGAGCGCGGGAGGCCAGGTCCGCGCCGCCGGGCACCCCAGGTGGCTACTCGGGGCGGCGGGGGGGGGGACGCGGCCCGGGCACTCGCTCGTCCCAGTGCCTGACCCTTCCCCGCGCCCTGGCTTCCCTGCGCCCCGACAGTCCGCGACCCCAGCCTTCGTCCCACAGACGGCTCGGCCCGTCCTGGTCCCCTCAGAGCCCGCCGCCACCGCCCGGGCCTACCTTGCTGGTGAGGTCCAGCTCCGGTTCGCCGTTGAGCGCCTCGCCGTCCTCACTGCAGTCCGAGTCGAAGCCATCGTGGAGTCGGGCGGCGGCCGCTGCGGCCTTGGCCGCCCCAGGGGAGCTGGGCTCCGGGGCGAACATAGAGGCCGGCACCGGCGAGTCCATCGGTGAGCGACTCCGCTCCGCCGCCATCTTTAATAACTTAGGCTAATTCGCAGCCGGCTGCCCTCCCTCTCGTCTCATTTGACTAATCTATGCGTGACCACGCCCCCGTCCTCATTGGAATAATTTATGCAGAGTTTCTCTCGCAGAGTGGACAGTGACATGTATCTCTAGCTAAAACACAATCGACCAGCCCTCTTAACCACCAATGGCTGCAGTCTGTTCAAAGTACCTAATGAATAATTAACGAAGTCAAAACCCCAACAACAAGTATTTGAGACGTCACGTGCCCTGGTCGCAGATCTGGAGCTGGCAGCAGGGTGTCCACGCTACCTACCTGGAATCTTCCCACCAACCCGAGCCGATTACAGTATGACTGACACGGCGAACGTCCAATGAGAAGAGAAGTCGTACCACGTGTCATTTCCCCCTCCCTCCGCACCAAGCCTTTCACACTCCTGCCTTCCAGGGGCGGGGCGCAGCTCCCAAATCTTACTGCAAAACAGTAGGCACCAATAGCCTCCCGTTGATGGACGGGGACGCGGTCCAATCTAGTTCTCCATAGGTCCCGCGCCTGGGCCCGCAGCTCCTGGAGATAGTAAACTGCAAAACGAACCGCCCACTAAATTCAATGACTGAGGCTGTCGCTGGAACACGATGTCTGCTGTGCTGGCATACTCCAGGCAAATATGATAGTAGAATCGATGGTGTATATTCCAAGAGTTGTAATACTATAACAGCCAAACCGAGACAATTAATTAAAACGCTGACCTTAGGGAGATTTCTCCATTCATTGCCTCTGCGGAGACAGCAATTTCATAAACAAAAAACTGAGGCAAGCAGCGAAAATGCAAGCCAAAAGTACCTCACCACATTTCTATTGAAACAGCTATGCCACACTCCATGTTCTATTAAGGTAGTTTCCTTTGGGTTATTTTTCCACGATATCGTCTGTTGTGAAAAGCCCCAAGCCAAAACGTCACTTGTGCAACCTCAAATCCCTGTTTCAAACATCAGATCTAGACCTTCAATGAATTTAGATGTTGACTAAGGTCTAATAACGCTAAAGTTTGCCACTTCCGGACAGTAAACAAAAAAGAGCAGCCATTTGAAAAGGTAACCAAGGATTCAAAATGGCTTTCACTAAGTTTAGGAATCTCTAGAGGAAAGAGACTGTCTCTTCTCTATTTTCAACAAGGTACCACCAAGTTTTTTGTGTATATTTAAAAAAGCAAATAAAACAACTCTATGAATTTCATGAAGGACTAAGTGTGGCACTTGTACCTGCTAGTGATAACCCCATGATGGCAACAGACAATCCATTCAACAGCTGATTGGTTTTTATTGTTTTTAAATACTAAGGCATCATTAAAGGCAAAGCTGTGTGAACCTGTAACAAAAACAAATGGTTACAGGAGTCATACTATCAATAAAATGGTAAGTAAACAAACCTTTTTCCGGAAGGGCAGGGGAAAATATCACTGCATGCTTCACCCCACCAGACAAATTTCCCTACAAAGAATCTGGTGAAAATAGCTGTGATCATGGGAGTGAGGGAAGAGGGCTAATGGCATCTCTTTTTTCTTTTGGGGGCGGGTACCAGGAATCAAACTCATGACCTTGTATTTGCTAAATAGACCTTATGCCGCTGAGCTATATCCCTAGCCCCTAGCACTTTTGAAGGACACAGCTGAGGTTCAGCTGGGCTTATCTAAATGTGTTACTTTTCTAAGCTTTAAGCCACCATGTTGGTTTTCTTCTGATAGTGTATCATTTCTCTCTGAAGTCTTTTCTATTCTTCAGTAGCTTCCTGCAGTTTGCGTGTGAATCCATCTTGTTTAGATATATTAAGTGAAATAGCTTTCCTAGGTCCCCTATCATTCATTTATCTTTTTCATTTGAGATTTCAAATATACATCTCAGTTTAAAACCCATTATTTCACCAGGGCTGCATCTTTCCATACAGCTTCCTTTTCTGAAATGTTTGGCGGATCACAAGTTGTACCATGCCATGAACTTATTGTGTTTACTCTTCTTACTTGGTTCATAGTTAAAAGGGCCATTCCATTACTGTCACAGCTGACCCTGAGTCAGTAATTTCACAATTGGGCTTTACCAGTACTGGTGAGATGCTGTACTTTTCACTTTGAAACACACTTTTCTAGCTGATGAATTTCACAATTTTAGATCTGTAATAACAGGACTGGGGATATAGCTCAGTGGCACAGCACTTGCCCGGCAAGCACAAGGTTGTAAGTTTGAACCCTAGTACCCCTCCCCCTAAAAAAAAATCTGTAGTGACTACAACTGTGAGAGGACTTTGAATTTGAGGTCTGTGGGTGGGTAAAAGTTATGCTTCACCTTGGCTCTGGAGGTGGACACCATCAGACACAGCTTAGAGTGGTGGTGTAAGCCAGGACCTTGATGCCTGCTGCTTTGTCCAGGTTCATGAGATTCATGGGTCACTGCAGGGTCACAACTGACCGAACCACAAAAGCCACCACAGCTACCCACAATCTTTATATGTAAGAACATAGCTGACAATTTGAGACAAGAAGCCATGCAATTTCAGTGGTCTTGCTAGTTTTGCTGATGTGCTTTTTTTCCCCTACTGCTCAACATCATCCCATGTGCTCCTCTGGTCTCTTAGGTAGTTAAAATATTAAAATCTTGGTTTGTTAGAAAAGTCAAATATTGGGCCAGGGGTTTAGCTCACTGGCACAATCGCCTGCCTGGCAAGCGCAAGGTCGTAAGTTGATCCCTGGTACCAAAAAAAAAAAAAAAAAAAGTCAAATATCAAGGTATTGTATTCCATAATAACTGACTGTGAAATGTGGAATTGATTGTCCCACTTCTGGTTACATAGTTCATAAAATTGTTGGAATCTCCTGAGTAAAAAAATTTCTGTATGCTAGTAAACAGACTGGTAGATAGATGGGGGCTGGTCACTGGAAAGACCAAGGCAAAGTTAAAGGGCTGGGAGTTCAGCCCAACTTCTGGAAGAGGTCTGAAGCTTAAATTGATACTCAAAGTATTCACTCAGTCATGCTTATGTAATGAAGCTTCCATGAAAAAACCAGAAAGGACCAATTTGGGTGAGTTCCAGGTTAAACACAGAGGTTTCTGGAAAGTGTCATACTGACTGAGATGGGGCACAGAAGCTCCATGTCCCTTCCCATTTACCTTGCTGTTTTCTCTCTTCCATTGGATGTTCAACTGCATCCTTTGCAGTATCCTTTATAATAAACTGGTACATATAAGTGTTTCCCTGAGTTCTGTGAGCCCCTTGAGCAGTTTAATTGGATAAAGGAGGGGGTCACAGGTACCCTGCTTCATAGAACTTGTTCACAGAGGTTCTGAAGGCTTGGACTTGCACCTGAGATGAGCAGCAGTCTTGTGGCCGTGATTCCTTAGTCTGCTGTCTTCAGGTAGTGTCAGAATTGAACTGGAAGATGCCCACCTGGTGTATGCTGCAAAGTCGATTGGTTTCTGGGAAGAGAGAAATCCATGATTTGACGACCAGAAGGCTGTGCTATATTCACTCTGTGATCCAGACATATTTAGCATGTCTTTCTGGATTTTCCAGACAGAGTTCAATTCAAAATGTATGACCTGACACCCAATAAAACTAAAAGTCTAAAAAACATATCCTTCGCACTATAGGACTTTGCCCCAAAAAGATATTCTCAGAGTAGAATATATATATGGCACCAGAGTAGGTGCTTTTTGAATTGAATGGAGAAGTCCTACATTTCAGGGGTAATTCCCTGCCTGTCTTTATATCCTCTTTTGGAAGACATTAACTTAGGTTCAAATCCTGTATCCATTAGAGGTATGTGACCTTGAACAACTTGATTAACTTCAAGTTTTTTTCTCTAAAAACTGCTTGATAGCTGGTGGTAAATGACTTAATATATGTAAAGCTTAATAGTGCTTGTTGCACAGGAAGCCCTCAAAAACTAACCTTATGTAAGAATACCATAACCTTAGGTGATTTACAAATTACAAAAATCTAAAATAATTCAACATGATCTGCAGAGCCATGAACTCTACCAACACGGCAATCGCTCCAGCATGTTAAATACCACTGTGGAATGGTCTTTGCAAGTCGTGCTCAAACAGGATCAAAATGACTCAAGGAAGTGCGATTTCTTCTTTTTAATGTTTTACCTATTTTCTAAACAAAGATTCAAAAGGAGGGCAGTGATGGGGGTTAATTGATGACTTCCACCTGCCCTAGGAGTAAAAAGAAAAATATACACGTAAACCTGCTTGTCTGCCTCCTCACACACACACACAGTCAGCCACGGTTTGAGAAAACCAAGAAAAGCCCTGTCACAGTCACTATGGGGGGTGGGGTGTGGGGCAAAGAGGGCAGCGGTTTGTGTGGGTTGAACCGAAACACGACACTAAGAACTGAAATAGGACTCTCTGCCACTGGCGAGGCGCTAACCCGCGGCGCTCCGGAGGGTGAGGCAGCCAGGATCGCTAACCAAAACAGTTTGTGCCTGACCTGTTTGGAAACCACCGGGTGGATGGGGGGTGCCCAGACAGAAAAGAGTCAGGGCAGGACCGCAGTCCAGGTTCAAGGAAGCACTGTGCCCAGCGAGGCGGTGTGGGGCGTGCAGCGAACGACAGCCCCAGGCTGGGTCACGCCCCGGCACTACGCCACCACCCAGAGAAGCGGCGAGAGGCCAGGCGGGTCTCCCTGCCTCGGGGCGGGGTCGCCGACCGGCCAGACACCCACACCGGCCGCAGCTGTCCAGCAACCGGCCACGTCTCGCTGGTTCCATAGCCTTCGGCGATGCCCACACTCGCTGTACAAGTTCGGGGCTACAGTGGCTCGGAAGTCCGCGCCGCTGGCGTCACACTGACGTCACGCGTGACGCCTCGGCGGGGAGGGCGGGGCTGGCGCGGAGGGCGTTTCCGGAGCGCGCGCCGGGAGACGGCGGCTGACGTCGAGCTCAGGTGCGCGCGCCCGCCCGCCCGCGCGCGCGCGGCCCAGGTGGTGGCCCGCAGGTTCTAGGCGGCGGTGAGGTGCGACTGAACGTACCGCGGAGAACTGTCACCGCAGGTACGGGGTACGGGGATGGCGCCGGGGTACAGGGAGCAGCGGGAGGGCGCCTGGGTTTGAGCTCACGTGAAGCACGGGGAGGCTGGCGTGGGGCGAGGAGCGGGTGGGCCCAGGCCCAGAGGGCGCGGCAAATGCCCGGCCCCACCCCTCCGGGCCGGCGGGGCGCGGCGCTACGCTGCGCTGCGCTGTGCGGCGCAGGACACGACCCTCCAGTTCGCAGGGACCCGGCCCCCGTACCCTGTCCCGGGCCCGTGTCCCGGGCCCGTCCGGAGCTAGTGGCGGCCTGCCGGGGCTGACCAGTTATCTTCTCCGCAGGGCCGCGGCGAGAGGATCAGAGTCCGCGCTTCGCTGGCAGCCGTGCCCGCTGCGCCCGAGGGGATGGAGGGCCGCCCTGGAGGCCGCAGCGCGGCTCGTGACCCCACGCTGGCTGGCCGCCTCTAGCTGCTTGGGTTGTGCGTTTTATCCACCACCGCCTAGGCCTTCTCTGTTGATTCGGTGGCGTCGTGATTGGGAAAAAAAATGGAAGAAAAGGAGCGATGTGACCTATTCTGATCGGTCCTCCTGCATTGAGGCCTGGTTGGCATTTGCTGAGAGAAAGACACAGCCAGGAAATCGTGTCTTTCAGGAGGAGGGTGAAGAGCAACAAAGTCTTATGCTTTACATGATTTTTTAAAAACCCTGCACTTTTAACGGTGATGGTGATATAAACTAGTCCAAAAGTTATTTTCCTATTGACAAGAGAAAAGAGTTGGATTTTTCTTTTTCCTTTTTCAATTCCAGCCTTTTTTCCCAGTGACAAAGCGTCAATCATGGACACCAGAGAATAAGGTGAATCTCAGGAATCCTGAAAAGACTGAGAAGCTTCTGTCTTCCTCAGGAAGGAAGAGTGGGGTGTTTTCAGCCCTCTCTGGAACCTAAAACAAAAAAACATGAGTTGTGTGCCATGGAAAGGAGACAAAGCCAAATCTGAATCCTTGGAGCTGCCCCAGGCAGCGCCCCCACAAATCTACCATGAGAAACAGCGCAGGGAACTGTGCGCCCTCCACGCCCTCAATAATGTCTTCCAGGACAGCAATGCCTTCACACGGGAAACGCTGCAAGAGATTTTCCAGAGGTAGGACACTCCTTGGCATCCTGATGCCTACTTCTTGGTATTTCTGAGTTTGTGTGGGTGGGACAATGTCTCTAGTGTACATAAATCTTCAAACCTTTAGGTATTAACTAGATGTGGTCAGCAGGTATAGAGGATGCAGGAATAGGAAAGAGAATCACTTTCATTTGTGACTTTGGGTTTTGTTTTGCTTTGTTTTTGAGACAGAGTCTTGTTATGCAGTTCAGGCTGGCCTCAAACTCACAACAATCCTCCTGCCTCGGCCTCCCAAGTGCCGGGATTACAGGCCTGCGCCACCATGTCTGGCCACTTCCATTTATGGACCATTTCCTGAGGCCCTACTTGTGTTATTTCAAGAGATCTGTTTGATAGCTTCATGGAATCCATTATATACACACATGCACACACGCACAGGCACGCTCACACGTCGTGATTTCCATTTTCTGGATGAAGACAGTACTCAGCAAAGGGCAGTAATGTGGCCACAGTAGTATAACAAGCATTGGAGGCACGGTTGCGATCAGATTTGTGTGTCTGCTGTTGACCTTTATGTTGTAACATTGCTCTCTCAAATCCAGCCACCAAGAAGGGAAACAAGATCATGTCCACGGTTGCCTGTCACTAAAGGTTGGAATGTGGTAGATAACACAAGATAAATGAACACACAGTACCCAGTTTTTCTGTGAAGCCACATGTGTGCTTTAGTGCTTTGTGTACATTGTTTTGTGTGACCCTTTCTTAACAGTCCTTTGACTGATACGGAGCCGGGCAGAAAGGTCATAATTTATCCAAGTAGCTCCTAGAGAGCAAAGCTGGGCTGTGAAACTAACTCCAGATCCCTCCCCCATGCCCTGTCTACTTTATTTTAGATTGCTTTTCGTATTCACTTAAATGCTACTTCACATGTGGATAGAAGTTCAACTCTTTGCTCTTTGCTTTAATTTTCTAGATTTCTTTTACAAGAGAGTTTGAGACTTCGTTCAACAGTGTTTGGATGGGCCCAGAGCATATCTGCAGCCCACAGCAACCTTGGCCATGAGCCTATCTGATCACTCCAGCTAGCAAGGGTTAGGCTTGCCCAGTCCTCAGGGCAGGGAAAGCTTGGAAAATAAGCAAAGCATATTGACACTTCAGACACTTTTTTTTTTAATTCCTTTACCTAGAGATGAATACTGCAATACAGGAACCTGAGTCACAGCCAGAATCAGTCACAACATGATATGTGAAGAATAGGTGTGGACCACTTTCCCGCAAGAATCATAGGCTTTCTTTTAAAAGAAAGTTATTTCGAGCATGCGGACAGAACTATAATGAGAGTAGTTGTTTCCTAATGCCAGTAATACCTGGAGTAGAGCCTCTGTTATAGCTGAGCTGGTGTGTCATTTGCGTCATGCCCATTATTGGGCAGCAAGTAGAGTGCACTCTTCAGGAAATGGGGCTCTGGCAGGTAAGATAATGTGTCTCAGATCACCAAATCATGTGCCAGGATGACCAAGTCCCTTGTACTGCCTTTTTTGTTTTTTGGGGGTACTGGAACTCGAACTCACAACTACACTTGGCAGGCAGGTGCTATGCCATTGAGCTATGTCCCCGGCTGAACTTCTTTTTAGCTAGCCATTAATTTTTCTTCGACACCTACTTAGATATTTGCAGATTATTTCTGAATCCCAAACTAAGAAGAAAAGAATTCACAGGGTATATTTGAGTGTGCTTGATACTTCACAATATATATTGATAATCCTGGGACAACCTTGGGAAATGGGACTCAGTTTAAGTGATTTGCACAGTTTCACCTGCTAGTAAATAAATATCAGGCACAACCATTCTGTGAACAGTCACACTGAGGAGGAAAAGTCTGAATTTGGCCCCTGATCTAACAAGGGGAATAATCATGAGATGATTAACACAGGAGCACTTAGTGCAAAACACTGTTCTGAGTGCATCCCTTGTGCTAATTCAGTCCTCACAACAGGGTGTGTGTGTGTGTGTGTGTGTGTGTGTGTGTGTGTGTGTTGTTTCCTTTTCTTCCAGATGAGGAAGTCGTGGCACAGAGGGTGCACAGAGCTGCTCATGGCAGGATTTAGACTCAGGGTTTATGGCTGCAGGGCCTGTCTCTTGGTGGATGCAAACTGGAAAGGCTTGTCTGAGCTGTTGTATCACCAGTAACTGCTCACACTGCTAGTACCTGCAACCTGGGCTGAAGATGTGGACTGTGATTATTATTGAATGTTTGTGGATAATAGCAGGAGTTTTCAGCTGCGGTTTCCCTGAGTGAAAGATTACTTAATATCTGCTAAGCATCCACATGGAACCAGGGCATGTTTCTTTTAAAGCTTTTGTTTCTTTGTTTTTTGAGACAGTCTTGTATACTTCAGACTGGCCTCAAATTCAGCAGTCCTTCTGCCTCCGCTTCCCAGGTGCCCTTTAAAGTCTCTGCAAATAATGCACTACTCCATTCCTATTCAGCACTGTATAAAGATCTACCTGAGAATAACAACAGACCAGTACATAAAAGAGAATTCCAGGGAGCTGAGGATTAACTCAGTGCAACAAGTGCATGCCTGGTAAGCCCGAGATCATAAATTCAATCCCCAATACAAAAAAAAAGAGAATTCCACAAGTAAATTTTTTTGTGTGGGGGGGATCTTTTTGAGACAAGGTCTCACTGTGCAGTTCAGGCTGGCCTTGAGCTCACTTTGTAGAGCAGGCTGGTCTTGAACTTGCAATGATCCTCCTGCCTTAGCCTCCCAAGTGCTGTGATTACAGGCATGTATCACCATTCTTGGCTTCCAGAAGTAAAAGATTCTCTATGTAAAGTAGGAAAAAAAAAGCATGGAAGAAATACAGAGGAAAAGGCAAAGGGAGAATAGATGAAGGAGAGAAGATGGAATTTTTTAAACAAACACTGAGCAGCTGCTTGCAGTATGCCAGGCCCCACAAGGCACTGTAGAGAAAAGGAGCTGAGCAGGACATCTCCTAGTTATGCCCTGAGCAGGCCTTAGAACAGATTTAGGTGAAGAGAAAGCTATGGAATTGGGAGCCATTTAGAAGTAGAAAAGGGGGTCTCTCTTGAGATCTTGATGGAAAGAAAAGTAAAGCTGTCAAGTGTAAGAACTAGAACTTCTCTGCAGTTTTGAAGGCATGGCTAATGAGTGGTAGAAATGGGAAGAAAATGTAGGTAAGTGCTATTTTGTAGGGAGAAAGTGCATCTTAGCTGTTGAATTTTTAGCCAGCTTAGAAGAGGAGAAATCTCACCCAGCCAGCAGGGTGGAGTTTCAGTAAAGTTGTGGATATGCGATGACTCACTTGGAGTAGAAACGAGTAGGCATTTAGAACTGAACTGTTGATCACGGGCCAGCAATAGGGGACAAGGAAGAGAGAAGTCTGTTGTGATAAAGGCTTGGCTTAGAGACCAGTGCCAGTGTCATCAGCGAGTGTTTACTGCAGACAGTTTACCGTGTATGCGCCTAAGCTTTGAAAAAAGAGGGTGGGAGAAAGGATACAGCCGCAGCTTGGCTAAGGAGTTCTGAAAATGCTGAGGGCTCAAACATTTTGCAGGACCCACCCCAGTGAGTGATGAGACTTTCTTGCAGCTAGTCAGCACTCTTCTCCCCAAGAGACTGTTACAATCTAATGAGTTGCAAACTAGCTTGGTATGGGTAGGGGCGGGAATAATAGCAGGAATTTTCAGCCAGGTTTCCTTGCGGGAAAGAGTGCTTAGTACCTGCCAAACACCCAGATGGAACCAGGGACTAATGACAGGTGAAAGGAGCACAGAGATCAGGGATACTGTGGTGCCATAAAGCGTATGCACTTCAGCTTCTCCGTGAGAGGTCTCTGAGCAGGTAGAGGAGACCACATTTAAATGATTGGTAGTTATAAGTTGAGAAAAGGATTTTAATATTTTGTCCAAGAGCCAGGCAAACATAGTAATAGCAGTTAACGCACAGTACTTACATGGCTGGCTCTAGAATGTGTGCTTTATTTAGAATCATCAGGATGCCAGGTGTGCTGGTGCGTGCTTGTCATCCCAGCTACTCAGGAGGCAACAGGATTGCAAGTTTGAGGCTAATCTGGCAATTTAGTGAGCAAAAAAAAAATATTTGCATATAAGAAATAACATTTTTTTTGTGTTATTTTTAATAAGAAGGTTGGGCTGTAACTCAGTGGTAGAGCACTTGCGTAGCATATGCCAGACCATAGTTCAATCCCCAGTACTGGGGAGAAAAAAGTCAGGAAATTTTGAGCCCTATTTTCTCCCTTCTTTTCCTTCCCCTCACCCTTTGCAGTGCTGGGGATTTCTTTTTGCAGTGCCGGGGATTGAATCCAGGGCCTTTGCACCGAGCTGTACTCCAGCCTCTTTTTTTTATTTTGTGGCACTGCTTGTGCTCAGTTGCCTAGGCTGGGCTCAAACCTGCATTCCTTCTGCCTCAGATTCCCAGAACATTGAGCCACATTTTCTAACATCACATCTCTTAGACCCAAAAAGAAGGAAATCGGGGAGGAGATGAACTTGTGAGATGCCTCCCTGTCTCCTTTTCATAAAAAGTCACAATCGTCATGGCCTCATGCAGTAGTAGTGAGAGAGTTCGGGACCAAAGCTGAGGGTGTGGACTGGAACCTTCGGTGATGGGTGATGGCTTCAGATCTTCTGGTTCTGACCTGTGTGATGACAGACATGAGAGGCTTGCTTTGGAGCCCAAAGTTTATATGGAAATCAGTAAGGTAAATGGAATAAGTAAGACAGTCTTGGACAGGCATTTGCAAAAAACCCCCAAACAAACAAAAAAACTGCCCATGGGAAAGAGAATTGGATCTTGTGGAAGTTGCTGGAACCAGAGAACTGTTCAGTGTTTTCCTGGATTTGGAGGTTAAACCCTAGCTCTGCCACCCACCAACTGTGCATGACTGTGCAAGTCACAGTAACCTTTGTACCTCAACTTCCTTATTACAGCATATCAAGATTGCTGGGAGGATTAAGCGACAGAGTCCATGCAGGCAGCTAACACAGTGGGCATCTGATTAGTAAAGTGTAAGCAAGTACATGTGTGGTGCGCAGGGGCCCCCCACCAAGGACCACCCTCAAGGCTGGGATGGAAACTATTCTCAGCCTTCCATGTCTTGAAAGGTTTCAACATGTTTCATCAGGTGCCAATGTGTAAAGGAGGGATACAGAGTAAAAGAGTTTCAGGGACTTATTCTTTGGTTATATGCACATAAAATGAATTCTTCAGCACTCCGGTAAAGTAGGAATCATTCCCATTTTTATGGTTCATTCACAGCAAATGTCTGGGTGGTCGGAAAGGTTTGGGAACTGAAACATATTGTGTAACAGGCTTGCAGATTAACTTTTTGTTTTGAGTTGGAGGCTCTCACTGTTGCCCAGGCTGGCCTCAGCTCCCAGTAGCTGGGACTTCAGGTGTGCACCACCACACCCAGCTTAGCCTTAGAGATTAAATCTCACAGTTAACTGTGAATGCAGATGTGCTACTCCTCTCAGCCTCCCCTCCTTTTTCACAGAAGAGCCAGGAAAGACTGCACAGAAGAGACAGGATATGAGGTTGAGTTTAAAGAAGCTGTGGGATTTGGCTTGGAACCAGACAGGATAAAAGAGCAGAGGCCACGTGGTCATGGAGCGTGAAGGGCACTAAGCCCCACGAGAGCAAAACAGCAGGCCCAGAAGGGCTGAGGGGTTTGGAGTTGGTCAGGCTGGCAGGTGTGTGACTGTCAATTCTTATGTAAGGGAGTGAGGTGACACAGTGGTGGCTGTGGCAAGCAAGATCATATAGGCTGAGTTAGTGGGGGGAGAGTTTGGAAGGAAGGAGATGCGTTTAAGAACCTGTTTTATAAATCCAGGTATGGGGCTAGAAGGGCCTCCAGTTAGGAACAGACAGGGAAGGATTTCAAGCTGAGACAGAAGATGAAGGCCAAAGAAGAGAGACCCTTGGAGCACTAGTCCTGACAGGCGACTTCAGAAACCTCTGGGACTGGAGCACGTTATGTAACTCAGCGGCCTGGAGACACAAGTGAAGATTAGCAGAGTAGGGACTCCCAGATTTCCTGCAGGAAACCTTTTGTGCTTGCTTGGTTCATTCAGTTATTACGGCATTGGAATACTGGGTTTCTTCCGATTTCTCTCAGTATTAAGCCAGGAGCTAGGATCACTGGGAATGTGGCAGGTCTGCTCTAAAGCATGTGCCTGCAGGGAGGTTGATGGTGAGAGATACGACCCGCAATGTTGTCCCTGTTGGAATTTTCTTCCTTGTACTGGTCAGTGACATCACAGAAAAGAATTAGATGCTACCATACGTAAATTGGCAAAAGGAGCCTATGGGATCTGGAGCTTAGCCTTCCTTTCCTGAGCTTTCCCAGGAGTGTCTTAGGACATCAAGGAGAGCCTCTGTCCTGCTAAGCAGTGTTTCAGCCCCAGGCCTTCGGGATTTGCTGACCTGTTCCCGCTCCCTACTGTCTGGAAGTGTTCCTCTCTGAGAGCTTTGCACCTTGTCATTTGGGTCTTAAATGTTACTGTCACAGAAAAGCTGATGAGTGTCCTATCTCTGCTGCCACCTCCCACTCTCTTGGTCTCTGTGTAAGACAGCAAGTGTAAAGTGAGCTTCTGATGGACCTACGTTTGAATTCTACTTATGTCCTTTGTATGGACAAAGTCAGATACAATCACCAAACCTTAGGTTTCTGATTTTATAAAATAGAAGTACTGTGAGGAGTAATGAGACACATTAAAGAACTTGTGTAGCACTTAGCACAGGTTTTCAGTAATCAGTAGATATTACAGGTGAATAAAATTCAGTTGCAGAGTGCAGTTTAGTGTCTTCTGATTCTCCCATTTTTACCAGCTCTCAGATGAACAGGTAAACCTTTTTACTTGTAAGAATCAGCCATATTGGGGCTGGGGATTTAGCTTAGTGGCAATAAGAACCTGCCTTGCAAGCAGGCGGTTGTAAGTTCGATCCCCAGTACTGATTAAAAAAAAAAAAAAAAAAGAATCAGCCATATGGCACATGCCTGTAATCCCAGCACTTCGGAGGCTGAGGTAGGAGGATCGTTGCAAATTCAAGACCAGCCTGGGCTACACAGTGGGCTCAAGGCCAGCCTGAACTGCACGGTGAGACCCTGTCCTGGCCTCCCACCCCCACCCCAAGTCAGCTGTGTGTGGAGCCAGAGTTCAGCAGCACAGAACCTGCCTGGTAAGTGTGAGGTGTTACCAGAGAGAGAAAGAGAGAGAGAGAGAGAGAGAGAGAGAGAGAGAGAGAGGGAGAGAGGGAGAGAGAGAGAGTGAGTGAGTATGTCAGCTATGTATGTCTGTAATCCCAGCATTTAGGAGGCTGAGGTATGGAAAGCATGAGTTCGCGGTCAGCCTGAATTACATAGGAAGACTTTGTGTCAAAAAGCAAGAAAAGGGCTGGGGATTTAGCTTAGCAGCATAAGCGCCTGCCTTGCAAGTATGAGGTCGTGAGTTTGATCCCAGGTACCACCAAAAGAAAACAAACAAACAAAAAAAGAAAAGCAAGAAAAAAGTCTACTAATATTTAGCAAGGAAGAGATAGAATAACAAAGTTAAACAGAGAGCATTTTAAGAAACATTCCTTGAATACTTGGTATATGCTGCAGGCTCATTAGCCCCTAGCAGATGATATTCAGTAACTGAACAGTCAGAGCCCAGGTGTCTCTCTACTGTGGTAAACCAGGCACAGGAGGAAGAGTGTCTGGTGTGACAGAAGGCTGTAATTAAACCAAAGCAGATGGGCAGGGAAGCAGAAGAGGAAGTGACAGGGATAAACTAAAGTTGGGTGGTCAGAGAAGGTTTGTCTGTGGCAGTAACATTTGAGACCCAAGTGACAAGGTGCAAAGCTCTCAGAGAGGAACATTCCCAGACAGTGGGGAGTGGGAACAGCCAGGGGTCCCAAGGGGGTGTGAGGTTTATGTATTCCAAGAACAGGAAGACGGTCCTGTGTAAGAGGAAGGAGCAGAGATCAGCAGATGAAAGCGTTTAGCTTGCATGTATGTGTATCTGTATTTTTATTAATTTTTGGTTTTTTGAGTCAGGGTCTCACTAGGTAGTATAGGATCTCATTGTGTAGCTCAGACTGGCCTTAAACTTACCATCCTCCTGACTCAGCCTCCCAAGTGCTGGGGTTACAGGCATCCACCACTGTGCCTGGCTAGATTGCAATTAAATTCTATATGTGTAACTGGAGGGTTTTAAGCAGTGGCAGGAGTATGTTTTATGTGCAGTATGTTTTAAAAATACCAGTATTGGGGCTGGGGATTTAGCTCAGCGGCATAAGCGCCTGCCTTGCAAGCAGGCAGTTGTGAGTTCACTCCCCGGTACCAATAAAAAAGACCAAAAAAAAAAAAAAAAAAGAAAAAGAAAAATACCAGTATGGTGGTAAGGATGTAGCTTAGTGGTAAAACACTACCTACTTAGCATATGCAGGGGCCCTGGGTTGCATCTCCAGCACAGGAACAGCAAGAAAGAAACAAAAAGAATCAGTATGGAGAAGTAAGAGGCATGCTAAGTGTTTAGAGTTTATGTGCTTCAAGTTTGAGTTCCTGCTGGAGATGGCACATCATGACCTGCCCTCTGCTTCTGCCCTGAGCAACTTGCCACATTTGCCTTCCTCCCCTTCACAGCCAGGTCAGAGGCCTGCCAAGCGTAGCTTTAGGAGACCTTGCTTCAGCTCCTGGCCTGACAGATCTCTGAAAGCAAAATAATAGGACTGGAAATGCCTCACTACAGGCCTTGTCTTGAAACGGACCTGCTAGTGTCCTGGCAAAAAGTGGCTGGAAGCTGGGTGGGCCGGCCAGCACCACAGCTAAACATTTTTTTGTCTGGCACAAAATTTTTCTCAATTAGCTGGCCATGGTGCATTTTATAATCTCAGCCGCTTGGCAGGCTGAGGCAGGAGGATCACAAGTTCCAGACCAGCCCAGCAACTTAGCAAGACCTTGTCTCAAAACCAAAAAGGGCTGGGTGCAGTTCAGGGGTAGAGCGTTTGCCCAGTGATGGGTCCGCATTACCACACACACATGCACGTGTGGACACACACGCACACACACATACACACAGATGTTTTTCAATTGATTCTTTGTGTCTTAATTACAATTTTTCTCCAAGTACCCCACAGACATTGGAATGCCTGCAGGTGGGTCGTGTGTTCCAGGTTAACACAAGGCCTCACTTTTACTGCCTTATATTTGGCTCCACTTCGTGCATCTGTTACCTGTCTAGGCCTCTTGCGTGTTTTGAGTATTTAATGATTACCAAGTGTACAAGCTTTAAATAGAAAATACTTAAAATGTAAAAGAAAAACCAACTAAAATAGCAATAACCAGTTACTACCCATGGAAGTACAAATACCATGTAGTATTTCCCACTGTTTAATGACAGGCCTGCAACGAGGCATTCTGGCAATAGGAAGACTGCAGAGAGGCAGGAATTTTGTGAGAGACTCCTCGGAACATTCTTGGTGTTCAGTGACTTACTGTAGAAATGCTCTGTGAGTGGCAGGGAGTTGTTTTGTATAGAGAGGGGAAGCCAGAACCCTGAGGTCCCCATAACTTAGGTGACCTGGAGAAACCAGCTTGCAGCGCAGCATTATAAACTGCTTTTCTAGTAGTGTAGGCTGAGGAGGGGGAGTTGGCAGCGGCAGATTCAGCAGCCCTCTTTTTGAATTGTAGGTTGTCTCCAAACACCATGGTGACGCCACACAAGAAGAGCATGCTGGGAAATGGGAACTACGATGTGAATGTCATTATGGCAGCACTTCAGACCAAAGGCTACGAAGCTGTTTGGTGGGACAAGCGCAGGTAAGATGAACCAGGCTTGACCCGATGGAGAACAGTGGGTCAAGGCACAGGCCTTTAGTCTGGGACTCTTAATGGGAATGAGGAGGAGGCCACCTGTGGAGGTAAGCCAGGTGGCCTCGGAAGAGGTAGGGTCTCAGAGGCTGAGGCCATGTCTCTTTCACAGGGATGTTGGTGTCATTGCTCTCACTAATGTCATGGGCTTCATCATGAATCTGCCCTCCAGCCTGTGCTGGGGACCACTCAAGCTGCCTCTCAAAAGGCAGCATTGGATCTGCGTCCGAGAGGTGGGCGGAGCCTACTACAACCTTGACTCCAAACTCAAGATACCCGAGTGGATTGGAGGCGAGAGCGAGCTCAGGTAATGCTTTTGTGGCTAAGCGGCTGGGCTCCCACGTTTGGTGTTCCAGGAAAGACGGGCTCACCTGTGGTCATTTGACAAAGGAAATGAAATTCTTGTGTACTAGGGTCCTCTCCCTGGCTTACTTGGAATCAGAGTCTCAGCTGTGAAAGACCTTTTTGGTCATGTGGGGGTCGAGATAGGATCTTGCTGTGTAGTTCAGGCTGGCCTCAAACTCACAATGATCATTCAGCCTCAGCCTGACAGGGGCTGGAGTTACAGGTGTGCACCACCATGGCCTGATGGACCTTAATCAGGGCTTTCTGCCCTTCAGTAGGCAAGTTCCACAGCCTGGAATCCTGGCCTTCTGGGAGCTGGCATTGTAACATTCTCTCCACTGAGACAACCAGGGTCATTTTTTTGATGTTCAGAGAAAGAAAGATAAACATTCAACTAGACAGGGACCAAAGAAAAAATTTTTTCCTTTTTGTAACAGGGTCTTGCTATGCAGTTCAGGCTGGCCTTCAGCTCACTCTGTAGCCCAGGCTGGTCTCAAACTTGCAGCAGTCCTCCTGCTTCAGCCTCCCTAGTGCTGGGATTACAGGTGTGCACCACCATGCCTGGCTAAGAAATCTTTAAGAAGTTGTTTTTAAGCCAAGTGGGAGCCCTTTTTTTTGTCTTCCTCATAGCACCAGCTCCAGCAGCAGTCTATGAGCGTGAGGGATCTTCAGGTTGGGATTCTAACTGGACAGGTAGAAGGGCTTCCGCAGACAGGCCGCCACTAGTGCTCATCGTGAGGTTTCTGCTGAACATGTGGCCCTGGGACTGGAATTTAGTTCACCTACATTTCAATTTCTCTCACCTATTGCTTTCTCTGTAGGAAATTTCTAAAACATCATTTGCGAGGAAAGAACTGTGAACTCCTGCTGGTGGTACCAGAAGAGGTGGAAGCCCATCAGAGCTGGAGGGCTGATGTGTAACAGTTCTGCCCCGTGTGCCCCTTGCCCCGCCCTCCAGGCCTCTGTCATATGCTGTGGCCTCTACAGTGGATCTGCCCTGGCCACTTCCCCAAACATCTCATTGGGTTCCCCTCATGATCTGCCAGTGCAGTAGGACAGATGTGTGGACTGACACAAGAACCACCCGCTGTCTATGCCTGGGGCAGAAAGGGAGGGACCGACACCAAGGGCCAGCCGATGTGAGCCTTGCTTGTTAGAGAAGGTGGGTCCCAGATGTGTGCCCCTCTCTGAGGACCTGACAGGTTCTGCTGGAGTCACTGCTGCTGCTCCAGGCTCCCAGAGATGCTATCCCCACCTCCTTCTGCTGTGGCACCAGGTCTAAGAACACAGTACCTGCAAAACCCAGCGACTGCCTCCAAGGACACAGTGTCTCTCAGGAAATCGTCTCCCAGACCCCAGCAGTGGTACCATGTGCCGGGCTGTCTGTAACCCTTACCACCCCACTTTTACAGGAGGTTTATGGCCAGGCTTGAGCTTTATAATGAAAAGTTCTTTAATACTCCAAGCCAGGTGGCTAAATCCCACAATCTTCTAGCAAGACAAGGGTGAGATAATTGCTAAGAGGATACAGTAGAAACCAAACTGGGACGGCCATGAGGTGACATTCTTCACTCGTTTTGTCCCTATCATTTCGCTACATTGATTTAGGAAGTTCTGGGACAAATGTCAAGGAAAATCCTCAAGTCCAGTGGTTACATGCACTGTTACAGGACCTAGGTCTGTCATCTCCCTGTAGTTCCCCTTACAGATCACCAGACTGACCCATCCCCTACCTCTCAAAATAGTTGTAGGCTATGTTTCTCCTGTAACTTTGGAAAACAAAAGAGGAGAAAAAGTCAGTTACACCACATGTATCACCAAAGCGGCTGTAGTTGTTTCGGGACAGGTAGGTGGGCAGGGTAACCCAGCCAGCCCTTCCAGATCCATGGTCTTGGTGGGTCTGAGGGCAGCCTCGCTGGCTGGACTCTTTTCCAGCAGCAGAGCCAGCCTGGGGCTTGCATGTCAATCCTCAGCAAGCTTCACAGAGGAGCCAAGGTCTGCTCCCCACTCTGACTGGAGTGCATGTTTACACCAGCACTTTTTCTGCACATGTATCTTTAACAAGGCCGTTTTTTACACCGAGTAACAAGAGCCCCCAAGTGGCGACTGCATTATGCCCTCTTAGCAACTGGCCATGGTCTCTTCTGCACCATTTTCTACACCAGACCGGCTTGGCACCACAGGGAGCTCTCTACCCCTGCACAATGACATTCCAGTTACACCAGCCAGGAAGTTACAGCAAACTCTGCTAATTGTCACAAGCAGGACCATGGGTCCATTGGCACTGTCGGTGATAGTAAGCCATTTCCAGGGAGGACACTCCTCCCCACAAACTGCTTGGGGCTGTGCAGATGGCACTTGAGTGGAGTCCATGCACATGTGGTACACAGGTCGATGGAGTATGCAGAGATGTTTCAGCATTTCAGGGCTGGTTTCTCTGTTCACATCCGATTCTGGTGCTTAGGAACAGGGACCCGTGCTGATGCCCAAGGGCAGAGAGCCCACTCCTTTGAGGAAGGGAGCAGGCCTGACCCTGATGCCCACTAAAGGGCAACCCCAGGCTTTTTCTTGCTTTTGTTCCTTTTGTTGTTGTTGGCCTTGTGCTGGGTTTGTTTACAAAAGATGTATTTTGTTTAACCAAATATTAAAATGGAAAACTCCATACCTGAATTCCCTTTTCTGCCTGACTTCTATAATTGTATAAAAAATTAGTATGATGCCATTTTTAAAGGGAATTCATTACTGTCATGTCACCTTTGAGTTACATTAAGCTCTGATCAAACTTCTCACCTGAAAAATCCAAACAATATTTACTTGGTTCAGAAAGTGCCCAAAGTCTTTTCCTCCAAGACAGGGTCTCACTAGGTAGGGTGGCATCAAGCTCTTGATGCTTCTGCTCCAGCCCCGAGTGCTAGAACTACAGGTACGTGCCATATACCCAAAGGGTTTTGCGTTTACCTTCATGTTAAGAACAAGGCCTGGCAATTTGAAGAAAACGTGAGGTAGATAAAAGTTTGTACCTGCTGACTGGGATCAGGACTTGTCCTTAGTTAAAAGGTGAAAGGCCATGCACTGGCCAGGCTGCCTGCATCCAGAGCACAGCAGGGTCTGTACTTAGAAGGCTGAATCTGGGTAGGCAATGTAGCTCAGCAAAGCAGCACCTGCCAGGTAAGCGCAAGGTCCTGAGTTTGATTCCCAGTATCAAAAAACCCCAAAAGACTGAATTCAAATCCAGCTCTTATTATGAGGCCTTGTATACATTGTTTAACCTTTTTGTGGCCATTTCCTTCTCTTAAAAAACTACCACCTCCTAAATGGCACAGTACTCTGATAAATGATCTACATACATGGTATGTTTGATGCTCATTAAAAATTTATGGTAAATGGAAAAACTGCAAAGTTCAAAGCCTGGGCTGCACTGGTTTCATCATCACTGATTTAGCACTAATTTTTTTAAGAACTAGGTCACAAAAAGTTCTATTTGCAAACTTATCCTTATCACTGGGATTAGAAATTAGTACTTCCTGTAATAGTTTATAACTGTATGATGTTACTAAAGACTACAAGTACACAGAACTAGTCTTTTGCTTTAGGTGGTAGATATGAAACTGATTACTTGAATCAAGTCAAATACTGTTATTAAGAGGGTCATGGCCAAAAATGAAATTTTTTTTGTTTTTGGAAACTCAGGATTATGAGATGGATTTGTACAGACAGAGGTGCTGGATTAGATGAGGAAATCTGGGGTACTGTGTGTCTTGCCCTCTAAAATGTTTGTAATTCTGAAGTACTTGTACAAGCACGTGCATAACACTTTGAGTTGGAATAATTTTTAATTTTAAATACAAAAAGTGAGCACTGACCTTTTTTACACACAGGTCTGGTAGCCAAAATGTGCAGAGGAGATGAGCCCCTGCTCTGTCCCCCGAATCTCCCAATGTCCTCATCTCGTGGCTGAAGCTACAGCAAGCCTCCCTCTCCGATGCACACGGGTTCCCACTGCCTTACACTACGACTGTACTGTACTGCACTGTGTCAGTTTTATAATTGTGTGCTCATCCCTCCCCATCACTGCCATTCTTGGAAAGAAAAAATAACCAAAACCAGTCATTAATGGTCAGGGGGTCTGTCCCTCCCACTGGCGTCAGTTTCTACCCCATCATGGGATAGCTAGGAGCAGCTGACTAAAAAGGATTGGGTGGCCAGAGCTGAAGTAACCGTCTGAATAGCTGCACTCAAGTATCAGCAAGGACAGTGAGGACAGCATGGAGGGCACAGCTGCAGACTGGGATTCTCCATGAAACGTCAAAGGGAGAATTCGCCCAAGTTTAGATCAATGTGCCAAAGTTTAAAAAAAAAATTACAAATAATCAGCAGTTCAAACACAACTGGGTTTGAACTTCTCTACCAAGACTGCTCAAGTGTTAATTAACAATCTAGATCTTTCCCGGAAGCGAAGGTAGAGCCCCTGGCATTCCTCCTGAGAGTCCTGTGTTAGGCCCTAGAAGTATCTGGAAAAGAAAAAAGAGGAACAAGGCATTGTACAGGCCTAAGGTGTCACTTTTACCATGCCCGATGGGACAAATGCTGCTGAGCATGGGCCCAGTCCCAACCCCCACATTAACAGCCAGACTACCGAGGTGCTGGAGAAATAAGTAACTCTAGTCTCCTACTAGAAAAAACCCCACGTCCGGGCTCACCTGCCGCTGCTGCAGCTGCTGCTGTTGCTCCATTTGCAACTTCTCAGTCTCAAAGACCACAGGAAGAACCAGGATCATAAAGGAAGTGGTCCCGATCCACAAGGCTGCCCTGGAAAACCTGTCCAGGGAGGGTGAGCACAGAGAGATGCAAACAAAAACAATTCTGACCAAAAATGAGCAAAATGAGCAAACCTATAAAAACTTATAAAAGCAAACTTATAAAAACCAGTGTTTTTATAAGTGTATTCTCCCTCTTTGCAACACACTCATGCAAGAGACACAAGCAGCAGTTCTGGGAGCTGTACTTAGTTACAGCAATTTAACATTCTCCTGAGCTCTTATTAAAGCTGCTGAAACATTAACCTGAAATGATGCCCACAACGATCTTGCTAAGTAAGAATCCCCACTTCATAGGAAAAGATACTGGGACTCAGAAGGGTTATGGAACATTCAGTCCAAGGTCACTCGAACCCAGGTCTGCTGCTTCCAAAGCCCGTGTGTTTTCACAGCACCAGTCGCCCCCTGCATATCCAGTATCTTTGCCCTAGCCACTTACCTGTACATTTTTTGAGCCACAAAGAGGGAGAGATCGAAAGTGGCTCCGGCCGCTGACCGGACCCTCTCGGGGAACATCTCCGTCAGACCCCACAGTCTCTCGGCCAGGGTCTCGTCCAGCTGTGGGAGAGGAGGTGTGGGTCTTGGCCAACGCACTCCCAGCCTTGCTGCGTCTCCAGGAGGCGCCGAACCCCCCGGAGCTAGGGCCCCCGCGGCCCAGCTGGGTCCCTAACCCCGCCTCCCGGCGAAGCCGCCTCGGTCCAGAGCCACTGCACGCGGAGCCCACACCCCCGGGCCAGCCGGCTCCCAGCCCCGCGCCTCGCCCGGCCCCAGTACCTCGTCATCGTCGTCCTCTTCCAGCTCTTCTTCAGTCTTCTCCGCGTCACCTTTCGGGAGCAACTCGTCTGGGGACATGGGCTCGCCGGTACCGGCGGCAGCGGGTGCGGCGGCCATGACTTTTGGGGACACCGGACGCGGAAGGGAGCGATCGAGCGCTGCGCAGCGGCGGACAGAGCGCCCTTCCGGCAGCGAGACGCGCGGGCCTGGAGAGAGTGGCGCCCTCTAGCCCTCAGGTCCTCCAGCTCCGTTCAGCGGGTCTCGCCCCAGGTTTACCTGGAGGTTCTGACTTCTGCAGGTGGAAAAACAGCTGGAAACTTGCTCAGGAGAGCACTCCTGGGTGCTTCTGCAGTATTTTTGTGCAGTGAGTTTGGAGTGGGGCTAAAAAATCTAGATTTTTAACAAGCCTCTGCGGGATCGCACCATGTCCAGTTTTATTTTCCTGAGGGGTATGATGGTTGGTAGGGATGTTTGTTGGTTTATTGGTCTTTGAGAAAGCAGCAAGTTAACAGGCCCAAGATATCAATATAACAGGAACCTAGAACTTGGACCATTAGGTGCCCAATGGGTAACTCAGAGTAGGGTGAAGCTTGGCATCTGTCCTTCAGTTTCCTTCATTTATTTCTTTAATGCTTTGAGTAAGATCCCTGCTCAGCCCTGCACACAGGCATGGTAATCACTTGAGGGTCTGTGATACAAGTTTGATTAACTCTAACTTTACCAGTCTGTCTCAGTCCCTGCAAGACTGACAACACCAAGATAAGAGTTATTAATTTTCAGGGTTTGCAGGAATATCCAATGGTCAGATTCGTCAACATCCAGTTCCAGATCTGGTTATTGTCCTAAACCTGCAGTCACCTCGGATTCCAGGAAAAATTGGAAAACCAGAGCCTGGCACCGCCTCCCCTCCCATGAGATCCTTACCCCCAGCAGGTAGTGAGGACAGGAAGTGAAGCTGCCCCCAGATCAAGAGCTGCCCCTCAAGAGATGATGGCTGAACCAGGCCCAAGGTACCAATCACACAACTTGACCGGGATCACCTACTGTGCCGGCTGTGCACACTCCCAGCTGTGCAAGTCCTAGCACTTGCCTTTGTTCCCCTTTTCTATAAAACCCCAGAGGTTCTGCCATCCTTCACTGGTAGATCAGGAAGCTCTTTATCTGTGATTCCCAGCATTGCTATGCTGATTAAAGCTTCTTGCCTGCCCTTCAGTGTTGCTCATCTCCTTGACTGGTGTCATGGAGAGGTGGCTGAGCCTTGTTTACTATGACCCGTGGATCACAGGCTTTTGCCTTAAAACTCCAGTGACACAAAAATCAAACCAAAGGTAAGAGACGTGAAGGATGAGGTGTGCTGTGTACTTTTTGAGACAGGATCTTGCTAAAATGTCCAGGATGGCTTCAAACCTGTGATCAATCTCAAACCTACTTCCACCTTCCAAGCAAGATTACAGTTTTGTTACTGTTTTTGTTGTTTATTTGGCTTGGTTTTTTTTTTTTTTTTTCTTTTTCTTTTTTTTTAAGATAGGGTCTCATTGGGGCTGGGGATTTAGCTCAGCAAGCATAAGCGCCTGCCTGGCAAGCGTGAGGTCATGAGTTCGATCCCCAGTACCGCCCCCCCAAAAAGATAGGGTCTCATTAGGAACCCCAGGCTGGCCTCAAACTCGCTCTGTGATCTCAGCCTCTGCCTCACAGTTACCCCAATCAGGGAAACAGCTGGGTGTGGTGGTAATCTCAGCACTTGGGAGGCTGAGGCAAGGGGCCACCATGAGTAGGTGGCTAGTTTGGGCTAAGTAGTGACTTAAGGTCCATTCTGGAATTCATAGTGGGGACTCTGTGTTAAAAAAAAAAGACATGGGAAAATTGAGGCACAGTGCAGGGTAACTGTAGGTATTTCTAGAGGGCAGATTTCTAGAAGCAGCCTTGCTAGCCAGAAAGTGTGAACATTTAAAATTCTACTAGGGTCCTGGGTGTGTGGCTCAGTGGTAGACTGCTCACCTAGCATGCTCTAGGCCTAGCATCTCCAAATCAGATTAAATTTTGCTAGGTATTAGAAAATTGTCTCCAAATATCTATATCATGTACTTTCAGAATAGCAAATAGAAGCATCCTTTCCTCTAGCCCTCCTCATTAGATGTTAATCCACATTTTAAAAATAATTTGGAGAGAAGATCTTATTATGTAGTTCAGGCTGCTGTCAAACGCACAGCAATCCTCCTGCCTCAGTCTCGAGTGCTAGGATTATAGGCGTGTGCCACTATGTCTGGCCATATTTTAATTTTCAACCATATAATGGATGTAAATGCTTATTTGTTCAAATTTTGTTGTTGCTATACGTGCTTTTTACAGGTGCCCCTTAAGTTATTAAAGATAATTTGTTATATGCCTTCAGCTAATTGACCATGGCATGAGGCCCATGGAATCCAAATTCCTTTTTTTTTTTTTTTTTTTGTCTTTTTCGTTTTTATTGGTACCAGGGATCGAACTCACGACTGCCTGCTTGCAAGGCAGGCGCTTATGCCGCTGAGCTAAATCCCCAGCCCTGGGAATCCAAATTCTTACCTGATTCATAACAGTCCTGCGCTTACACACTGCAGTGGGCTCGGTGGCCAGCAGGTCCTCTGATACAGCGCTTAGGCCTTCAGTGTTCCGGCAGGGCTGTTGTAGAATTTTCAAGTTACAATGGTGAAAAGCCAGGATGGTGATTCTTTGGAGGAGGAGAGGAAATATTTGGAAAGGGGCAGGAATGTAGTTTCTGGGGTGCTGGGAAGGTTCTGTTCTTGACCATTGTGGTGAGTATGTGAGATACTGATTTGGGATAAACCATCAAGTTGTATACTTAAGAATTATGCTTATTTTTCTGTTAAAAAGTTATTACTTAAAAAAATTTAAAGAATTTTTTTTTTATTCAGAGTCTTCCAATGTAGTGCAGGCTGGCCTCGAACGCATGGCAATCTTTCTGCCTCAGGCTCTCAAGTGCTGGGATTACAGGCATGGGGTACCACACCCAGAGATTTCATTTTTAAACTGATTTCATTTGTGTGTGTGTAGTGCTGGGGATGGAACCCAGGGCCTTGCATATGTGAGGCAAGTGCGTAATCACTGAGCTACATCCTTAACCCTTTATATTTTTGAGACATGGTCTTTCTAAATTCTCAGATAAGGCTCAAACTTGAAATCCTCCTCCCTCAGCTTTCTCAGTAGCTGGGATTATAAGCGTGTGCTCAGTGCTAGAGGCCAATTTTTGATAGAAAGCACACATCAGTGACTGTCCCGTGGAAAGTAATTAACACTGCAAAGAAGTTTCTTGGGAAGCCAATTGATTTTGTTTATATTGACAAGGGATGCATGATTATTTTTCCTCTGTACTGGGGACAGAACCCAGGGCCTTGCCCATGCTAGTCTATCACTGAGCGACATACAGTCTTTTTTATTTTACTTTTTTTTTTTTTTTTTTTTGAGACAAGGTCTCACTATGTTCCAAAGAGGATTTGAACTTGTGATCCTCCTGCCTCAGTCTTCCAGACAGCTGAGAATTACAAGTGTGTGCCACACCACACCTGGCCAATACATGGTTTTAAAAAAACATTCTGGGGCTGAGGCAGGAAGATTACTGGGAGTTCAAAGTCAGCCTGGGCTATAAAGTGAGTTCAAGGTCAGCCTGAACTACAGGGTAAGAGTCTGTCTCAGACAGAAAAGAAAAAAAAAGTTCTGTTTAAGCCTAACATAGCTCTTCTAGTAATTATAAAATTGCCAAGGGAATTTTAAGAAAACACTGGAAATCATACAGTATAAAGTGCCCCAAACTCCAGGAATAGATGAGATGACCTGGAGAAGGGACAGCAGTGGGCAGGGACAGAGGCCTGGGGAAGGAGACGATGAACAGCTCGGGACCAGGAAGAAAACCAGACCAATGCAGCATCCCTGAAGGTTTCAAGGACCAGTGCTCAGCTGCAAAGGCAACGAGATAAACCTGACGCCAGGGCGGAGGTCGCATGCCTGCACAAAGGACAGGGACGGGGCAGTGACACTGTGTGCTACAGCCACTGACCCTGATGCTGCGGGGGCAGGCGATTCTGGGACCCTGGGCTCCTGCTCCTCGCCCCTCGTCACTCAAGCCCACCACTGCCACCTTGGCTCTTTCTGTCCGGTCAGAATCCGAGACAGGAGAGGTAGGATATAACAGGGCTTCAGTTTGGTTTCGTGGTGGTGCTGGGGATTGAACCCATGGCTTTTGCACTAAGCTACCACCCCAGCCCTTTTACATTCTTTTCTTTTGAGACAAGGTCTCACTAACTTTGTGTAGGTTGGGCTCTAATTTGATAGTCTCCTGTCTCATCCTCCCGGAGCTGTAGGATTACAGGCATATACCACCATACCTGGTGAGGATATTAATAGTTCTTAAATGGAATGAGGTCAGACAGATCCCTTTGAGAATCTTAAAAAAGCTCAAAGGCTTTCCCCTCCAAAAATGCACATCTGAACCAGCGGCAGTGGCACATGCCTGTATAATCCCAGCATCTGGGAAGCTGAGGCAGGAGAATGGAAAGTTCAAACCCAGCCTGGGCAATTCAATGACTTAGCAAGTCTCTGTCTGTTCTGTGGGATGTAAACCAGCAGGCTCCAGCGTCCTGCTGTGTGATCCCATGACAGCTCCTGATCTGGTCATCTGACTCCTTGTCTGGTTTCAGCCATCGTGCTGCACAGGCCTATGTTGAGGACAGGAGATAGTGTGTGCAAAGGACTTCGGTACCAGGTGCACGACGTAGCTACAGAAACCTGCAGTTCTCAGTTTAACTCCCTGCTCTGTGCCGGCACTCTCACGACCACTAGGTTCCCCCTCACAGAGACCTGGTGCCAGCTGACTCATCTAGGCACACAGAGATACTTTCACTTCCGGGTCACCTCCTGGGGTTGACAGGAAAGCTGCACCATCCCTTGCAAGGCTGCCCTTTCATTTCCCCACACCTGGAAAGTCTGGTCTTTTTGAGACAGGGTCTCGCCATGCAGTTCAGGCTGGCCTGTAGCCCAGGCTGCTCTCCAATTTGCAGTGATCCTCCTGCCTCAGCCTCCTGAGTGGTATGGTTACAGGTGTGTGCCACGCTCCACTAAAAGTTTGGTCTTTTCCTGGTACTTCTTTATGAACCCATGTTTTTTTGCAGTCATTTTGGCCACAGAGAGATCGTTCAATATCATTTAATACAAAGGAAAGAGTATAAACAGGAAAGTAGCACAAAAATAGTGTTGCTGTGGAAGAAAGGCTGGCGCTTGTTGCTGGGAAGCCGAAGCCAGAGCAGCTGTGGATCTGGAGTGGAGCATTCTTCACAGGCCGGGACAGGCGGCCTGGTGGGGAGGAGGGCGCAGAGACCCAAGAGAGTCAGTCACTTATTCCAGACCCCTAAATGTGGGCTCTGTGGAGCTACTGCCATCCCCCAAATCCAGCATAAGCAGGGAGACGATGAGTCATGGAGTCCAGCTCTGGCCCCTATAGGTGGGTGGGGACATGGGCATTTGCACCTAAAGGTTAGCCCCTCCCCCAGACCTCTTGGGATCTGCTTGCAGGTTGGCATCCCAACCACTGTCCTGCCCTGGCTTCCTCCATCCTGTGCCACCTTCCTTCTGGCAACAAAGGATGGCAGTGCCTGTTGTCACTTGTCCTGGGGACCAAATCCACTAGTTTTGCTAAAAGCAAGGCCTCACCCAGGCCCCCGACGGATGCAGTCTCCCTGCTCCTAACCCGCATCGGAGCTCTTATTTCCTCCTCCGGCTGATGCTTTTCAGTTCATCCAATTCCTTCTCCATTAAGTGGCATTCGGCAGTGGTCTCGGAGAGCTGGGAGGGAAGCGGCAAGCATTATAAAGAAGGTCATTTCTGGGCTCTGTGTGGGCACTCATGGAAAGCCCTGCTAGATTCCGCTGGCCCTGCGGCCTCTGCGATGGGAAAGCCGAGGTGGCCTGGCGGGGTAGCCGCCTGAGGACCCCAGGGCACAGGGACTCTAAGAATGTTCGCCATCTACTCTGCCCACCTTGGATGAGCAGTGCTTCATGGCACACCCGGCGTGAGGACAGCAGGCCTCAGAGGCTGAAAAGATACAGTGGTGACCCTAAGGCTGTGATTAGAATTTAAATTGCTTCCGAGCGGCGGCTCACATAACCATAGTGGGGAGGGGGATGTGCTTTACAAAGAAGATGCCTTGGTTCATCAGGATCTTTCACCAGGTGTCAGAGGTGGAAGAAAACATCAGGACAGAGACGGCAGGACACTGACTCTGTAGGGAGCTTGGTTTACTAGCAAACAAGGTCCATGCTTCCTGAGCAACTGAGCAACGAGCAACGAGCAGTGCCAAGCGTTGGGCTAGATTAGCTCACTGTGAGGCCAGCGACAGCACTGTGATGCCTGTTTTCTTGCTGAAGAAACTGTCACAGAGCAGTGACACCAGGCTCCAGGACACCTGCTCCAGCACGACAGTGCCCCTGGATCCAGGTTTCCCAGGTCATCTAAGGAGTGAGTGCCCCCCTCCAGGACTGATGCCTGCCTGGTGTGGACAGCTTCGAGCCAAAGCAGCCCATTCCCTGCTTCTCCTCCATCCTGCCAGTGTCCTGCGGCTCTCAGCTCAGATATCCCTTTCTCCGTGCAGTCTCCTGAGTTGGCAAAACTAACGCCAGGCCCTGTACAGACTTGACTGTTGCTCCTACCAAAAGGGACTGTAACAACGGGTCCTGTCCAGACCGCCGCAAAGATGGGGCTGTACCGTAGCTGTCTCACTGTGTAGTCCAGGCTGGCCTCGAACTCATGACCCCCTGCCTCGGCCTCCCAAGGGCGGGGATTACAGGCATGCACCACCACACCGGGGCTTGTTTTTGTTTTTGATACAAAGCAATGTATCTGGACAGACAGAGAGTGTGAAGTGTCAGTAGTATGAAATGACTCGAGAGACAAGCCAAGCATCCCCTCCCAGTCCCCTCCTCACCATGTCTAGCAGGATGTCCACTTTCAGCCGCAAGAGATTGTTCTCTTCCTCCAGCTGCTGGTTCCGCCTGCGGAGGCGCTGCATCTCTCTCTGCTCCACGCCCCCACTGATCCCAGCCTCTGTTGGAAGGACAGAGAGAGCTGCAGTGACCTCGGGGATTTCCTTCTGCAGCCTCATTCAGCAGGACGGCAGGAGATGCAGCCCACCTGCTATCCACTGGCCCTTTTCAAACTTCAGGCTCTGCCCCGCCAAGTTCATCGTGGGGGTTCCATAGTTGAGACCCAGCTCCACATCCCGGATTGAACGATCCAACTGTGGGCGAGAGGCTGCATGACAGCTTCAGGAGGCTGCGGAATAGGAGCTTCTCATCTGCTACCTCCAGGCTCCAACAACTCATTTCGGTTCTCTAGCACTCTACGTGTGTGTGAGTGTGTGTGTGTGTGTCTGTGTGTGTGTGTGTGTGTTGCTGGGGATTGAATCCAGAGCCTCACGTATGCTAGGTAAGTGATCTGCCACTGGGCTACACCCTAGTCCCACCCCCTTTTTTACTTTATTTGGAGATAAGCTCACTAAATCCCTAGGGTAGCCTCAAACTTGCAATCCTTCTGCCTCAGCCTCTTGTAATGCGCTGCAATTACAAGCGTGCGCCACCAGACTAGCTTCAAAAAAATCCTTTTAAAATATATGGTAATTTATTTGCTTACTATGGAGCTACATACATCAAGGAAAAGAAAGACTTTCCAACACCCAGTTCATAGCAGTAGTAGTTTTTAATGTGGGACAATTCAGTTTCCGGATTCATTTATACAACTCACTGAGCATGCAGCCTGAGCCAGGACTAGATACTGACCAACTCTGCCCTGGGAAAGCTTTCACTTGTACTTGAGACCCCAGCAGAGCAACAGACGCAGCCAGGCTGGGCGTGTAGCTCAGTGAAGACAGTGTTTGCCTGGCATGTGCAGGGACCTGGATGGATTCCCAGTGCTGGGGGAAAAACAAAGATGGATGATGGTTGGTGGGGACCTGTCAAGTGACTCATTTTTTCCTTAAGTCTCCTTGACCATCCGACCACTTAAAAGTGACAACTCCTCTGCTACCGTGTCCTACCCCAGCCCCTGCTTCATTCCAAGGCACCTAGCGTCATCTGATATAAACCTAATTATTTTCTGTACCCTTCCCAATTTAAAACATGTGCTTCATGAAGGCAGGGATATGATTTTTTTCTTCTTCTTAATCCATTTTATTATGCCCAGTGCCTAGGAGAGTGGCTGGCACATAGAAAGTTATCAATTATCGGCTCTGGAACCAATCAATAGGGAAGAAGACGCCAGGCATAGGCAGGGAATACCATGCACAGAGGCGGCTCTTGCCTGAAGTATAAGGGTGTCGAGGCCGGGCATGGTGGCACACACCTACAATCCCAGACTCTAGGAGGCTCAGGCAGGAGGATTGCAAGTTCAAGCCCATCCTGAATGATTTAGAGAGATTTTATCTCAAAATAAAAAAATGAAAAAAGGGCCAAGGGTTATAGTTCAGTGCAAAGAAGACAATGGACTCAAGGCCCCAAAAGCTGGGGTTCACTCTCAGCCATAACACCTTTTGAAGGTCTGGCTGATCTGCACAACCAGCCCTGCAGAAAAGCAGCCGAGCAATCAGGGCGCGTCCCTCCACGACGTCTGAGAGCCAGGACTGGTGCACACAGCCAGGCTGGTGACGCACAGGATTATGGGGGATGAAGACCCTGCCAACTGGCCCTGGATGCTCAAAAGGTTTCAGCAGATGCTCGGCATGGTGGTGCACACCTGTAATCCCAGCACTCGGGAAGCCGAAGCAGGAGGATAGGTAAGTTCAAGGCCAACCTGGGCTACACAACAAAACTTTATCTCAAACAACAACAGCAACAATAACAAAAAGATTTCAGCAGAAAAGGACAGTGCTATTATGTAGCCATGATGGCGAACCTTTAGAGTTTTAGGTGCTACACTCAGCCCACTATGGCACACGTGCCTTAGGTTCACCTGCACTGCTACATGGGGTCAGTGTGTATCTATGTGCAGAAGATGGAGAGACATTTCACAGCTGGGAACAGAAAATGATTTCCACGTGGTGAGTATGTAAGTATGTGCATATGTGTGTGTAAGTGCGGCACTGGGATGAACCCAGTGCCTCACACTAGCTGCTAGGCAAGTGCTCTACTGTTGAGCTGCGTCCCCAGCCCTGTCACTGTTTGCTTTGTTTTGTTTTGTTTTGTTTGAGGCAGAGACTCACAATGTAGTTCAGGCAGTCCTTAAAGTCACTAAAGTCACTATGTAGCCCAGGCTGGCCCCAGACTTGCAGTGATCCCAGCTTCCTAAGTGCTGGGATTACAGGCATGAGCCACGACACCTGGCAAATGTCACCTAATGTTTGAAACCCAGGGCTCATACATTCAAAGGAGAAGCTATCATTTATCCCAATGCTATTGTGATGGCTTCCAGACATCCTTGGAAACCACATTACCCTTCTGAATGCCATTAATGGTGGCCAGTCACTATCCTTTTGAGAATGAATTTGATTCTCAAGTATGACTAAAATTAGTCCCCGGCCATGTCTTGGGAATAAAGTGAAAGTCAAATTCAATAATATTGTTTGAGACCAAACAGTGTAATGAAATTGACTATCTCTTTTGGTTCTTTTCTTTCTTTCTTTTTTTTTTTTTTTTTTTTGTCTTTTTTTGAGATAGGGTCTCACTATGTAGTTCAGGCTAGCCTTGAGCTCACTTTGTAGCCCAGGCTGGTCTCGAACTCACAAAGATCCTCCTACCTCAGCTTCCTGAGTGTGGGGACTACAGGCGTGAGCACCACGCCCAGCCTCTTTTGGTTCTTGAATCAACTCTGACAACAGTTCTGAAATAGGGGTTAGAGACAGTCCTTCAGCAACAGCAGTTAGTGAGCTAAGAGGACGTCCCCTTGGGCAATGCACGCTGCCCTTGGTGCCCAATCCCACCGCGCCAGGCTGCTCCGCCCCACTCACAGTCTGCAGGTTGGACAGGGAGGCCGACTTCCGAGGAGGCGTCTTCTTCGGACTGAAGATATTCCCAAAGAGAGGCATCTCGCCTGCTGGGGGCAAGGCCGAGCTCCTAGCCTAGCGTTAGGAAACGTCAAACAGTCAAGTGACCTTACGAAAACTTTGTAGCCCAGGCTGGCCATAAACCTTCCTGCCTCAGCCTTCTGAGTGCTGGGATCACAGGGCAGCATGCCCAGCTACACTCTTCTTTAAAGGCATGAAGTTCTCCTTGCATTTCTAACGTCCCCACTGTACAATGGCTTTCAGCCTGCTACAGGTGCAAAGGCCCAGGGAAGCAGACTCATCAATATCACCCAGGGTTCTAGGCAGAAAAGGCATTTAGAAGCATATTTAGTTTTTTGTTTTTTTTTTAATCCTTTTGAGACAGGGTCTTACTGTGTAGTTCAGGCTGGCTTTAAGCTCACTTAGTAGCCCAGGCTGGTCTCGAACTCACAACGATCCCCCTGCCTCAGCCTCTCAAGTGCTGGGATTACGGGTGTGAGCCACCACGTCTGGCTCTAGAAGCATATTTATAACACAGATGTGGAAAGGTCCACGAATCCTATGCAAGGCTTCATGAGTTTTTGCTATACACACATGTGCGTGTGCACGTGCACACACACACTCCTTCCTTCCAGATCAGGGCAGAGAACATTGCAGAACCCACGAGCCTTGCCTATTGACTTTACATCCATGGATACGTACAGGCCTTTTTTTTTTCCACATGGCATCTTACACCTAGGATCATGTTTGAGATTTAATCATTTTGTTCTGTGTAGTAGTTTGTTCATTTGCATTGCCAAATATATATATATATTTAAATCTATCCAATTTTTTTGAGGGTCTCACCATGTAGTTTAGGCTGACCTGGAACTTGTGGTGCTCCTCCTGCCTCAGCCTCCCAAGTGCTTGGAGAACAGGACTGTACCACTACATCCATTTGCACTGCTATGTAATATTCTACCACATGATCCTACCAAAAGTTGGCTGTGTACTCTACAGGTAATGGATGGGATAAGGACTGTATTTAGTTTGTGACTATCAAAAACGGTGCTACTAAGAACACACTCGGATATGTACTTCTATGTTGCTATGTATACTGTATGTCCTTAGGGGTGGAATTGTTGATTTGTAGAGCAGTCATAGCTTTAGCTTTAATAGATACTGCTAAATAAGTTTCCAAAGTGACTGTAAGAATTTACACTCCTACCTGCAATGTATAAGAAATCCTTTGGCATCTTTTGCCTTTTTCATTTTATCCACTCTGGTAGGTACGGGGAGGTACTGTGTTAATTTGCTCTTTCTTGATGTCTAACTAAATGGTACACCTTTTCATATACTCATTGGACCTAGGGCACTCTCTTTAGTGAATCTTTTTTTTTTCTTTTGGTATCAAGACTCACACTCAGGACCTTGTGCTTGCCAGGCAGGCGTTGGGCCATTGAGGGATGTTCCATTGAGGGTGGGAACTCTCTTTCGTGACAGTGCCTGTTAAAGTCTTTTTTTTTTTGGCTATTTTTCTACAGAATTTGTCATTTTCTTACTAGTAAAGGCTCTTTATATATGGTAGTACTAATCCTTTGCTATATACAGAGTTCACCAGGAAAAAAAATGTGTACACACTGCAGCTCACTATACTAATAAGTGTCTGGAAGCTACTGGTCACCACTGTGAGCACTGCTTGTAATTGTAGAGGCCAAAGGTTACTTGTATTATTTTTATGATGCCTCAATAAATTTAGTATTTTTTTCCTGTGGCAGGAATTGAACTCAGGACTTTGTGCTTGCCATGCAGGTGCTGTGCCACTGAGCTATATCTCTGGCCCCTTAAATTTAGTGTTAAAATATTTACAATTTTTTCTTTTCCTGATGTATATGTATTTTGGCAGACTCTGTATGTATATAGTGCCAAACATATCCCACCTTGTGACTTGTCTTTTTGCTCTTGTTTCTTTGGGAAGGGATACTGGGGCACAAACCTACTAAGCTACATCCCCAGCCCTTTTTACTTTTTTGAGACAGTCTCACTAAGTTGCCCGGGCTGGCCTCAAACTTGCCTCCTGCCTTAGCCTCCCAACAACATAAGATCCCATTTTGCTTCTTTATTGGGTTCTTTTAATTAAATAGGTTCTTAATTTTTAATGAAAACCAATTTATTCCTTTTGAATGCTTAGCGTTTTAGGACCTGTTTAAAAACTCTGCATATTCCAAAGTCAAGTGTTGTGTTTTTGTTTTGAGACAGGTCTTGCTAAGGTGTTGCATTGCTCAGGCTTGGCTCCAACTTCTTCCTCGGCGTCCCAGTATGTTGGGCTCACAGGTGTCCTTCGGCACAACCATCTCTATTTTTTAAGGTATTTCCTAAAATTTTATGGTTTTGCGGTTTACATTTAGGACTATCATTCATCTGGAATTGGGATTCAATTTTAACTTATTAACACACAAGTAGCCAAAAAGATTCCTTCAAAGAAACCATGGACAGATGGTAACAATGAAGGCACAGCAAGCAAAAAGTAAACGGCAGAGCTCCTCCCTTTCTCCCTACTCCTGGGTGCAAAGTCTTCCTTTGTCATATTACCTGATGAAAGCAATCACAAGCTCACCATATCCTAGAAGAAACTGGCCCAAAGAAGGAGGGGTCATTTTTAGAGTTGTTTTGTTTTTTACACAGGGTCTCGCCATGCAGTTCAGGCTAATGTTGGACTCACAAAGTAACCCAGACTAGTCTCAAACGCATGGCAATCCTCCTGCCTCAGCCTCCCGAGTGCCAGGATCATAGGCGTGTGCTACCTTGCCCACTGTTCAAGATTAAAACAAAGCTTTTTAGACTGTTATAAATTTGAGGCCAGCCTGGGCTACATGTCCAGTTGAAGGCCAGCCTGAACTATAGTGGGGTCTGTCTCAAAAAAATAAGATACAATAAAATAAAATAAAACAAAGTTTTTCTTAAACTGTATTAAAAGATAATTCATAGTATGAAGCCATCTGATTAACAAAACTTGTATCCAATGAGAACATGAAGATGTTTTCACTGAGGTAGAAATCAGTTTCACTAATGTTAATTATAGCTTCTTTGGAAGTTTTATAGTACAGAGTACAAAAGTATATGTGTATGTAGTATATGATTAAAAAGGCTACAGATGGAGCTTGGTAATAAAACACATGCCAATATGTATGAGCCCCTGAGCGATATCCCCAGTACTACAAAAAAAAGTTATAAAAAATATCCAGGAGTGGTGGGATACATCTATAATCCCAGCACTCAGGAGGGAGAAGCAGGGCAAGGGCAGTGAGTTCAAGGGCAACCTAGACTATATATTGAGATCCTGTCTCAAACAAAAACAAAAAGCAACAAAATTATAAATAAATAAGCTGGGTGTGGTGGAGCAGGCCTGTAATTCCCGAACACCAGAGGCTGAGGCAGGAGGATTGTTGCAAATTTGAGACCAGCCTGGGCTACAAAGTGAGCCCAAGGCCAGCCTGAATTGTATAGTGAGATCCTATCTCAAAAAAAAAGATATAAAATAAAACAAATAAGCCAACAAAAATCAAGCCATTAGAAGATGAGCTCATGACAGTTTCACTGGCAGGCACGTGTCTATAACTGTAAGCCAACAACACAGGGCAGTGGTGGCCAAGCTGTGGCATGGGAGCTGCGGTGGACCATTTGTATCACTGAAAGCTCTCAAATGTTCGCCATCACTGACCTAGGGGCTGGCATTTGTCCCTGAGCACAATGTTTAGCAGTTAGTTTCGATTTGGTGGTGAAGGGGACAGGGGTGGGGACCAAGATGCTGAGGAGGTCTGAAGCTTTGTCATCATCTAAAACACACTGGAAGACCTGGTATTATGTCTCCTGGAGAAAAGCGGGTGGCAGAGGGGAAAAGACTGATCCATGTCTGTAGAGCGCAGAACAGGGATAAAGCCGAAAGTTGTTACAAAAAGCGCACGATAACAACAACTAATATCACTCCCTACCTATAATTATGGGTCAACCTCAGGGCTGGGCACACCAGATATTTCTTTCATTCTTCACAATTATCCCGAGAAGCAGTATTTTCTTATCTGTATTAGAAATGAGAAAACCAGAGAAATTAGCCAATGCTCCCAAAGCAGAGAGCTGGCTAAAGGTATATAAACAATTTTCCTCATATTAGTAACTTGGGAGGTACACTTTTTTGATTTTTTTTATGTTTTTTTCAGGCAGGCTCTCACTAAGTAGTTCAAGCTGGCTTGAACTGACTATATGACCTGATCTGGCTTTGACATTGCGGCAGTCCTCCTGCTTCAGCCTCCAGAGTACAGGGATTACAAGCATGTGTCACCATACCTGGCAGGAGGCACATCTTAAAAGAAGCATTTTCATCTACTATATTGGCAAAAAAAATCCACTATTGGTGAGAGTGTAAACAAAAAGATAATTTACTATCAGCAGAAATATAAGTTGTTATAATTCTTTAAAGGACAATTAGGTACAAATTAACTGTTTTTAATGTGCATACTTTTTCTTTGTTTGTTTGAGACAGGGTCTTGATATGTAGCTCAGGCTGGAACTCATGACGATTTTCCTTCCTCAGCTTCCTGAGTGCATGAGCCACCATGTACAGCAATGTACACACTTTTTGGATAGCAAAGCTATTTCTAGGATTTGATCCTCTGAAAAAACTTGTACATGCGCATATGTCCTCTATTACTTGTAACAATGGAAAAATAAGAAATGTTCCAAAATGTCTGCCAAGAGCTGATAGAGTCAAACATACTGCGGCACATTCTTACTCAGGAATAGCAAACAGCAACTCCTACAGTGAGACGGCTGTATGTGGGCCGAGCAGAAAAACCTCCAAAGCACGTCTGAGCACGAAGAAGCAAGTTGCAGAAAAAGCATATGACACAGGCCCTTATGAGATGACACACACAATATAGGATGTGGCTAAACCTCAAAAGGGGAGGAGCTGACTACCTTGGGTGAAAGTGCCATTTTATAGGTTAAAAGATGGTCCAATTCAGCAATTTCATCTGATACAACACGAGCTGGGTGTTATGGCGCACACTTATATTTCCAGCCCCTGGGAAGCTGAGGCAGGAGGATCACTGTGAGTTTGAGGCCAGTTTGGGCTAGATAGCAAGTTCAAGGCCAGTCTGAACTACATATGGAGATGCTGTATCAAAAAGGAGAAAAATTATGAAATCAGATTAAAGAAATATGCTTCTAGATTTAATCGATTCTCACATGCTAATATACTCATGTATCAGTTATCAACAAAACAAAAAACAAATAGTTAGAAGGCAGCCCTGTCCCTCCCAGCATCTGGAGACATCTGAGGAAGGAAATGCCAGTCAAGCGGTTCTCGCCAATCTTCCCAACTGCACCAAGAGCACTACGCCTAAGGCCATTACCTGGATGCCACAGACCAGGGTTCAGGCCTAGCTCTGGCCACAGATGATTGCTAAACCTCCACTGAGTTGCTCAATTTCTTGTGGTTTTAACTGGGGCCTCTCACGCACGGCTCACTAATTGTCATGGACCAAAAACTGCTGACCACTGAGGCATGCATCATGTAACAAAGTTTTGATCAACAAAAAAAATCACATAGACAACAGTGGCCCTGTAAGATTACAATGGGGCTGAAAAATTCCTATCATTTACTGACACTGTGGCCCGAGGTTGGAGAAAACACACTGCCTGCACGTTTATGCTGAGGTTGGCATAAACAAACCTATGGCATGGTCTGTCAGATACGGTACAGTGGGTACAACTGCACACAGCACGTAATACTCAGTAATTAAAGGCCATGCTACTGACCTGTGTTTTACTACGCTCTACTTTTATTATTAGTGTACTCCTTCTACTTATAAAAAAGTTTAGGACAGCATCACAGCCCCCTCAGATGTGTCACCTACATCTTATCAAATGCATCATTTTCTCCTGTGCTTCATTTAATTGCATGAGTTTTTGTTCACTGTGGCCCTAGAAGCAATAGACCAATACAAACACACACACACACACACACACACAATCTCCAATGTGTGTGCCAGGCCACTATGCCATTTGGTTTATGGCAGCACACCATACAACCTTTGTGCAAATGGCATCTTCCCCCTACCCCCAACATGCTCTTATCAGGTGCCCCTGGGACTCAGTGACACAGAAGTGCTGTGGGTGAGGGGAAGGAACGGCCTGGACGCAATGCCTTTTAAGTCAGATTTACTAATTCAGAAACAACTTGGGCTGAGAGCCTGAGAGCCTGAGACCCTGGGAACCTGGAGCAGTATTGTGGGCCACAATACTCGCTGACCCTTCCGCTCAAGGTCCTTTTTCTTTCTTTCTTTTTCTTTTTCTTTTTTTTTTTTTGTCTTTTTCCTTTTCATCGGTACCAGGGATCGAACTCACGACTGTCTACTTGCAAGGCAGGCGCGTATGCCGCTGAGCTAAATCCCCAGCCCCAAGGTGGCCTTTTTCTAGCAAAACTCTTTAGGAAAGGGTAAAGGAAGGCAGAGCACCTGACTCAACCATCACTCTCAGGAGTCACTCTCAGGGGAGCCCTGCATTTATTCCCTCCGGGGTGGCTTCTTTATTTGTAATCAGGACGAATAACAGCATCCAACTCACAAGTTGGTGGAGCGCTTTGGTGCTCATGCGGCGTGGCATGTGGCCTTCGCAACAACCCCGAGAGGTAAAATCAGGCCCCATCTATAGATAAAGATACTAATCGTTAAGCGCCGTGCAAAATTTTAGCTTGCAAAAGGCCATAAAATACATTGATCAGCTCTGAGAAGGTAAGGAAGGAATCTCTGACTTTCCTCAGATTCTCAAAGGGAAAAGCATCCCCTTGAAGGGTTAAGAGCCAACCAAGTTCATTTCTCACAGGTCGGGCCACAGGGCTCACGGACTCAACTAACGGTTGTGAACACAAGTTGACACGTATGATCTTACTTAATCACCTTCAAGCCTATTTATGGGCCAACTCCCATTCCAGCTCACACCGGAAGGCACAATTTTGTTGAGGTGGACACTACCTGGGGCGACCCTCGCCGATCTTCTCCAGGGGCACCCGGGTCGTCCCGCTGCCCTCAGATGACCCCAGGGCTCGTTGCTTGCCGCGTTCAGAGACTTACCCGTCGCGTCCTAGAAGCTCGGACCAAAGTCAACCCCTAGACGCCAGCAAGGACCGGTCCGGATCCCTAGCAACCCGGATCATATACTTACTGGCCGCGCGCATGCGCGGGCCCGCCCTGGACTCTACTATTAGGGATGGGGGGGGCGGCGCGGGGCCAGCGCGAGCGCCCCCGGGAAGCGCCGGAGAGGCTTGCGGGCTCCGTCCAAGATACTAACTATATTATACAAATGAAATATTTTATGGAGTTCTTCGTATCTCCGTCTTATAGAATGGGACGAGAAGCTACACTGTCCCCCAGCAAACACGCGTTGGTTTGGTCCCCAAGCCACTAGCGGCCGTCACCTCGGTAACGGCGTCTACGGACACAGCTGCAGCAAGCGAAGGTTCCGTTGTCGTCGGAAAAGTGAAACTAGTGAGAGCGCACGGCGTGGCCTAGAGAACACAGAAGTAAAATGGGCCCCTCCGCAACTCCTCTCCTACCCTGCCCCGCCCACAAAGCAAAGGCCACTCCTTCCTGGTGGATGGGGTGCAGCGGATGCCGGTTGCTATCCAGAACTTCATGTGGTACCCTGAAGGGCCTGTGACGCCATCCGCCACCAGTTCTTAGGATTCTGCCGATGCTTGCAAGCTGACAGATGGACGGTGATCCCATTTCGACACGCACAAAGGCGGGGGAGGTTCGGGGCAGCTCTGTCCCCTCCCCATGCCCTGACCCTTCTCAGCTTCCACAAGCTAGGGAAACTGAGGCCCCAGAATCACTTCGAAGTCGCCCAGTGAGCCAGGGGCAGAGAACTCAGTGAATCCACCTCAGATCTGTTGTTGGCACCATTTGGTAAATGAAGAAATTCAAGTCATTCAAGAGATATTTGGGTAACCTAGATAATTCTCGCAATGAGGAACAATATCCCTGGTCTCTGTCTCCAAGCTCAGTTCTCCTCCAGCTACACCAGACTGCATTACAGAGCGGGACAGTTCTGTGTCCTGGATCCAAAGTCCACACTGTCTAGGCCAGCACTGTTCCACAGAAACATAAAGCAAACCACGAGATCGTACTTTTCTAGTAGCTACATTTTAAAAAGTGGAAACAAAACAAGTAAAATCAATTAGAATGTTTCACATCATGCAGTATTCTTTTTTCAAGTTCAATCACTATTTTAAATTTTATACTGCTTCAGTTTTTAAATTTAAACCAAGCAAAATAAAATTTGTCAGTCACACTAACCAGTTCAAGGGGTGGGTTGTCACATGTATCTGGTGGTCCTCAGTGATGCTTGTCTAGCTTCTGAATCACATTCCAGCATCAAGGAACCCCATCTCTGCAGGCTCCCCCAGCTCCCTCAGCAAACAGCCCTTTCAGGTTATAAATAACTGGGGACAGTTCCCATCACATTATCAGTCACAAGGCCAACCTCTGAATCCCTGGCCAAAAATGTTTGAACAATTATATCTTACTAGGTAACATGAACTGTTTTTTTTTTTTTTTTTTTTTGGAACTAGGAATCAAACTTGTAACCTGGCACTTGCCAGGCAGGCGCTTATGTCACTGAGCTAAATCTCTAGTCCCTCCTCTTGCTTCTTAATCCCAGGCTTATCTCAGCCTCATGGATGAATTTCCTTTTCTCTTCTCTGTCACGGCCCTTCTCGGCGTCCTGTTTTTCAAGTGTCCTCTGATGGGTGAGGCCACTTGAGGGTAATAGACGGGAGAGTGAAGCCTGCTCTCTGAGAAGATTGAGGAGAGAGAGGATTATGGGGCCTTTACGAAGGCTGTATCCTAAATCAGCTGAGGCTCAGACAGAAATGCAGAAGTCCAGAGGGCACGGGGTAGAGAGACAATGAAATTGTTGCAGGCAGCTGTGTTACTTAGGAATATTATAGGCAGTGAGACAGGCCTTGGTCCTCAATGGAGTCAGTACAGGTGCCTGGCAACTCAGGGGAGACTGACACCTCCTTCTGTGGGCCAGGCCTCAAGACAAAAGACCAAACAAATGCACCCATATCCTGGGATACCCTAAATAGTTCCCATCTCCCTAGGAAAGAGTCACAGCTCTGTAAGAATGCCCACTTTTCTAGGTGACTTGCTTCCCCATTTGTTCCTAATGTAATCAATTTCACCTGAACTATTGATCTCATTGGCTAACTATAGTTATGTCCTACCTTATGCCCATCTGCCTTGTGAGTTCCCAGTCTCCCCCCACCTCGAACCCATGGTTTTACTCTGTAAAAGCCCCTGAAAAAGACAGTCCTTAGCAAACCGCTCTGGACTCCTTCTGTCTGTCTTCAGACAGAAGCTTTCTTTCTCTCAATAAATATATTCTACTCTGTCTCCATTCTTCCTAAAATTCATTCTTTGATTTTAGAGAACACGAGCTCACCAACATAGTAGGTTGGGAGTTTCATTCCCCTATATCAAAATGAGTGTGTTTAATTTTACCTGTGATAAACAGGCCCATGATACCCTCTAGCCCAGCCATCCCTCACCTGAAAATCACTCTTAAAGAAATTCTAGTGTGAAAATAAACCAGACCCAAGCTTCAGTACCATATGGTGTCTCTCATTTGAGTGAGGCAAAGTATAAACAAAGAGAATAACAAAGGATGTGAGGAGGGGACAAAGGGATGGATCCCTGGCCATAGAGAAGGGGCCCAAGGGAAGGAGCAGGGGGTGAGGAGGGGGGAAGGGAAATAAGAAGAACAAAGGTATGCCACATGCAAAACCTAACGATCCTGAACATTCCACGCCATAACCGGAGCTAAGATGAATAACATCACCAAGAATGATGATCAGGACGGGGGATTTGGAGGAGGAGGGAGGGAAGAGGAAAAGAATAAAAGTAAAGAAACAAAGGCCAGGGATATAGCTGGGTGGCACAGCGCCTGCCTGGCAAGTGCAAGGTCGTAAGTTTGATCCCCAGTACCAAAAAAGAAAAGAAAAGCAACAAGCTGTATGGCGTACATGCACCACTCCCCAAGAGGACTGTAAGCTGCACCTCCTGCAAACATGTACTTATAAAACATTTTTTTAAGAGAAAAAAACGGAAATGTTCCAAAATACAGAGACGGCTCTCTGCGTGACCCTGTGCATCCAAGCATTACTAGGAGTTGTGAGAAGCTGTGGACAGTTTAATGCTCAGCAGCCAAGGGGGAGGTGAGTGTCCTGAGGTCCATCCTTTCAATGGATTTGTATCATCCTGTTGAAAATAATAATTATTAGGATTACTCGGTCACTTGGAAAATGCTCGCAACTATGTGGAAGTCAGGGCAGTAAAGCAGGCATCTGGTGAGGTTAGAATTCTGTTGGAGAGAGGGGGAAGGAGGCGAGGAAGAGGGGAGAGAGAGAGTGAAGGTGAATTATGTGCACGTACCAAGTCCCCACGATGGATGTGACCGCTGTGTACTCCAGATGTGTACTAATAAAAATTCACAAAAGAAGGCAGCAAGAATGATGGGACAAGGGTGTTCTGTGTGTTGAGGGGGATTCATGACAATGTGTCTTTTACAGTGATAGAATTTTCAGTGCGGCTAAAAAGATAGAAATATGAAATAAAGTGGCCTTTATTTTAAGAATGTGGAGAGAGAACCCCCCACCACCACCACTGAGGTCTGGCTTTTCTCTCTGCCAGGCACGTGTTGTGGTGGGCATGCATGTAGCTTAGGTTTGGGGTGGTGCCTAAGGGGCATTACTGATGCACAGGTAGCCCACTGGAATTCATTTCACACCACAGGTAAATTGCCTAGGGGTGGGGAAGGTGACCTCAAGATAGAGCCCCTGGGTTCCACCTCCCAGACTCCCACCACTGCAGTGTCCCATTTAGGGCAAAATCCTTTCATTCTCATCTTTTCATTATTAGGAAAAAGGGCAAAGTTTTTCTTTCTTTTACTACTTCCTGCTGAAAAGGAGGTGCTGTATTGGGGTTTAGCAGGGTCGATGGGATGATGGTTGATGCCCAGGCAGAAGCTGGTGCCAGGTGTTTTTTTTTTGTTTTGTTTTTTTGTTTTTTGTCTTTTTCATTTTTATCGGTACCGGGGATCGAACTCATGACTGCCTGCTTGCAAGGCAGGCACTTATGCAGTTGAGCTAAATCCCCAGCCCCTGGTGCCAGGTGTTTTAACCAGGACAACTTTATCATTGGTGAGTGCTTGCATGTTAGACTGGAAAAACAAAGAGACAAGATGTTATGAGGAGGTGGACCACTATCATATTTAAGGACCCAGGTGAGGTAGAAGGATAAAGTGCCTTTGATTTACATATGTCATTTTATCAGGACCATGGTGAGGTAGAATCATTGCCATGGTGAGGTAGAATTCTGAAAAGTAAGTGTGGGGTTAGGAGGAGTGAAGTTATGAGAGGTGATTATTCCCCCATCTGGAAGGGTAAAAGTTAAGAGGGTAGGTAGGTAACGCTTGTCTCTGGTCCAGGAACTGAGCTGGAAAGAACAGGGGGTGGGGGTGAGGAAGGCCGTGGCTGTCCACTATCGGGAAGGTAAGAGCCTAGGCCTTCAGGGATGTCTCCTTTGACCAAACAGCTGAGAGCAGAGAGAACTAAGACAGTTGTCACGTAGAACAACATGAAGACAATCTTACGCATGATGTGGGAGTCTTTAGGAAAGACTGTTGAAAATCCTGCTGTAAAAAGGATAATTAATAGAATGTAAGGGATCAGGAACCAAATTGGATAACAAAACATGACTTAGCCTGAGAGTCGTGGCTGTGAGGCCTTGGTGAGGTGGAGATGAGTGGGCAAAAGGATGGTTGGATCTAGGGCTGGGAGGGCACCGCTTAGCCTGAGTGATGTGAAACCAGGATGGCAGTCTAGCAACTTTGACCGCTGTTTGCCAAGAAGACCAGGTATGGGCCGTTCCGCCTTGGTTGTAGTCCTTGCGATGATTTCATGTAACAGGACTTTAGTAAGTATATCAGCAGTCTCCCTGGTTGTGGGAAAGGCTTTTATGTATCCTGAAAAAGTACAAAGGTGAGAAGATATTTGAGAGTTTTGTGGCAAAGCATGTGTGTAAGATGTATCTGTCAGTCTTGACCAGGGTTGTGTTTGAGAAATTGATGAACAAGTAAGGAAAGGGGTGCTATGTATCTCTGAGGAGAGGTTTTACTAGAGATAACAGGTGTGAGCTGTTGAGACCTGAGTGTCTGGGTCGGT